TGCCCATGTGGGTGCCCGTTCCTGTCTCAGCTATTCCATTTCTGATCCTGCACCTTGCTGATGTGCCTGCGAAGGCAGTGGAAGATGGCCCAAGAGCTCAGGCCTGTGCTACCCACGTGGTAGACCCTAAAGAAGCTCCTGGCTTCAGCCTGACCCAGTGCTGGCCGCTGTGGCCATTTGGAAAGCAAACTAGTAGGTGGAAGGTCTGTCTCTCCCTCTCTGTAATTCTGACTTTCAGATAAACAACAAATCATGGCTAAACCTTAAACAGACACAAAAGACCACATAGTGTAGGCTCCCAGCTAAAGATGTCCACGTGAAGTTCATTGTTAGAGACAGAAAGTAAATTAGTCATTTCCAGGGACCAAGAGGGTAGGGAAATGGGTGCTGACTGGTGAATACAGGGATATTTTCAGGTTGATAAAAATGGTGTTGGGTACATAGATATCCTAGGATCAGAGTAAATATATGAATATATTTAGCTGGAAAAACACCAGTACTTAAAACAATATGCAAATACAAAGCGAGAGAACTCTCCCAAACTTGAGCTAGATCCAGTGCCCTGTTGCTGATGTGTTAACAATGCTGACTGTGGGGCCTGTCGCGGTGGCCTAGCGGCTACATCTTAAACACACTGGTATCCCATATGGGCATCAGTTCTAATCCTGGCAGACCCCTCTTCCCATCCAGCTCCCTGCCTGTGGCCTAGGAAAGCAGTCGAGGGTGACCCAAAGCCTTGGGACTCTGCACCTGCATGGGAGGCCCAGAAGAGCTCTGGGCTCCTTGCTTCTGATCGGCTCAACTCCAGCCGTTGTGGTCACTTGGGGAGTGAATCAGCGGGTGGAAGATCTTTCTGTTTCTCCTCCTCTCTATATATGTATTTGACTTTGTGATAAATAGTAAATCTTAAAAAAAAAAAAAAAGTGCTGACTGTGGAGTTGGCCTGATGGTACAGTGGATCAAACCATCATTTATGATGCCAGCATCTTGTGTCTAAGTTCTGGTTTGAGTCCCAGCTGCTCTGCTTCCAATCTAGCTCCCTGCTAATGTGCCTGGGAAAAGCAAATGATGGCTAAAGTACTTGAACCCCTGCCACCCGTATTGGAGACGTGGATGGGGTTCTGGGCTTCTTAGGCTTAGCACAGCCACAAGCATTGCTTCCATCTGGGAAGTGACCCAGCACCTGAAGGTCTCTAAGCAGTGTTCTTTGATCTGGCTGTGAACGACATAGACCCCATCACTGGATACCAACCCTGCTTTTAATTAGTCAACCAAGCCAAGGCACCAACTGCCAAGTGTGAGATCACACATGCCACCTGCCATGCAAATTCCAAGTGACCTCAGCCCAACAGTCACATGGACAGTTCTCACTGAGTCACTGCCTAAAAAGAGACCAACTCTGTGTAGATGCTCTCTGGCATCTACTAATTCAGATTCTGTCACCGAGTGGTCTTGTTTCCCACCTAACAAAACCCAGCTTCCCACTGAAGGATCCTCCTAAAAGTTGACTTTGATTCGTAGTTGGAGGTGAGATAATTATTGGTGATGCCAAGCCCTGCTTTGGGGATTATCACTTCTGTGGAAGGTGCCAGAAGGTAAGCAGCTCCAGCATGAGCTCTGGTCAAGGCTGGTCTTGGATGAATTGTGTCATGGCTGTTGTCTGCAGCTTTGTTTCTCATTGAGTTCAATGAAAATACACAAAGCTTTTATGTCCCCCGATTCCTCCTCCTGCACACCTTCTCTAACTCCTCAGTGTTTAAGTAGTGGTGGCTCTGATTTCATCTCTGCTGGCCTGTCCTTTGTGTGCATGGCGATAATTCCTTGCAGTATTCAATGTGTCACAGACTGCCGTGCCCTGTCTTGGTGGAGGCCATCACAGCCATTGGTAGTTTTTGAGTGATCACTATGGGCTTCGCATTTTGCCAAGTGCTTTTACACATACTCCATATGTTCATCAGTTTGTTTTCCAGATGTGGAGATCATTGAGGTCACACCCTAGGAAGAGGCAAAGTCGGGATTCAGCCTTAGTTAGGATGAACCTTTAAAGCTTACACTTGTTACCTGCCTACCATTACCTTGATTTTTCATCTAACTACATGTTTTTGCCTCTCCCCCGGACTTTAATGAAGCAACAATGTTGGGACGTTTGTTAACATTTGTTAACATTTCAACTTGGTGGGCATTAGGAGTTCGTACGGATTTCCTAAGGCTAAAACCCTAAGGTGGTTGGATATTCAGGTTAAACACAGAAGGGCCACAGGGTGTGCTTAGCTACCTTGTCTTTTTGTGCAATGGTGTTTACTCCATTTCTGATGAATAGCTTCTTTTAGGCCTGGGGCAGGAGATGAGAGGGAAGAAAAGCCATGGCTCCTGTCCCCAGCAGCTTTCTCTTTGAGGGAAATAGCAAAACGATACAGCTGGTTTATTCAAGTGCAAGTGTGTTAGCCAGGTGGAAGACACTAAAGCTGAACATAGACACCTACGTGGTACTTGTGGTACTTGTGGTACTCGTGGACAGGCTGTGAGTTGGTAGGGCTGCTGACAGTCTCTTCATTGTCTGATCTGTGCCTTTCTTGTTCTGCATTAACATCTTTCATAAAAGCAGATTTATTTATTTAAAAGTCAGAATTATAGGAAAGGGAGAGTATCTTCTATCCACTGGTTCACTCTCCAGTTGTCCTCTACAGCTAGAGCCTGGCCTGGCCGAAGTCCAGAGTTGCTTCTCCTGCTGCTTTTCTAGGTACATAAGCAGGTAGGTGGGGCAGCCAGACTCAAACTGGGACCCAAGTAGGATGCCAGCATGATAGGCAGCAGCTTTGCCCACTATAACACAATGCTGGCTCACTCCTCAGATGGCTGCACCAGCTGGAGCTGAATTGATCTGAACCCAGGAGCCTCTTCCAAGTCTTCCACCTCGGTGCAGAGACTCAATGCCTTGGGCCGTCCTCCACCGCTTTCAGAGGCCATAGGCGGGGAACTGGATCAGATGTGAGGCAGCTGGATCTGGAACCGGCACTCATATGGCACTGTAGACAGAGGATATATGTGCTATGTCACAACACTGGCCCCTGGATGGTTGTTTTTATAAAGTAATGCCTAAGCTTGCAGACAGCAAATGAATGGCTTAGAAACAAATACATAAATATTAAGAAAGAGATAATAATCGTTTGAAATCCTTATTTCAGATAGAATCAACAGCAGGAGAGTTCGGTAATTCAGGATCTCTTTATTGTCTCTAAAGCATCTTGTTTTGCTGGGTGTCCTACCACAGCTAGGGAACTCTGGAACCTTTCCACTAAGATTAGTTAAAATAAAAGGTTTACTTTATTAAGTTACTCCAATGCTGAAAGGCAGAGGTCCTGTTACACTGTCCCTTTAAGGAGTGTTTTTTTGGGTTCAGCTGTATTTAATTAGGAATTCCAGTCCCAAATCATTTCAATAAAATCAAAGTTGTGCTGTAACATGAAACCACCTTCAAAGTGGATTTGGATTGTAAATAGGCATTACACATAGGTTGCTGTGCAAATACAGAAACAGCTGGGGTGACCAGAGCCAGGCTGTCAGTAATAACAGAACACGAGAGCCGGAAGAAACATTGCAAATCATTTGACTCAATCCCACACGTTTTAACAGGAAATGTAGGTAGAGTAAGGCTCAACTACCCCAACACGCACAAACACCGTTATGTTAATACTAATTTGCAACCAGAACTGAACTGCCCTGTGCAATGACCTGTCCCCCTCCCATGTGGGCTGCTATATCAGCTCTTGTGTTTCCTAACCGGGCAAGATGCTGGACTCCAGTAACGCATCCTACCTTGCATGAACATGTTGCGTGGGTACTAATCCAGAGGTTCAGACATGGAGATGCTACATGGCAAATAGCCCCGGGACAGCTTTCTCAGGCAGGACTGAGGCAGGAGGAGAACTGGAAGGTTCCTGGAACTCTAGAGAATGAGATGGGGAGAAGACGGGGCTTGACTGTTTGGTGGAATTGCACTTTTTGCTTCTGCCTGTAGAGGCGCCCTTCGCCTCAGGGTTTGTAGGGATAATGGGCGTGCTTCTGGGGTGTGATTCCCAAGCCAGAGATGCTGAACACGGTTTGGGTTTGGGCTTGCCAGTGGTGTTGAGTTCTGGAGCCAAACAATGGTCTTGTTCTGGTGCAGCTGGCATAGACTCCTCCATAGAGTGACAACAGGAATAGGACTTAACTTTCAAGGTTTTTTATGAGAAAGAAGGGAGCTAAGGTACAAGAAGCAGAGGCGTCACACATGAGAGAAGTAAAGGCTGCGTTATTCCTGAGCTACAGCATAACAATTGATTTGGTGTTGACATCCTGGAACCAGCACATTTACTGAAAGAATGACATAGAAAGGATTGGCATGATCCCTACATGATTTGCAAGAGTGACATGCAAATTGAAGTGTCCCGTGTGTTTAATTGTCTGTATTCCTATGGAACAGTGGTTTTTCTACTTGTTACTTTTTCAGCATAATGGTTAGTGGTGCATCAATCCATGATTATAAAACTAACTTGAAAGTACATTATTGCAAACATTAAAGGAAACGAAAGAGGAAGGTTGGGATTGAGGGCTGCAGGGAAGTATGGCTATCTTAGAATGGTATCTGTGAAGTGCATGAAATCTGATATTTGACATTCATGTTTTTAAAATAGAAAGTATGGCCTCATAGAAAAGCATTAACAAACAATTAGGGATTGACTCTGGTTGCAATGCTGTTTCAAAGACGAATATGTGGTTAAGGTGTTTTCATCTGCAAATTGAAAATTAAGCTCTTGTGCTCTCTGACTTAGCAAAAGGTGCCAGGGAGGAAGTGATCAGACCTTTCCAAGCCTCCCCTCCCTCAGACTTGAAAGCAGTTGTTAGCTGTATCTACCACATGGCAGGCTGGGGGAACTCAAGTGCAAGGACATGCGTGTGAAGAGGCCAAGCGTTTTGTTGGAAATGAGGTCTAAAGAGTTCGTGTTTCCCTCTCTTCCCAGTTTCCACCTCGCTGCTGCCAAAGGACACGTGGAATGCCTCAGGGTCATGGTGACGCATGGTGTGGATGTGACAGCCCAAGATACTGCCGGTATGTTGCTTGTAATCTCTCCTCATGGACCAGCACGAGAGTCGGTGTCAATGGGGGATCCATATTCATAATAAAGCTATCATCCACTAACAAGCCAGAAGAGAACCGAATGCCCTCTGCCAGCAGTGATGAGGTCCTCAGGTGTCCCTTCACAAGTGTGTGGGTTTTTCTTTTTTAAAGATTTGTTTATTTTTATTACAAAGTCAGATATACAGAGAGGAGGAGAAACAGAAATCTCTTCCGTCCGACGATTTACTCCCCAAGTGACCGCAAAGACCAGAGCTGGGCTGATCTGAAGCCAGGAGCCCAGAGCTTCTTCCAGGTCTCCCACGCAGGTGCAAGGTCCCAAGGCTTTGGGCCATCCTCAACTGCTTTCCCAGGCCTCAAGCAGGGAGCTGGATAGGAAGTGGGTCTGCCAGGATTAGGACTGGTGCCCACATGGGATCCCAGCACGTGCAAGGCAAGGACTAGGCTACTGCACTGGGCCTCACCAAGTGTGTTTTTTTTTTCTGTGTAGTTCGTCTGTAAGAGCCTAAACATGATATTATTTTCTGAGATTGTATGTGTGGAAGTCTGTGTTTTCTGACTTAGGTTTCTAGAATCATAGAGTGAGAAGGGATGAGTAGAGTGGGCTAGTGGGGAGCTCATGTCATCAGTGAACTTAAGGCAGAAGACACAAACTCCATCTGGACCAACTCACCTGGAGATGGGATGGAAGGAGGGGAGGGAAGGGAGATGGGGAAAAGAATAAAGAGCATACACACACATACACACACACACACAGATTCTCTCTCTCTCTCTCTCTCTTTCTCTCTCTCTCTCTCTCCCCCTTCCTCCCTCTCTTCTGCCCTCCCCAGGCTCTTCTCATGTGATTCAGATTCCATTGAATCTGGAGGTTTCTAGTCGGCTAATAAATTAAAGTTCCCAGGTGATTCTAAGATGAAGTGAATGCTGACAAATCATAGTCCAGGCAAAGGGCAAGAAAGAAAAGGGGGTGCACGTAATTTTGTTTTTGAGAAACATTGTCCTCAGGAGACCACATGGGGGTGCCCCTATTGGCTACAATGAAAAGCAATTACCAACAATTTTTCATTTCTCTACTGCGCATGGTAGTATTCAGACTCTAGATTTTTTTGAAGTTAGTTTTTTTTCCTTTTTACAGAAATATAACATCAGCCAAACTCCGTAGTTTTTCTCTAAGTGAGGTTTTTCATTAGTCCCTTCCATCAAAAAATTGGTCTCTTTAGAGTAGTTATCTTGGAGACCCAGTTAGGTATTGCAAGAATGCTATTAGAATTCAAAATATGATTGGAAACTTAAGTTTTAAAATTGTTTTCGAAGTTTCAGGCACTTTTTTTCCCCCTTACAAATAACCTCAGTGGTTGGGAATGTTTATCCTTTGAGAATAATTTTTTTCCAGTATAAGCCAAGAACCACTTGAAGTCAAATCAGGTAAATGATGTGTCAAGCTAGTAAAAACCATCTTTGGTCAAACCCAGGGAGTGATTGAAGTAGCAGAATCATGCTCACTAACCATTGGACAGGGAGTTCCAAAAATATTTTGAGAAGGATGAATGGTTTCCTTAGGTGGCTACCTTAAGGGAAATACTGATTCATGTCACATTGGTTCATCTTCAGTTTCAGGATCTGGTTATTTTATCTGTAAAGATCATTATCATTACTTAAAGAATCTTTTGTAAGATTTTAAAATGCGTTTTACTGCTTCAGCTCCTCAGGTGAGTGTAATGACCAGCACTGGGCCACACTGAACCAGGAGCCAGGGGCTTCATCCAGGTCTCCCATTTGGGTGGCCGGGGCCCGCACAATTGAGCCTCTTCTGTTGCCTTTCCCAGGCCATGAGCTGGAAGCTGGATCAGAAGTGGAGCAGCTGGAACATGAGCAGGTGCTGATGAGGGATGCTGGTATCGTAGACCACAATGTCCACCCCATTGGCCTTGCTTTTAAAGTCGTACCGTATACACATGGGGCAATATAATTCGGCAACGTGCTTTCAATGAGATATATTATTAAATAGAAATTATTTCTTATGTAAGAAAGTCAGAATTTTTAAATATTGGCTTAAAATTACCTGTCTGCTGCTATCATAGTGCTGGGTTTGGTTTTTTTTTTTTTTTTTTTGCATTGAATGTTAATGAACAGCACCATGGTAATTTCCACTGTAACTTCTTTCTTCATCACTATTTTGTTATAGGGGAGAATGAGCTTCTTTAGTATATGCTCACTGTAGAAAATTTAGGAAATATAGAAACCTATGTACTGCTTTTCTGTATATCCTCATAGATTTTTCTGCAGCACATTTTTATGTAGGAGAAGTCATATTAGGTATTAATTTCTGTGTCCTGTTTTTAAATTGAACGTGCAGGCAGTAGCATTCCCCTCATTAGGAAACTCTGAAGAAGCAGAGGTTTCTGTGGCCACACAGCGCCATGGATGGTAGATTCCTCTTCATCAGAAACCCCTCTGGGGTTCTGAGAGCCGGTGCAATGTCCACTTCCCACACACCGACCTGGCCCTGTCATTGTTGACCCACCCTGAATGCCTCTCAAGGCTGCTCAGTGGGAACTGACTAAAATGAGTAGCAGCCACAGCACTGGTGGCGCCAGGCCATTGTCCAAGCATCCCAGGGTTGGAAGTCTGTCAGAGCCGACTTCCCTCTCAGCTACCGTTCCTCGCAGTGAGGCCAGCAGTTTGCTCTTCTTGCTTTGTTTCCTATGAGGGCTGAGCAAGGCACCAACTTCCTATGAGTTCTTGAAAGCATGATGAAAAGCGAACAAAAGAAGGAAAAAGCTGCTTGGAGAAAAGTGCATGGGAATGTCTGTGGAAATGTCTAGACCAGCATTTCCCAAAACTTTCCCAGTCCCAGTGAGATAAACTGTGCCTTCTACTGCCAGGACCTGTGTTTTTCCTGTTAGCCGTGACACTGGCCACACAACACCTTTGAACACAAGGGAAGGAGTAGGGCATTGGGCACTGCTCCTTAGTGGTCATCCTTAGTACAATGCATTTTTTGGTAGTTGGAGGATGAATTAAATGGCTCAGCTTTTACAAGTGTGTCTGCTCAGTGAACCCAGTAAATGGTCAGCTTATTACCAAGATGTAATCATCTTCAATACGAGGATCCAGTGAGAACTGGGGTAGAGATCTATCACCACGAGTCATACTGCCCTGCAAAGTTTTTGGAATAAACTTCCTGCCAAACACATCACACCACAACGCTTTTCATCTACAAAGTCCACAGGATGAGCAAACTGGTATAATTTCTGACTTCTTACTGGTGACTGAATTTAAGTTATGGAAGCAGAGGTGTTCAGCATCTGTTGGGTTTTACCCTTGCACATGAAACACTTGGAAATCAGATCAGAGAATTTTTATAGGTGCTTTACAGTTAATCATATGACCACAGCACTGTCAGAAGATGAGGCCTTGAGTATAATTACAGGACAGTGTCAATAATCGTATTTTCAATGGCCTTGAAAATGTCAGTGAGAAGTGGCTGTGTAGAGACTTTAGGAGTGATAGGCATAACATATGCATGAGTGCTCTGTGCATGTGGCTACTGCAGTTTTAGGGCTCTTGCCACTTTATTCTCTTATACACTGGAGTTTTAAAAGGTTTTGTCTTATGAGAAGTTATTTTACAAGTCAGAAAATGAAAACCCAAGGGCTTGAAGACAGTCATTACTTACGCTTTCCTTTTGGAAGATTTTCTCCTGATCCTGAATAATTTTTTTCCCCAATGGCATTGTGCAGACGTGTCATGATCACATGGAAAAATCAGCATCCCTGAATGAACTAATATGACTTGGAACCTGGAACCTTCCATTGATTTTTTTGTTCTTGCTCTTTGTTGATAGATGAATTAACTTAGAAAATACTTCTGGGGTAACCGATTAACTTGGGGGCTTTTTATTTAATGTCTACATTAGCACTGGAGGGTAGGAGATAGAATTTAAAAGATTATTGAAAGAGGTGTTAGATTCCCGTTTGTCCTTCTGTGACCGAGTTCTGAAAGAAGAATGCCTTCAAGACAGGACGCTCTGACTCCGTTGAAAGTCTTTTATTGATGTGGCAGCTCTACTCCCATCTCAGGGACCCAGGCTTCTTGTCACATCAGTGCACAGGTATTTCTGTGGGCCCATTCTCCTGGGAGGACTCCCCAAGAAGTCTGCATCCCACAGCACTGTAGGGGAGGACAAGAGCAGGCAAATACTCTATACATACAAGGGATTTTCAAGAAGTTAGTAGAAAGCGCATATTATTTAAAAAATGAAGCGTGGCTCTTCAAATATGGACAACAAAATTCATCTGTTAATTCTCTGTGTGAACTTTTTGATAGTTTCTAGGCCTTTTGACTAAGATCAAGTATAGTATGGACTGTTGGAAATACTCTTCACTCAAATCCTGTAAACCTGTGGACACAAGATTGGTTTATAGGATAATGGGACATTGTGAGTAGCCATTTTTTTCATTAAAAAAATTGAAGGTTTGGAAGGATACTTGCATCCGGTATCAGAATGCTTGGATTCTGTACCGACTCCAGTGTTTTACTAATGCAGAGGCTGGTATTTTAGTTAGACTCAGATGGCTGAGTTCCTGGCTCCCAGTTTGGTCCTGGCACCGGCTCTTGAAGGGATTCTGGGGGAGTGAACAAGCAGATGAGAAATCTTGTTTTCTCTCTCTCAATTCTGTTGAACAGTTCTTTCTCAACTGTCACTCTGCTTTTCAAATAAACATTTGAAAAAAAAATTGAAGTAATGACGAGACTTTCCAAGAATGATGATTTTGAGTATATTTAAAAATGCAAATAAGTGAAGATAAATTTATATAGTTATATAAAATCCATGTGTTTATATTTCTAATACATATTTATAATGTATAACATAAATTTATTCTGAGTTTTAAAATTTTTGAGCATCCAAGATTTTTGAAATGTTTGAGTTTTTGAACATCAAAGGGATAGAACAGGCTCTTTTCCAGTGGTTCACTACCCACTGCAACAGCTGTGACTAGGTCAGGGTCAAGGCTGGGAACTCGATCCACGTGTTCCACGTGGGTGGCGGGAATCCAGTTACCTGAGTCACTGTCTCCAGTGTCTATGTTAGCAGGAAGCTGGGATCACGAGCTTTTTTGAGTTCCAGTGTGGATGTGGTCACTTTAACTGCTGAACTAAATGAACGCTCCTGAAGTACTGATTTTTAACAAAATATTTTAAGTTGTGTCTATATGAGTAGCTTTATATTTATTTCTAAGTGCTTTCATGATCAGAAAGTGTGGCTTCTCAAATTTTGGCCTTTGGATATTAGCCATATGCTTATAGCCATTGACATCATTAGTCTTAACATTGTTCACATCCATTTGAGAAGTATTTTGTCATTCTCATTAATTCTTTTATTATATCAATCAGTTCTTACTTTCTCCAGAGATTTGTGGATAGAGAAAGTGATCCCTGGTTGAGGTAGTTTAGGGCAAGGTGTCCGAAGGCTGGGGTAGCCATGACTTTCCCACTTAGAGTCTCTTTCAACAACAGCATTCTTAGACCACCTACAACAGCCCAAGACTCCGGACTTACAAATAACATTCCTCTTTGTTCAGGCGCAGTTCTTCTGGGACACACTTGAATTCACGTTGCCCTTTTTACTTGCCTGCAGGAAAATTGCTTCCTGACCTTTCAGACAGATGACAGTGGTATGGGAACCAGATGTGTGCATTGTCTCATTACAGTGGGATTCCGTCACTAATAGATGATATTCTCTGCAGAAAATTTCACATTTGGAAAGAGGATTGAGTTTTAATGTGAGCAACAAGAGACCTCTCACTTTGGTGTACTAGTGGTCGGGGAATGATTTGTTTCATTTGGATTTTGAAATGATGTTAAGTGAAAAAATACTTTTGTGCTGCTGGTTCGGAAAATGCATCTCAGAGCCAGGGAAGAAAAGAATTTCTGCTGCTCTAGCAACTCAGCTTTCCCGTCCAAGTATGACCAGAACCCTGGAAGAGAAAGGAGAGCCTGTTATTTATGTTATGAAATTGTCCTACCTTGTTGTCTTTGGAGAACGGTGCCTTGATTCAGATGGATACTGTTATGTAGAACAGCTTTTGTCCATGTCATAGACAAAAGCTAATGCATTGCATATACAACATAAGCAGTCTACAACTTGCAATCAGGATGTGTTCCAAAAGTTCATTTGTTAGGCGTTTGTTTAAAATTCAGAATGTGCTTGTCCTTAGAAACTGTGGTATAAATGATAGTTGGGAAGGCCAAGTCCACCCACCAAAGCCTATTTAATGCATAATGAAACTAAACTCCTACTATTATGCTTTATATGCCCTGGAAAGAGAAGCTCTCACACGATCAGGAGGAAGGGGGACAGAAGATCGTTGTCTAGCAATTTTCAAGGGTCTCTTTTTCTCTCCTTTCTTAGTCTTTCCCTCTCGGTATCCCATTCCAATGGAAAAGCAGCCTCACCCCTGGTACATACCCTAGGATCTTGCAGGACAGTTGGTGTTGAATGGAAAGAGTGTCGTCTTTGGGCTTTGTGCATGCTTGCATGCAACTCAGCATGTCTGAGGACCCTTTAAATGTTAGATGTATTTCCTGGCTATGTGATTATCTAATTAGTGAGTTCTGGTCAGTGTTGCACAGTGAAGACTTCATTCACAAAGGACAAAGGTATCTTCAGACTATGCTACTGCATAAAACAAGTTGTTCATCTCACTCGTGTGTAGTTTTGTCCCCATAGGACATTTGACAATGGTTGGGGACATTTTTCGTCTCCGTAACTAGACATCTTAATGGATAGAGACCACAGATACTGCTTGACATACTACAGTGCATAGCACAGCCAGTTGCAGCAACTCTCCAGCTTGAAATAACAATAGCTTTTTAAGGCTGAATCACCATGTTTTCAGTGTCTCCTAACGTATACATTGTTTGCAGGTATCACATTAGGCACTTTTGGTGAAAGTGTTTACTAGATGTGTTCGGTTGGCTAGCTATTGTAGCCAGTTACCTACCCCAGACACTTGAAATGAGTGTATTATTTAATTCAAATTGCTAAGCACCATTGAAAGCCTACTATGCACAGTGGTGTTGTAGACACTGGGAATACAGCAGGAACTGAGGCAGAGATACCTGTCCTGATTGAGTTTATATTCTTGTGGGAGAAATCATAAACTACATAAATCTGCATGCGCATTTACATGTCACAGGAGATAGCTGAGAAGAGAGTGATAGAATGTTTTGGTGTTATGATGAATAAAGAGCTAAAACGGAGTGGGTATAAAAATATTGGGAGGAAATCAGAATTTTATTTAAATTTTTGGATTCATCAGTTTCTCACAGGCACCTGTATTAGATGGAAGCCGCAGTCAGGAGGTAGAATTGAGAATGAGCCCAGGCCATCCAAACTGCAGTGTAAACATCTGAACTGTAGGCTACCTCCGGAATTGGAATTTTAAATGGGGATGTCAGAAAGGCCTCATTTGGAAGGTAGCATTTCAGTGGCTTACACAGAGGTACAAGAGCAGGCTGTGTGACTGTCGGAGAATCCAGGTTAACTGTAGCCAGTGGCAAAGGCCCTGCCAGGGGACCTGTCTGTTCCAAACCTCTTCAGTAGAAATTCTTCGGATCCATTTCGGAAGGAGTTGGGTAGAGCAATTGGATTTCCTAATGTTATCTGACCACAGAAATGAAATTTTCTGTTGAAACCATGTGAAGGGAACTGAAATCTCCCTTCAACAGCATGTTTTACAACTCTTCCCATTCCTCTGGATGAGAATATTAAAATCTAAAAAAACTTGCAGTAAGGTTTACCCCAAGCGGAGGTCCATTTGGGGACCAGGGCAACCAGAGACACAGTGTGGGGATTGAGGTGTGCTGCTCTGATGTGTTCTCTGCTGCCTTGCCACTGCCTTCGGTGGGTTTCTGGGTCCCAGGGCTCCCAGCCTGGTGGGATTGCTGTGGACACAGGAAGCTTGACGTGGCTGTTGACAGTGAAAGGCGATTACGTATAGGTTCTAAGCCCAAGGCTTCCTTGCACCCCAGAAGAGGTGCAGGTGGGGCCTGTGTGTCTGGACTAGACTGGAATGCTCTCTCTCCTTGGGCTCAGGAATGGGAGGTCTTACTCTCCAGCATGGCAATGTCAAGCTTTCGGAGAGGTGTTTTATTTCCTCAGAGTTGTCTTCAGTGTGATATCTTTTCTCTAATTTTTGTTCTCTAACCCATTTAGGACGCAACGCTTTACACCTTGCAGCCAAGAACAGCCACCATGAGTGCATCAAGAAGCTCCTTCAGGTAAATTACCAATGACTCTACATCCTAAACATGTCATTCACCTATTTTTGAATAATTTTATTTATTTGAGGGACATAGACAAGCAGAAACAAGAATATTCTCTCTGCTGGTTTGTTTCTCAGATGTCCATGGCAGTCAGGGCTGGACTGAGCGGAGATCAGGAGCCAAGAACTAAAACCACATCACTCATTTGGGTGGCAGGGACCCAAGTACATGAGCCATCACTTGCTTCCTCACTGGGGACAGGTACATTTGCAAGAAACTGAGATAGGGAACAGAACCAAGACTGGAACCCAGACATTCAGTGTGGATGTGGACATCTCAATTCCTGGGCCATTTAGTATCACCGCACCCCTCCCTGACTCATGCACACACACCTGTGCACACATTTCTTTCCATAGCACTCCAGAAACTGTCTTCTGTAAGGCTGTCCTATTGAAGTCATAGCTGAGGAGGTGGCTTCCTTTGTAACCAACACCCTGGCATGTAGGAGCGTGCTGAAGAAAACAGGGCGGCTGTTCCCAAGATGCAGCCGTCTTAGTTTTATTTGGCTCTTCTTTTCCTTCCTGTCAAGCGTGTGCCCTCTAAATCATCAACTGGAAAAAAAAATCTTCCTTCCAAACTCTTTGAAATTTTACCATATGGGATCTCCAGAATCTGCAGCTCTTCTTGTGGAGGAAACTTTCCATGTTATCTCCTTGCTTGTAACTTGATCCTCTTTGTGCTCTTGGTTTTTGTTCAAGTCCTTGGTTTTATTCTTTACAATTGTAAACCAACTCCCTGGGTTGGTGACCATGCCAGGAAGTTTATAATGATCCCCTCAAATGTTGACATCTGCAAATCTCTAACAATGAATATTTAATGAGCTCCCATTAGCCCTCACTACAGTGGTGTCCAGCTGTAGCCGGTCAGAATGCAAGCTGGCTGTTTTCAGGCACAGCACAGAGCCATAAAAAAATGTGTGTGGAGTACTGCCTGTGCTGTGGAACTGTTGTCTCGGGTTCGGCAGCACTGTTTGGGACCCAGCAGCTTGCTTTAATTTGGCTTTGAAATTCTAATGCAGCACTGTGGTCACATTCTTGAGCTCATCCTGCCCTGCAGGTCACATAGCTCTTTGTCTTGTATTACCCAACTGCCAACGCCGGGAGTGCTTAACCTCAACAGGTCTTGGAAACAAAATTCAAGCAAAATAGATCAAGGCCTAGTATACTGCACTCCAAGGCTTTTTCCCTTCAGGCAATGAAATTAGAACTTTTCTTTCCTGCACCTGTTGGGACCAGGCTCTCTGGACCAATGAAAGTTACCGACTTGCAGAATGTCCCATGTCCATGCCCTTGGCCCTTTCGCAGTTTTGTTTCTTAATTTGTGTTTTCAATCTCCATTCCCATCCTGGCACAGCCTCCCAGGCTTTGCATCTGGCTCTGATTTGAAGGAAGAATTAACCTGACAAGCTGGAAGCCTCATGGGCCAGAACCAGATATTCTAGCCTTTTACTGTAATCCTATATCTGGTTATGCAAATGGACTGGTTTTTCCCTGGAATCTTTGAAGCCTTTAAACAATTCCTTGTGCTGTTCTAAAATTAGGCCAAAGCATGATGAGTTGTAACTTGATCTTCGTTCTTCCCACCAAAGGGCATGCAGTTCACTCCAAGGTGACCTGTACTTGCCTCTTCAACTTCAGACTCTCTGGGCACAGTGCCTTTTGGATTGTTCCGAGAGTCTTGGCCTAGGAGGTGCTCGCGATGGGTTGCTTTCCACGGGCCCTGCGTCTCCATCAACACTTGTTCACCTTCTGTCTTGACCGCCATGCTTTCTCTGATGATCCTCTGCTGATTCCTCTTTCACTCCTGCGCCTTCCCAGGGCCCTCTAGGCTTGATATTTTTTTTTTTTCTGTTGCCTGCCAGAGAGATCAACTCCTCTTTGCAGAATTGTCGTTTTAAGTTCTGCTTCCTCCCACGAACTTTCCCTGCCTGGATGAGTCCTTTCATGCTTTGTTACAGTGAGTGTAGGCTCCACTGGGCCAGTCCTTCAGTAGGTACTTCTGAACAGAGCATCCCCCACCCCAACCGGATGCTCAACAAACATTACAAAATGCACTGCACTAAGTAGGAAATGGACAGCACACTGTGAAGGAGGTCTGAGAAGTGGGCGCCCCTTGGAGGAGGTTCTAAGCTGAAACTGCCAAAAGCAAAGAGCCACAGGGGAAACATTCCAGGCTGGAAAGAACAAGTGCAAAGGGTCTGAGGAAAGAAATGTGCTGGTCAGGGAGGGAAGAAAGCCAGTGCGTGGGACTAGGACAAGCAAGATGGCATTAAGGATAGGACCTTGTCTGCCATCATAAGCAGACTTTGATTTATTTTAAGGATTTATTTATGTAAAATATGGAGTTAAGGAAGGGAGAGAGATATGAAGTAGTTGTCCATCTGCTGGCTCAAGGCCCAAATGGACACAGTGACCAGAGCTGAACCAGGAACTTCGTCCTAACTTCCCACATGAAAACAAGGCCCAAGTACTTGGCACACCTGCTGCTTTCCCAGGCACATTAGTAAGAAGATGGATTGCATGTGGAGCATCCAGACTCAAACTGTTACCCATGTGAGATGCTGGTATCACCCACTATGCCACAGTACTGTCCCCAGTTTAAAGGGGTTTTAAGCACTCAGAGACATCCACAGTTTGAAACGATTGTTCCAGTTGTATTGAGAATTGATTGAAAGGGAAAGAAACAGAAACGGGAAGCCCTCCTCACCGTTCAGATGAAAAGCTGCGGTCTTGGTCGTGGTAGTGAGAAAGAGGACAGAATCAAGGTGTTCTGAAGGAGACTCGACAGGACGTGGTGATTGATGAGATGTGGGAGTGAGAAGAGAAGAAATCAAAGATGATGTGATGCGTTCTGGTTCCCTGCCAGAATGAACAGCAGTGCCGTGGGTGTGGCGAAGAAGAACTAGATGATTTTGATGTTTGTGGGACTTTGGAGACATCAAGCAGAGACATGGGTGAGCAGCCGATTACCAAGCCTGGTGCTAAGAGATCACATCTGTTGGGAATGAGCATGAAGGTGCCAGCCCCACCTGTCTGGCTTTGAAACTTCCATTTGATGATTTACTGTGATTCGAGAGAATTAAACTTTGTGCCTCAGTTTGTTCATCTGAAAATGAGGGCAATAGTGGCATCTAAGTAGGACTGTTGGGAGCCTTAAAGTCTGAACTTCTGACACGTGATACCTGTTACTTACCGATGTTCATTCTAAGAGTTACTTGTGTTGTTAAGGTCTACTTTGGGAGCCATTAGTTTCAGATTTTCAGACGACTGTGGATGAATTTCCCAGGGAAGTAAGCTTGGAGGCAGAGCCCTCAGCAGTCCTAACATATTTTGTTTGGCTAAGGAGGTGGAGTAGTCAGAGCTGGCGGGCTGGGCAGGGGCCTTAGGAGCTGGGAGGAGGAATGTGGAGATGAGTGGATTGCCATGGAGAGGTCAAAAAGAGAAGGACCAAAAATACTGTGACCATCCCAGGGCTGTGTCTGTGGAGGCTGGAGAGCAGTTGCATTGGATTGAGGAGTGACTGAGAGGCCAGGAGCGTGACTGTGTGTGGATAACTTAAGAGAAACTTGTTTTCTGAAGAGGGATGGAGAATTGAGGCAGAAAGTGGGGGAAATGCAAGATCCAGACGAGACCTTGGAGTGTGGTTCTCAGCTGGTGGGGGGGATCTGCTGGCCCCCCACTGGTGATGCAGCAATGGTGAGACCGTCTCCTTGATGGCGTCACATGGAGATGGAGTTCCCTCCCCAAAAGAAACAAATGTTTCCTGGAGCACAGCAATGGGGACCTCTTCATGTGCACAGCTTCCTAATATGTCCCACCTTCCTTGCAAGGCAAGGCTGAGCTAAAAGGAATTCATGCATGATATTATTATATTATGTGTGCCTCTTTTTTTTTATTTTGTAGTCTAAATGCCCGGTTGAAAATGTTGACAGCGCTGGGAAAACAGCTTTACACTACGCAGGTAACTTTCTCTTTTTAGTCTTCTTCCACCATAGGAAACACTAACTTTTCATTTTCCCAATTGAAGGCATTAACTGTGTTATTCCTGGGGCTGTTTTGTGTCATCATTCGTATTTTATACAGTGTGTAAGACCACACAGTACACCTAGTATTCATCAGTTGCCTGCCTCATTACCAGAGGAAATCTTCAGGGTTAATGTATTATAACTAGCATAAATGTTCTTTTAAAAATAATTTAGTAATTTACTTATTTGTAGAGGGGAGAGACAGAGTTGCCATCCACTAGTTCACTCCCTAAATGCCTGCGATAGCCCGAGCTGTGCTATGCTGACACCAGGGCTTAGAATCTCCATCGGAGTCTTCTCAGGGGATCGCAGCAGTCCCAGTGCTGGGCCATCACCTGCTGCCTCCCAGGTGCCCAAAGGCTAGAAGCTGGAATTGGGAGTGGAGCTAGCACTTGAACCTGAGCACTCCGGTGTGCACTTGGGGAGTCATGCCTAATTCCTGTCCCTCAGGTTTCACAGAAATAATAACACTGATTTCCGGGGTGATTAGATATGCAAGTTTCTTTTGTTGGTGCTTGCGAGACACCTTGTGACTGGCTGCCCTGTTTGTGTCTCCCTCCCCAGCGGCGCAGGGCTGCCTCCCCGCTGTGCAGGTTCTGTGGGAGCACAAGAGCCCGGTCAACCTCAAGGATTTAGTAAGTAGCAGCAGGTGGACACTGTCCTGCAGGACATTGTGGGAGACCCCTGAGGGCTTTGAAACTTTGGAGACCCAAGTGTTTGGAAACATTTGGCTGCTTTCAACTTGGGTCTTTTCCTGCAAAATGAACTTACACATTACTCCTCCCTAATGCCTAAATCATGATGAAAATATTCTGCTCTTGATCTTAGCCAAAAGGCCGAGAAGCGGTGATGTGGATATTCTGTAGATGCATTTCTTATACATGTATAGTTGCTTAATCTGAGCATTCTGCATTGTGTACGTGTATCTGATTATTACATTGTAGCCCTCAAATATATTCAAGTGTTTGTCCATTAAAGATTTTGAAAGAATTGAAAAGCATACATTTAAAACATTTTAAATCCCCATTTTTCAATAGTTGGACTATATTGTTGCTTATCATTTCCCTTTCCCTGTTCAACTGCTTCTACTTTAGAAATCACTTTCTATTGATTTATGGGGTATGTTCCACAAGAAAACAGAACAGCTTCTCTATATGGTTGGTGTTGTTTCTCTCAGGCCCTTCTTGCCCCAGATTACAGAAATACTTGCCTATATATTCTAGATTTTTTTCTTGTGTGATTTATGCTGTAATATTTAAGTTGTTTTTTTGAGATGTTATTTTTATTTAAAGGGCAGATTTACACAGAGGAGAGACACACAAACCCAAATACATACAGAGATCCCACCTGCTGGTTCACTCTGCAGTAGACCAATGGCCAGGAGCCAGGAGCTTCTTCCCGCTCTCCCATGTGGGTGCAGGGGCCCTGAGATTTGAGCTATCCTCCACTGCTCTCCCAGGTCAGAAGCAGGAAACTGGATTAGAAGGGGAGCAACCAAGGCATGAACTGGTACCCAGATGGGATGCTGGCTGTGCAGCAGAGGGTTGGTTGACTACTACCTCATGGCACCGGCCCCTAATATTTAAGTTCTTAATCCACCTGTTTGTTACAGGAGTTAAGGATTCAATTTTACTTTTTCCAGAATACATTACTAATTTTCATGACATAATAGATAATGCTATATTTTTTTTAAATCCAGCTGTGTGTTAAGAACAGACCATAGAGGAGTCTTATGTTAAGGATTTTCAGTTAGTAAGATTATAAAAGGCTTTGCTTTCCAGGAAGAACAGAGCGGAATAGCAGGAAGAAGCTGCTGAGAGGCAGTGGAATCTTCTGATGCCAGAGAGAGGCAGGTCCTTGGTGTGTGGCACCATGCCTCACTGCACATGGGGCACTCACCCGGAGCCTTCCCCACACTGAGTGAGGGGGCGAGCAGCCCAAGAGTTGAGCCTCCCCAGGAAGAGTGGAGAGGAACTTGAAATCTCTAAGAATTTTCCCAAGATTCAGTGGAGCCTCCAGAGAGGCTCAGCATAGAATCAGAATACCTTACTCTCTGGACCTGCAGTGTTGAGTCCAAAAAACTAGTTAACAAAAAATAAAAAGCTGTGCGAAAAGCACAGGTCTTTGCAGTTTTTGTGTTTGGAGTCTGACTCTGAGCTTGTCTCCTAGGACGGGAATATACCACTGCTGCTCGCAGTGCAGAATGGCCACAGCGAGGTCTGTCGTTTTCTCCTGGATCACGGAGCAGATGTCAATTCCAGAGACAAAAATGGAAGGTACCACACAGGCTGAAACCGTGTGACTTCAGCACTGTCTGTTCCTGGGGTCTTTCAAAATATCAGTCAGATTTTGACTCAATCATTAAATCATGGGTTCAATTTCTTATTAGTTTTCTACCTTTAAAAAAAAATCATCCAGAGTGTGTTGTGACCTCAAGGAGTTTTTTCTCAGAACTTTTGTGGGCATCCTTACTGATGATGACATTATTGTATTCTGATGCGACTAAGTTACTTCCTGTGACTTTCTTGCAAACGTATTAGCTTGTTTTTAAAAATAGTCTTAGCAATAGATAGGTTCTTTGACGTGCTTAAAGTGAAAGGACTGGGTTATCCACAGTGATACTGAACTCTGTCATCTTTTGTCAAATGCGTGGAAGATGGTGTTAGCTTGTTTGATACAATTTGATTTCAGGCTTCAATTTCATCAGAAGCTTTTAAAGAACAACCACCTAATTTCATTTTGTTGACTTTACTGCATTTAACTTGTGGGGATTCAAAGCATAAAGAAATGTTTTTCCTTGTTTAAGATTCTAGTTTCTGAGGGGTTTTCACACTGAGTACTAATTCTGTCTGTTTTCTTTAGAACTGCTCTCATGCTGGCCTGTGAGATCGGCAGCTCTGACATCGTGGAAGCCTTACTTAAAAAGGGTGCAGACCTAAACCTTGTAGATTCTCTTGGACACAATGCCTTACATTATTCTAAACTCTCAGAAAATGCAGGAATTCAAAGCCTTCTATTATCAAAAATCTCTCAGGATGCTGGTATGTGAAAGGAATAGCTGTTGTTGTTTTAAATTTATTCATTCCATTTTCCCCAGAGGATAAAGGAATTTGTGCAACATGATATATTTTATTATTCTTTTAGATATGTTCTTGAAGACTAATGAAATGTTACATATTATGGTTGTGTGTGTGTGTGTGTGTGTATGTGTGTGTGCACGCGTATTCCCTCACCCCAAAGTGGATTGAGTTTTTATGATTCTTACGTTTCCTTTTTTTCCTCCTGATTTATTTTTCTACTATAGATATAAAGACTCCAACAAAACCAAAGCAGGTATTTATCTTTGGGGTAAGGGGTTTTATTTCCGCATTCTTTGTGACAATCTGAAAAAAATGTAAATGAAACCACTCCGTAGTTTGATAGAAAAGTGATCATGATTATACTGAAGATATTTAAGAACTGAAATATCTTTGAAATAACTGATTCCTTTTTGTGAAGTAAGAAACATTTTTGAAAAATTAATTACCTCATTTTAGAAGCATGTAACTTTAAATTTGTTACTTACATGTTCATGTTTTTCTGGAATGTGCTAATACTTCCTACTGGTGTGAAAATGTGTGATGTGGTTTAAACTCATACTGAGTAACCATATCACATGGACAACAGGGTAGTCATGAAAATGTCAGATGTTTTATGAGAACCAGTGGTTTAGCATTTTCTTTTTATTTTAATTGTGGTTTTTCTAAGATGTCCTCTCATATGACACAGTAGAAATCACCAGGTGTGTTCTGCTATTTAGGAGTTCATCCTAAAGGCATGCAGTCACTCGGTTTATGTTTGCCTGCTCTATTTGTTCAAATATCAGGTTCTTGAATAACAACAAGAATGCTTAATACTGAATTTATTGTAGCTAACTGTATTACTTATTTGTCAGTAACCTTCAGAAATGAGATTTCACTTTCCCTTATATTTACATTTTTAATAAAGAAATGGAAGTAATGCAGAAGTGTGGGAAATACCACTGCTTTGCATTAAGATGGAAAGCTGACCATGAATATTATTCTGGGGTGTGAATCATGGTAGACGTTTCCTCATCTTCTACTTTCTTGGTTCTCCACACCAACTTAATCTGATTTAGTCCTTTTGTTGTTGTTTTATTTTCTTGCTATTAAAGCATGGGCTGCTGAAGAAAACTTGGAGCATGCATATTACTTATGTTTATGTTGGTAGCAGATTTCAAATCTTGGTATAGAAACGCTGCATGAACTATTGGAGTTTTCTTCATTGGTTTGATGAAGCTACTTGCTCAGACTTTACTAACCTAACTAACCCACCTCCATTCTCTGGACTGTGATAACTTTCAGCATGATCAAGTCTCTAAAATAAGCTCAGAAAGAAGTGGAACTCCAAAAAAGCGCAAAGCCCCACCACCTCCTATCAGTCCAACCCAGGTAAAACAGAAGCAAACCAGCCATCAACAAGCTTACAACCACAAAGCTGTAATTTTATATTTGGGTCAAAAAGGAGTATCTGTGAACTGACCTTCAACCGCACATTTAAAATTATCTTTAGCATCTTTAAATGACAGATTCTGGTAAGAAGGATTTTGATTATCAGTGTGGAAATTATGTTGACTTTTACCTGCTTAAAACCTATAGAATTAAGCATTATCTTTCTTTTTTTAAAGAAATTCTGAGATTTTATTGTATGGCAGGGTGACTATAGCTAATGATAACACACTGAATATATATATTTTTTGACAATCTTTACATAGTTAATTAGGGTAAAAAGGTTCAAGGGCTACAGGAAAGTGGATAAGACCAGTATTTTTTCCATATTGTTTCCTTCATATTTAAAGGGGGGTGTTAAGGGAGAAGGCCCACCAAGTTTCCCACCCTTCCCAGGTCCCGGATGTAGGGCATGCTCTGAGGTTCTTGCTCAAGTGGTTTTGATATTTCAACAGTTATGAATCGCTGCCAATCTTGCCACTCCAAGCACTATGAGGTCTTTGAAAAGTCCACTGCTTGACATAGATTTTTTTTTCCTTAGGATATTAAGTTTAGACTGATTTTAACTCCTTGTTTTAACAGCTCCAATGAGTGATAAGAGAATAGGTAGCTAGTGAGGAAGTTAGAAAAATAATTTTAATTGGTTTCTTACACTACTCCTGGAATATATTTATTATATATTATACATATTAAAGTATATAACTTTACCTTGTTGGTTATCTAATAGTAATACTAGTTTTCCTTACTAGTTGATAGTGACTGTTCCATAGAGAAGGAAGCTCAGAAATCTATAAAGTGACAAATTTAAAAACAATCTAGAGTTTGTTAATTTAAGAAATCCTGGGCCATAAAAGGAGTGTCCTAATTTTAAATATATGTTAGCATGTTTATTAATGGTACTCTCCGTTTGCATTAAAAGTTTAATAAACTTATAAAATGACTTAGTTGCACTCTACAAAGTTTAAAAAAAACAGGTTGAAGTAGCTGACTCTCTTCGAAAACAGGAAACCCTTTGATTAACTAAAGACGAAGATCCTTGCTGCATTAAGTAAACAGGTGTTAGAGATGCATTCTTTATTGGTGGTTTTGTTGATTGACATCTTTCGGTTTGCAGTCGAGTGATGTGTCTTCCCCAAGATCAATAACTTCAACACCACTTTCAGGAAAGGAATCAGTATTTTTTGCTGAACCACCTTTCAAGGTACTTCCTTTCTGTGTTCAGTTTTGTTACAGTATTTTAGGATATAAAATAGACCCTCCTTACAGAGCGCAGCATTGGGCAAAGCAGCGTACTATGAATCATTGGCTCCTTTGATTGGATTTTAACAATCTTTATGGAGACACTCTGAATTTTGATTATGGTGGTGGTTCTTTAGGCATGTATATGTTATCTTCATTATCAGCTTTAAATGATGCAGCTTTTTAGAGCGAATTCAGTTAAAAAAAATAAGTACTTTTTTTTTTAAATAAAAAGCTTTCTATAAAGATAAATACCTTTCCCTTCATCCCTAAAAAGAAATCCACTTTAATTTTAGTATTTGGGATTTTAAAAAAGTTTTTTGCTAAAAAAAAATACTGTATCTTGTCACTGTGTAGATCATCTAGATAAAAGGTATGGTCATTTCTGGCAATGCACTGTAATGCTTTGAAATGAGAGTCTGGTTTTGAAGTTCGAAGAACTTCTGTAATAAATTAACAAAATAGATATTGAGGATCAAAGGTTTAGAAATCTTTGGGGAATCAATTACCAACTCAAAACCATGTGGATTTCTTTCCTTTATAAAGTTACATTAATCTTTCCTAATGGGTCTCATGTATTATCTTTCTTCTTAGAAATGAATATTAATAATGTAACAATAACATAATTTATGAATTGGCAAGGCCAGAACATCTACTTCGAATGTGTTTTTATTGACATGGCACCTAGATAAGATACAATGTGTGTTTGATTTTATTATGTAATATCTGCCTTCTCAGGTTTTAGGACATACCCCAGTAAGTTGAATATTATGCAACATAGTGTTAAATATATTTTGATTGTGCTGGTAATATGCAGTTTCTTGAAAATATTTAGAGGATATGCTCCTAGAGCTTCGTAGAGAATATACCCCTTAGTAAAGAATTATCTTTTATTCAGTTACATTTAAAAATATCTTCTTTGAGTTTTCCCTATGGGATTACACTGTAAACTCTGGGAAGAAAATCTGCTCAATTCTTTCTGCTATATGACACTGTAAACATTCTTCTAAGTCATTGTGTATTTCAGCAGGCTGAGATCAGTTCTATACGAGAAAACAAGGACAGACTAAGTGACAGTACGACAGGTAAGATCAAGGAACAACTGATTTTCCTTTCATTCTGATTTTTGCTTCATTTATGAAAGGCAGGGTGATCCTTCTCTTCCCAGATGCTGGCAACAACCAGGGCAAAACCAGGCAGAAGCCAGGAGTCATCCTGGCCTCCTGTGTGGGCAGCAAAGCCCCGTTAACAGGAGCCATCTCCACCTGCTGCAGCCTAGGGTGCACACGAGCAGGAGGCTCGATTAGAAGCAGATTCAAACCAGGCACTTCCATGGAGGATATAGGCATCTTAAGAGGCATCCTAACTGCTGTGTCAAATGCCTGCCCTGGAGAAACCATCTTTGTTCTTTGACCAAACTCTATTCCATGTCTCTTTACGAGAGCATAGACCAAGCCAGGCTGTGTGTGAGGGAGGCAGGCATCACAGAGCTGTGAATCATGCATAGGCCATACTTTGTCCTTCAAGGAGCCTTATACTGGGTTTTAGAGTCTCTAAAGATGGGGGTAGGAGTGTTTTCATTTGTTCTAAATTAAAAGCTAGCATTTATTTTAACTATGAATATAAGATCCTAAAAGCTGTGAGATAAATAAAGGAAGTTAAACATTATTTTTGGAGGGAGAACAATTAAAGCACTTAGACCAGAGGAATGGCTCCGTCCAGGGGTGTTTGGGAAGACAATGAATGGAAAATGTGTGACCCACTCTGTCCATTTCCAGAATCCGTTGGTACACATACTGTGCTGGAGTAACAAGGCAAGGGCCCACCAGTGCCTGGGAGTTGCTGCTGCCCTCAGTCAACTGAGGGGGCTTTCACAGTCAGAGCTAAGAAGACTTGAATTAGGCTAGAAGATGAGTTGTGAGAGAAACACCAGTTTGATTGTTTTTATATTCTTTTAAATTGCCTTTCTCTTTTCCAAGGTGCTGATAGCTTGTTGGACATCAGTTCTGAAGCTGACCCACAAGATCTTCTTGTTCTATTGCAAGCAAAAGTCGCTTCCCTCACATTACACAATAAGGAGTTACAAGATAAACTGCAGGTGGGAAAACACTGCTACCACAGACTGTTCTGTAGAGTCAGCTGTGGCTGGTTATTAGAGATAATAAGATGGACTTTGTTTTAAAGATCTGCATTAGTTTCTTCTTTTTACATGTCGTTAATTTTAGGCTTCTTATGAAGTATCTGTTTCTTGAATGCGGTTCATTAACTATTTCCATAAATCGTATCTAGTAATATACCTAATATGATACGTATTTTGGTAAATATCTGCTGAGATGTTAGATATCCATGTGTGTATATAAATGTGTATTTGATGCAGGAATTAAGACATTGCTTGGGATGCCCACATCCCAGATTGGGGTCCTGTGCTTGAGTCCCTCCTCCGTTTCTGATCTAAGTTCCTGCTGATGTGCACATATCAGCTGTGGGAGGCAGCAGGTGATGGCTGAGGTCTTTGAGCCTATGCCACCCATATAGGAGACCCAGATCAAGTTCCAGCTCCCAGATTTGGCCTGGCCTGACTGTAATTATTGTAGATATTTAGGGAATGAACCAGCAGATGGGAGATCTCTCTTTGTTTCTCTCTATGTGTTTTTGCCATTCTAGTAAAATAAATGAAATGAAAATTTTAAATTTTATATAAAGGGCCTGGTGTGATGACTCTGTGGCTAACTCCTCAACTTGTTAGTGCCAGGATCCCATAGGAATACTGGTTCAAGTCCCAGATGCTCCACTCCCATCCAGCTCCCTGCTTGTGACCAGGAAAAGCAGTAGAGGATGGATCAAAGCTTTAGGACTCTGCACCCACATAGAAGACATAGAAGAAGGCTCCTAGTTCCCGGCTTCGGATTGGCTCAACTCTGGTTGTAGTGGCCATGGAAGATTTTTCTGTTTTCTCTCCGTAAATCTGATCTACTTTTGTGATACAAATAAATATTTTAAAAAAAAAGTATGAGCAAAATTTACGTTAAAAGTATTTGTATATTAAAATACACAGTCACATATGTAATTTTACATTTGAAATATTTGTATCACCTATTTATTCTGTAAAGCTGATCATTTAAATTTAGAACTTCGTAAGAAATAGCCATATTTAGGTTCACTGTTTTGGCAACTTCATAAGGATTTGAAAGACAAAGGGAAAATTTAAGTCAGAAGTTGTACGAATAAAATAATTCCAGTATTTTTATAAACTTTTAGTGGCTTTATTTGAAAGTGAGAAAAGGGAGATAGAGTGAGCGTGAGAGAGAGATCTGCCATCTGCTGCTTCACTCTTCAAATGGCTGCAATGGCCAGGGCTGGCATAGGTCAAAGCCAGGAACCTGAAATTCCATCCAGGTCTCCCATGTTGGTGCTAGAGGCCCAGGCATTTGGGCCATCTTCAGCTGCATTTGCAGACACAATAGCAGGGAGCTGAATGGAAAACGGAGTAGCTTGGATTCAAATTGGCCTTCTGATACGAAATGCCAGCATTGCAAGTGGCTGCCTAACCTACTAAAAATACCACAAGGTGAACCCCCTTTCTAGTGTCTCTCAAAGTGAGCTTTGAGGTGTTCATCGACTGTTTTTTCCATTGGTGATAGGATGTATATGTCAAATGATGATGCTGTAATTTTTTTCATTACCTGAGTTTCAGATCTGTTGCTGTCCTGGTTGCCTGCTCACCTCATCACATCTTCAGGGCCAACTAATTCTTGCTTTCTTGTCCCAGGCCAAATCGCCCAAGGAGGCAGAAGCAGACCTCAGCTTTGACTCCTACCATTCCACCCAGGCTGACTTACCGCCATCGCTGAGCAAGGCCAGTGGGGCTTCTCCCCCAGAACCCAAGCCGCCTCTGACTGCCTCGGCAGATCTCGTGGGCAGATCCACTGCTGACAGCGATGTTAGAATTCAGCAGCTCCAAGAGGTTTTACAGGACTTGCAGAAGAAACTAGAGAATTCTGAAGCCGAGAGGAAGCAGCTACAGGCTGAGCTGCAGGCCCGAAGGACAGACGCTGTGTGCATGAACAGCACGGAGATTTCAGAGAATGGCTCTGACCTCAGCCAGAAACTGAAAGATACTCAGAGCAAGTATGAGGAGGCCATGAAGGAAGTGCTCAGCGTGCAGGAGCAGATGAAACTGGGTCTCGTGTCGCCAGAGAGTATGGAGGAGAGCTCTTCCCATTTCCACAAGCCAAGGGGCATGGAGGAGGAGCTGGGTATGCTGAAGCAGGACCTGCAGAATGCTTTAGAAGAAAGTGAGAGAAATAAAGAGAAAGTGAGAGAGTTGGAGGAAAAACTTGCAGAGCAGGAGAAGGGTGCGGGGACCAAGCCTCCCGGGGAAGAGTACGAGGAGATGAAAAGTTCATATTGCTCTGTTATTGAGAATATGAATAAGGAGAAGGCGTTTTTGTTTGAAAAGTACCAAGAGGCCCAAGAAGAAATCATGAAATTAAAAGACACACTGAAAAATCAGCTAACCCAGGAAGCCAATGAGGAAGCTGAGGACATGAAGGAGACCATGGGCAGGATGGTTGATGAACTCAACAAGCAGGTGAGCGAGCTATCCCAGCTGTACAAGGATGCCCAGGCTGAGCTGGAAGATTACAAGAAGAGGAAGTCCCAGGAGGACCTGACAGCTGAATACATCCATAAAGCCGAGCACGAGAAACTGATGCAAGTGACAAATGTGTCTAGGGCTAAAGCGGAAGAGGCACTTCATGAAATGAAGTCTCAGTACTCCAAGGTGCTGAGTGAGTTGACCCAGCTCAAGCAACTGGTGGATGCACAGAAAGAGAACTCCGTCTCGATCACAGAACACTTGCAAGTGATAACCACGCTGCGGACCTCTGCCAAAGAGATGGAAGAGAAAATCAGCATCCTGAAGGAGCACCTTTCCAGCAAGGAAGAGGAAGTGGCAAAGCTAGAGAAGCAACTTGTGGAAGAGAAAGCGGCTATGACCGATGCAATGGTACCCAGGTCTTCCTATGAGAAGCTCCAGTCTTCCTTGGAGAGTGAAGTGAGTGTGTTGACATCCAAGCTAAAGGATTCAGTGAAAGAGAAAGAGAAGGTCCACTCGGAGGTGGCTCAGATTAGAAGTGAAGTCTCCCAAGTGAAGAGGGAGAAGGAAAATGTTCAGACACTCTTGAAATCCAAAGAGCAGGAAGTAAATGAACTTCTGCAAAAATTCCAGCAAGCTCAAGATGAACTCATGGAGCTGAAAAGATTCTCTGAGAACTCTTCAAAACTGGAGGAAGATAAAGATAAAAAGGTTGGTGACATTTTGTGACTGTTAGGTTTTTGCAATGTCCTAAACCTTTTACCCTTTACTGTATTAAATGTTTGTAGCATTTGTTAGCACCAACATATTCTGGTACACAGAGGCCCTAAACGTGATGGTACATGTCCCCCAAACCATAACAAGAATAGTGTATTGGATATTTAGTTTTGTTAAATTTCAAGTCTCTTGCCATTTCCCCTTGTACTTAAGCTTTTGGTTCTTTGAAAATCATCCTACATGCAGTTGTGACAGTGTTGGGGAGCAGAAGTGAACTTTCAAATGGAAAGGTGTTTGTGACCCATCTAGAATGCCAGCTCTTCCTTTTGAATCCGGAACAGACTCCTTCATCCTATGGCAACCCAAATATTTTCAGACTCAGTTCTGCTTCCTTATGCTCCATGAGTCTGCCCTGCTCTGTCACTCCGCTGCCCGGTCCCTTTTCCCAAGATGTATAGGAAGGGAGACAAGGAATGTGTGGAGTAGGCCTTCGGAGATGGCACTGAATATGGCATGGAGGAAGGAGGGAGGCGAAGGGAAGTGCAGGATGGTTCACCACAGGAATCCGCTCTGCAACCCTGGACCCCTGTGCCAGAGGCTCCCAAGGCCATGTATCAGAACACCATGTCTTGAACCAAGAAGCATTTCACAAAGAGTATTAAAGACCTGTAGGAACAGGAAGTTGGTTAAGAAGTGATGAAGTGGGATGGGTGCTTGTATTCTCTTTCTTTTCAAAATATTTAATTATTACTTGAAAAACAGAGTGACCGAAAAAGGAGAGGGTGGGGGAAGAAATATCTTCCATTCCCAGATTTACTCCCCAAATGACTGTAATGGCCAGTTCCGGACTTGGCTAGACTCTAGCACCCATTGGTGCCCCTGAGAACCAGGCTAGGCGAGGCCTGCTCAGCCACATGGGAGCTGTGTCTGGGTGTGGACTAGGCTGAGCCAGGCTGTAATATCCAACAGTGAAAACCAGAATGGATGAAGGCCAGTCAGGAAAGGCTACTGTTCCTGCTAGGACAGGAGGTGGACTATGTAGGGCTAGCCCATAGACCCACTGGTGTGCACGAGATCTGGCACTGGGAGAGATTTTGGTGGAGGAGTTTGGAAAACTACTCTGTCAGGACACAGTCCCTGTAGGTGAGTGCAAGAACCACAATAGGGAGCAGCCCAGACCAGGCCAGGGAATGGTATCCACCGGCATATATTTGGTGCGGGCTGGGAGTGAACCAGGCTAGGCCTGTTCATATCACCCAGTGGTAAATCCAAACACCAGAATGGAGTGTGGGTTGGGCCAGTTTGGGTCACAACACAACCCAGTTCACATGAGGCCCAGGACTGGGAGCTGGCTGGGGTGGGCTGGGCCCAACCAGGCTACAGCACCCACTGGCAGATGCTAAGGTGCCAGACTGGGCCATAGCACCCAACCAGCACACTTGAGACCCAGATGGGGAGGAGGATGCGAAGCCAAATAGGAGGGCTGCGAGGGACTCCCCTGCTGGACCACCACTCCCACTGAAGAGTGTGAGTTCGGATGGGGGCAGGCCAGGCAGGGCAGGGCTACAATACCTGTTGACCTCATGTGAGCTGGATTAGAGAAATGCCAGGTTGGGTTGACTGTTCCTTCTAGTGCATGCATAAATCAGAGTGGGAGAGGCTTGGTTGGGCTTTTCCACAATATCAGCTGGCAGATGCTGGCACGGCAGGGGGTGGGGTGGTACAAATTCTGTCAAAATAAACTGCAGAACCACCTGAAGTGGGAGTGAGCCTAGTAGGAAAACAGTGGGCACCTCCCTCCTGGGTTGCTACTCTGTGTGATGAGCATGTGAACCAGGACTGGGGGAGGCATGGCTAGACAGAGAGTGACACCCACTGGCATGTATGTGGGCTGGATAGTGGAGTTGGTTGGGTTGAACTAGGCCTCAATGCCCATTGACATATATGAGAGCTGAATGGGATGTGAGACACAGGTGTATGTGAAGGCTAAGTGTGGTGGGCAGGATCGGGCTGAGCTGCAGTACCCATTGGTTTGTGTAGAAGGGCTGGAGGCAGAACGGACTCAACAATTGCAACCACCAGCATGTGCATAAGCTGATTGGGGTGACAGACTGTGTCGGACCCTGTATTGGCAAGCACACACACAAGAATCAGGTCTGGGATCACCTCAGATGAAGTTTCTTTGGAGATCCCTCCAACTGAACTGCTGATCTCAGAACCCCAAACATGGAGAGATTTGCAAGTTCCATGATCTGACCATGGAGTGCATGTGTCAGGTCTGGGCCTCCTCAGGGCTCACACAGAGCAGTGGCCAGTATATCCAGGTGCACATGGAGGATATGGAAGTACATTGGAGTCTGCAGAGGACACCTGGTACTACAACAGAAGACAGAGGACAGAGCAAATTGATCAATTACCCCAACCAAGTGTTAGCAGTGAATATCTGGGCAAATGGAGACTCTAAATGGACTATATTAACCGGATTCTGGAGAGATTTCATCATGCTTAGAGTGGTGAGATCGGCAGTAATATAGAACTGTTGAACTGTTATAACCTCTTGAGCAGGACCCTAAAGCATGGCCCACATCAGGACCCTGGGGTGGTTTTGGATGGCTAGACCCATGGTGAAGAGGTGTTTGGGAGGCTGGGTGTAGCTTCTTTCCTTATCTTCCTCCTTCCCCCAGATGCAGGAAAGAGAGAGAGAATGTGGAAATGGTGATTTCACACACCTTCCTGTAGCCCTTGACCCTAATCAACTATGTAAAAATCATCAAAAAAATAAACTTTTTAAAGGGTAGCCTAGTAACTTAAGGACTCACCTTGCACACACCAGGACCCTATATGGACACCGGTTCTAATCCTGGCAGCCCCACTTCCCATGCAGCTCCCTGCTTGTGGCCTGGGAAAGCAGTTGAGGACAGCACAAATGCTTGGGACCCCGCACCTGCCTGGGAGACCCAGAAGAGACTCCTGGCTCCTGGCTTTGGATCAGCTCAGCTCTGGCTGTTGCAGCCGCTTGGGGAGTGAATCATTGGATGGAAGATCTTCCTCTCTGTCTCTCCTCCTCTCTGTATATCTGACTTTGCAATATAAAATAAATAAATCTTTTTAAAAAATTTTAATAAAAAATAATTTTTAACACAAAGGAAATTGCTCCAGAGTTTCAAATCCCAAAGGTTGCTACAGACGAGATGTTCGAAGCTTAGAAATATCTGGAATTTTACTACTGCAGATTTAATGTTACCTATTGATTTAAAATTCTTTTGTCACTAGATAAACGAGATGGCGAAGGAAGTCACCAAGTTGAAGGAGGCCCTGAACAGCCTCTCGCAGCTCTCTTACTCAACGAGTTCATCCAAAAGACAGAGTCAGCAGCTGGAGGCCTTGCAGCACCAAGTCAAGCAGCTCCAGAACCAGCTGACGGTGAGTGGCCCGGTTCTCCTGCTGCATTGGGGTGGAGGGCCAGATGACAGCAACAGAAAGATGCACAGACTAAAGGCATGTGGTACTTGCATGATCAGTTGGCTGAGGACTTCCGTCAGTGCGACCAGATGCAAGGAACAACTGGTGAAATTTCCAGCCTATGGAGGGTCCTGCGTATCTCTGGGAAGGAATCAGAAGAGCAGTGGCTGGAGGCTGCTTGTTGCCTCACATACCGGCTTTGCTCTCCTTGATTTTACTGCAGCTGTGTTTCCCAGCAGAGCAACTGAGCTTTTTGTCTCTTAGGGGCCAGGATCTGTGATAGTTGCATGTTTTATGAATTTGAATACTAGACCTCCCCTTAGTTCATCCAGGAAAGCTCTTTCATGTCTAGATTCGTTTCTTCTGATTGTGTTACCAAATCACTACAAACTTCATGTAAAACAGTGGAACAACTCAGAAGATCAGAGATCTGAAGTCAGTTGTGCCGAAGTCCAACCACACATTAAGTCAGCCGAACGATGATGGAAAGACATTGATCAGAAGATAGAGTCCTAAATAATTAGGTGAGGTTTGCAGAAAGGTAGGAAGAAGACGACAAAAACAGGTGCTAAGATTTTGGTTTCATTGTGTGAATTTCAAATTGGAGTAATTGCTCAACAAGGACTCCAGCAGCTGGAAGGAATCCCTTGAAATTGATGTTGTCACCATTTCCCCAGCACCCTGACAGCGACATAACTGAGCTCCTCACTTATACATACATATGTACACATATATAAAACATATATAAATATGTAAAGCACTGTTTATGTAATCGGTGCTGACCAATAGCTCCCTTAAAAAGATTATTTCACTGACTAATGATTGCAATTTGGGCATTACAAAAAACATGGAAAATGAAGAAAACTAAAAAGTTCCTATAAATAAAAATTGCTCCTGCCTTGCTCCTTTCTTGTGGAGTTGACATACCAAATGACAGACCAATGGCCCTCAAGAATTTTAGAAGCTTTGCATTCATGCCTAGCATGGAGGGAATCCCATAGGTAGTAGTTGATGGCTGCTCTCTCAGAGCTTCTGTTTGTTCATTAAAGATCTCTAAAGCTTGATGACCATGTCAGATTTTCTCTGTCTAGGAATGCAAGAAACAGCATCAGGAAGTTGTATCGGTCTACAGAATGCACCTTCTGTATGCTGTACAGGTATGAAAATACCACACCAAGTATCTGGTTGACCTAAGATGCTGCCCAAACTTCCATCATTGAACCTGTTGAGTGAATAAGGATTAGAGACCACCTCCATTCATTGGAAAGTTCTAAAGTACCTTGGCTGTGCTTTGATTGTGTCAGGAGTCTTGTGTCAAATTTACTGGGAGTCGCCTCATCACTTATTGAGAAATGAAGATGAGGCATCTGACTTTCTAGCTCCCAACCCTGCCTTTCTCCTGTGACTGCTGGGTTTCTGGCTGGTTGGGCCACACTTGCAGCTAGAATCCCAAACACCCTGCTGAAGGCCTTGACAGAACCAGTCTCCTCATCTTCCGGATGAATAAGAACAGAACTTTCCCTTGAGCACAGTGCTTTGTGGCTTCAGATACGGTTGACATTCTTCTGAAATATGGGCGGTGGGAGGGTTAAGGCAAGGCTTTTTGTTTCCCAACTTAATATAGGTTCTAATGAGCATCTTTGGCTTGAATTTCCTAGGGTCAGATGGATGAAGATGTCCAGAAAGTACTGAAGCAAATCCTCACCATGTGTAAAAACCAATCCTCAAAGAAGTAAAAGTGGAGTCCTTGGCAGGACACTGGCCCCTTGTTGTCCATCCTTGTGTTTGATCTGGTGTTGTTGGCAACCACTGCCATTATTGTCTTCTCGTGGTATGCACTGTGACCTAGCATAGCTTCTTCCCTTTCCGAAAGGGTTCTGAGAATTGGTTCCGGGAGAGAAGACTGCCCTCCTCAGAGCTGCCTAGAGATTTCACATCAGCAGAGATCCAAGGTCTGGTCCTGGGGCTGGCAGGTGGATCTTCCTCAGTGGCTTATCCCCCCCGCACCCAGCCACCCCGGGGAGATGCTGAGGCCTCCGTGCGGTGAATGCTCCTCTTCTTGCCTTTGCTTCCGATCCCAAGCCCTGGTTCATTTTCCAATCCAATGACACTAGTTATGAAGTGCGTGTTTAACAGCCTTCATCCTGACATCGTATGGATTGAAAAGCTCAGATGCCATCTGCATCCTGCCCCCCCATCTGCCTTATATATCTCGACTCCTTGCTTATCGATCTCATTGTTCGATAAGTACTATTCACTAAAAGAAGAAATTATCCTGAAAATTTTTAATCATTGATATTTTGCAAATTTTCTATGCAAACTTTCTTCCTCCTCTTACCTGTGAGCCTCAGGAAATCCAAGCATTTGTGATTTCAACAAGGGACAGTAAACTGTGTGTTTACAGCCAAAAGAACTGCCTCATAAAAGTTCTTAACCTCAATTTTTTTAAGAAGTGTTTTTTCCTCTCTATTTTTATTGGCTCTTAAAGATGTTTTCATATCTAAACCCCTAAAGTAAAATTACCTTAGATTATATTAACAGAATATTTTTTAGGTAATCATGCTTAGAACTTTATAAAAATAGAACTTTTTCTGCCTGGTTTTCAGCTACAACAGAAGGTAGTTCCGTAGCCCCAAGCTGATATGAACTGTCGCCAATACCCTAGGACTTTGTCCATGTGTCCTCAGAGCTGCAGTGCGTTTCTGAACATAATATATCCCTTTCTTTGCCCAGTGAAGATTTTTCAATGTCCCAACTCTACATGTACCCATAAATTATTTTTGGAAAGGTTGTTAGCACCAATCTGTAATTTGATTTTGAAGCTAAAAACCTTGATGTGATAGCATTATTGTTTATAACATGGATCTTAGGGGGAAAAAAAATTCTGTTCTGTTTCAGGTAAAAAAAAAGTTTGACTTGCTTGTAGCTTCTCTTAGGGCATCAGTATTATTGAGGAAGATAAACAAATTAAAGAGCTGTCCAAAGCATGGAGCTGATGTGCAGGCCTGCTCGGACAGGGCCCACATCCTGTTGGGCTCTCTGGACTCTGAGGGTGCACTGTACTGGATGATTCGTTCGTCTCTGTTTAGATGAGGACCAACCACAGCAAAACAAAAATGGCTTTAAAACTTGACGTTCCTTTGTTTAAGTTGTGAAATTATAGTTAACCAATTTCAAAAATGCTCCAAAGAAATGTGAAAGGACTTTTTGTCACAGCACTTAAGAAAACACAAAAGAACATTCCTCCCAGCCCCGACACAGAAATGCTGCAGAGTATAAAACTTGAGACATTTTGTAGGATGCCTGACAAAGTGTAGCCTTTTATCTTGTTTCAGGATGCATATTTATTACAAGTACTCTGGTTAAATATTGAAAAGTTATATGCTGTAGTTTAGCTTTTTGTCTTTGTAATTTACAGAAGTTATTGCAGAAAATAAACTTGTTTCATTTTGCAACTCTGCTGTTGAGTTTTTGGTGTGTTCATAAGCAAATCTTTATGGCTTCTGAAAACCAGTTCAATACCCTTCACTGTGATGAGGTTTTTTAATATTTATTTACTTTCATCTATCTGAAAGACATTCACAAGTGTATCTTTATGGCTTCCGAAAACTGGCTCAATACCCTTCACTGTGATGAGGGTTCTTAATATTTTCATCTATCTGAAAGACAAGAGAGAATGAGCAGTGGTATTGGAATTTTCCCATCTTCTGATTCATTCCCTAAATAACCACAACAATCAAGGTTGTTAGGCCAGAACCAGCAGCCAGGTCTCCCACTTGGGTAGCAGGGGCCCACATACCTAAGATGTCATGTCATCTGCTGCCTTCTCGGATGTGTTGGCAAGAACCTGGATGGGAAGCGGAGTAGCCAGTGTCCATGGTCTCTCAAACGGACTCAATTTCCGTCCCTTAGCTCTTGGGTTCACCCTCACCTTTGTCCCCCAGGTCTGCCACTTTGGGGCAGTTCCGTCACAGCCCTTTAATTCAAAATTGCTTCTCAGTTTGTCTGTGGGTTTTTACTATTTTGAAGCTTGTCCTGTATTTGTTCTCCTTCTTTCCTTTTTCAAGAGTGACAAATACACATGGTAAAATGTTATGACAAGGGCAACTATTTTCTATAAAATTCTCTTGCATGGTGAATTATTACAGGTAAAAATCATGAGAACTCCAAATAATGAAATGAGCACTATTATTTTAGTAGTTAGCATCACATGCCATAATACAGCATGTTTACAAGACCATGTTCTTTCACTCAGATGATTTCACAGTCTCAAGCTGCTTTGTACTGAAACACTGAGTTCAATGTCTGGTACTACTCAGTGTTTACTTAATTGAAGCTTAAAACGATCTCCCTTCCAATGAGGGGATTGATGCAAATAATGCAAAAGGAATACGAGATGACTAATTACTTGCTGCAGTGTGAATATGTGTCCCACACTCAGGAGTCTAAGCCCCCGTCTTGTACTAATGGTATTTAGAAAGTAGAAACTGAAGACAACTCCACAATTACAGATGGGCCCTTAGGAAAGGATTAGGTCGCTAGGAGGGCATCCTCATGACTAAATACCACTACCTTTGTAAGAAGCCACATAGACAGACGCTCCTGCCATGTGATGCAGTTACTTGGTGTGCTTCTTGTGCCAAAAACTTGTATTTACAAAGTAGCCTTCTTCAGGTATTTCATTTTCATAACAAAAAAAAACTAGTGTCAAATACATGTGTCCTAAGAGAATTTACTTCAATTGGGGACAGTGAAGCACTAAGTAAATGACTTCATGAGGACTTATAGCTGTATGGGAAACCTTGAAAAGCCAAATTAGTCTAATCAAATGAAAAGGTAAGTCTCATATCCCAAAAAAGAAACTTGCATAGCTCAGTGACTGGGTGTTGGTCATCACTGCAGAACAAATCCTTTATTCCCAGGCCCTGCGCAGTAATGAAATTTCCAGAATATAAATAATATCGGGCCCGGCGCGGTGGCGCAAGTGGTTAAAGGTCCTCACCTTGCACGCCCGGGATCCCATATGGGCGCCGGTTCTAATCCCGGCAGCCCCGCTTCCCTTCCAGCTCCCTGCCTGTGGCCTGGGAAAGCAGTCGAGGACGGCCCAAAGCTTTGGGACCCTGCACCTGCGTGGGAGACCCAGTAGAGGCTCCTGGCTTCGGATCGGCATAGTATCGGCCCGTTGCGCTCACTTGGGGAGTGAATCATCGGACGGAAGATCTTCCTCTCTGTCTCTCCTTTCTGTATATCCGCCTTTCCAATAAAAAAAATAATAAAAATAAATCTTTAAAAAAATATATATATCAAATGGGGGCCCAGTGGCGTGGCCTAGCGGCTTAAGTCCTCACCTTGAACGCGCCAGGATCCCATGTATGCGCCAGTTCTAATTCCGGCTGCTCCACTTCCCATCCAGCTCCCTGCTTGTGGCCTGGGAAGGCAGTCGAGGACGGCCCAAAGCCTTGGGACCCTGCACCCATGTGGGATACCCAGGGAAGGTTCCTGGTTCTCAGCTTCGGATCGGCGCAGCACTGGCCATTGCGCTCACTTGCGGAGTGAATCACTGGATGGAAGATCTTCCTCTCTGTCTCCTCCTCTGTATATCTGACTTTGTAATAAAGTAAACAAATCTTTAAAAAAATATCAACTGGAAACTCCATCTCTTTAGGTCTCAGTAAATAGTTTCCTTTACTTAACACCTAGCGGGCCCTCTTTTAAAAATGAGAGGGTAATATCTACTCTAACTTGACCTGTCGTAAGCCAAGTCCATTGTTGGGTCCGCAACACCCCTAAGACGCAAGAATGCCAGCGCGGCGTTGTTCCTTTGCGAGTTGGCTAGTCACCTACGCACCACCAGTGTGTTTGGCCACTGTCTCTCAGGCCACTTCAGGAGTATGATTTTAAACGATATGGCTGCATTACTCTGGGCTTAGTACCCTGCTATCTCGAAAATACTCTCTGAAATGCTAACCCTTAGTAGATTTCGAGGCCCATTTCTTCAGCTACCCATTTGCTGCACTGCGCTTTCCTAACCATGCCCGGCTCCATTCTCACTGGCACGGGTTACTCAGGCGCCACCCGCGCAGCTTCTTCGCGGGTCGGGAAATCTAGAGTCCCCAGCAAGCTGCAGGGTGCGTGTTGGGGCACACGGGGATCCGCCGGCGTGGGCAGACGTCTCGCACCTTTCAACAGGTAGAGTCGTGGAGCCTGGCGCTCCTTTGCCCCTTTCGATGGGGTTTATGCTCTTTTCTTGCGTTTTCACCTCTGAGAGGTCAAATGGCCACAGCAGGAGACGATTCAAAGTAGCAGAAGCGAGTTCCGGAACACACTCGGGCAGCGAGTACCTAGCCTGCGAGGATGAAGAGGCGCGAGGTGCTGTGGAACAGCGGCTGGCCTCTGGAGGGGCTGCACTCCAAGAAGCAGAAGTGTTCCACGTCTCCATAGTTACAGGGGTCGGTGCCCCCCGGAGGGCGCGCGGCCTGCGGTTCCCATGACAACCCCATTGTTTCCCGGGCCCAGGAGCCAGGCAGTGGGTGAGAAGGCCGGCCTGGCGGAGTGTGTAGCCTGTGCAAGGCACCGGACGGGCTCACGAGCCGAGGTCGGCGGGGCCAGGACGCTGACGCCGCCCGAGGCAGCCGGACAGCCAGGCGTGGGAGCCGGAAGGACTGGGCCGGGGAGCGGCTTCCGGGCCCTGGGCCAGGTACACCGAGGAAGTCTGCCACCCACAGGGCTGGAGCCTCGCAGGCGCTTCCGCCTTGGGAGCTTGGGCGAAGGCAGCGTGTGGCGTCGGGGTCTGTGAGAATCTGAACTTGAGGGAGAGGAGCCAAAGTGAGGGTGTTCTAGATTCAGGGCCAAGTGCAGCCTCATGGCAACAGGGATTAGGAGTTGGAGAAGTCGGAGCGCCTCAGGCTGGCACTAGGGTTGAGGACGAAGGTGACACGAATGAGTCTTTGCTTCTCATTTCCGGAGAGTGAGTGTTCAGGAACGTGAGTGGGAGTGAGCTATTGAGTGCTGCCTTGGGAAAGCGGGACGTGGTGCAGTGTGAAGTGAGGAGGGGCTTGGTGTATGTGAATGTTCGCTGGGCAATGCCACATTCGATTTGGAGTTGATTTTAGCGACAGGGATAGCCACGAGAGTCGAAACGTCACTGGTACTTATAAATAACATTTTTCATAGTGAATTTTTACCCCATCTGCTGACAGAAACAATTAGAATAGCTGCTGGAGTTTGAACTCCTGACCCAGCAGATTGTCCCGGTAAGTGGTTGCTTGACCCTAGGGAAAGGAAAGAGCTGTTGCTATATGCACTGGCTGACTTCCTGCTATACCAAGAAGATCCACCTTGTTCCCAGACCTGCAAAACCGATACGCGTAGAGCATCTAGCTGTAGTTTTGATGATCCAAGAGCTGTAAATGCGCCGGCTTTGCAAAGGAAATAAAGTAGATGAGGGATTTAGGGAAAGTCACGTGGGAGAGAAATTTAACGTAGACACTGACTTTGGCGAATGTCCCTTTCTGCTTCCCGGGGGAGTGCACACCTGAGTTTGCCTAAGGGCTCTTTTGGCTTTCTGGTGGGTAAGCACTGGAGAAGTTTCCATGTTAACAGGAGTAAACAGACAAGCTTCTGGGTTGTTTCTGCTAAAGCGGACCTCACCTGTGGTTCTCAGTAGGAAGAAGATGCAAGCTAGCCCCATCCGAATCCCGACTGTCGACAATGACACTGCCTGGGACTTCTGCTTCCGTCTGTGAGTACCTGCGCCCCTTGATGTCACACTCGCTCTGGCTCTGCCACGGAAGGCGGGCCTGGGAGAAACGCTTTGTACCCACAGGCAGTGGGAGGGGAGGTGCAGCCTTGCCGTGTCTTCCTGAGGATGATTCTGCTGTGGTATCCTCTAGAATCTACGGCCTATGCGAAATAGAAGATCCCGATGTGTATTAGCTGGCTTACAGGTCTTTTTTTTTTTTTTTTTAGTTTTATAAATCAGAGAGATGTTGTTTAGAGCCAGACTAGTAAAGTCATAAAGAACTAAATATAACAAAGTTAGTGAGCAAACTACATTTCATGAGATGGACAATGACTGGATACAGTTTTTCGTGTCATAATGCCAAATCCTTATAGAGCACTTATTACTTGTCATTCTCACAGACTTGTAAGCAAGAGAAGGTCACTACCATGTTTTGCCTAAGATCATGAAAGTAGTTAGTGGTATTCAGACTGGGCAGTTTGTAGCCTGGTGTCATTGGCACTTTGGATCAGGTAACTCTTCGTTATGGAGGGTAGTCCTACACATGTCATGGCCAACTCTAGTGGCTGCCAAGCCACTGGATGCCAGCAGCGCTTCCCACAGTGTGATAACGTCTGTCCCATATATGCTGGAGATCCAACCATGAGACTCACAAAGGAGACTTATGTTGTGTTATAGGTTCCTGGCTCTGGCCTGGCCCATCTCTGTGTATATTTGAAGAATGAACAGTGGGTGACTGTTTAGCCCTTGTTCTCTCAAGTTTTTTCTCTTTTTCTAATGTAGATGTTATAGTAGCATTTCTTGAGGATAATCAGGTAATTCATGTGGAGTAGGCTATGAACTTGGTATGGCAAATACTTCATTCAAACAACCTATTTTTTTGGTAAGATTTATTTTTATTTGAAAGGCAGATTTTATAGAGAGAAAAGGAGAAACAGAGAGAGAGAGAATCTTCCATTGACTGATTAACCCCTGAAATGGCCTTAATCCCAGAGCTGAGCTGATCTGAAGCTGGGAACCAGGAGCTTCTTCTGGGTTCAAGGGCTCAAGGACTTGAACTATCATCCACAGCTCTCGCAAGCCACAGGCAGGGAGCTGGATTGGTAGTAGAGAGGCTGGGACATGAATTGGTACCCATACTTATGCCACCCTGCTGACCCCCAAACTTCCAACTTTTAAAAATTGTGACTGTCCTTTGCAGTATATGACTGGTCAGTATTCTTCATCTATCTATCTTTTCTCCATGCTGTGTTCAAAACTAGCTGAGGCTTCAGTCTCAAAACATCTGTCTTCCTCAGTATTTTCCATTCTTTGGAAACATTCATTCTAGTAAAGTTTGCTGACTTTGGTCTCAGCTTAGTTTTATTCAAAGCTTAATTGAAAATATTTCAAAATTATCATTTCCTATTTCCGTAATTATCAGTCTTCTTGGTTGATCCCAGTGGTTTTAAATGCTGCTCCAGGTCTGTAAAATATACAACCAAACAAAATCTTCATTTAAAGGACTAAATTTTCTGTTTGTTTTCTTGAGTTACCATCTCTTGCCACAGATTTCCTCTTTCCCCAGTGTTTTATAAACACTCTAAAGACTTTGCACTTAGTTTTTTCATTTGTACTTTATTTACCAACCTGTTATTTTTACTGTGAGCCAAAGGTCTGTACTTCTGAAAGCAATGAAGCTTCTCTTACGAAATTTACTTGCTAGAAGGCAGAGAAGACTCATAAACAAGAATCAGACTGTAATGTGATCCTTGCCATAGTACTGTTTTGAAGAAAGATTTATTTATTTATTTTTAAAATTTACCTCTTTTTATTATTATCCTTTTATGATACAGTTGCATAGGCCCTGAGATTTCCCTTATCCCCTCCCCAATACCCTTCCCCTTCACTGAGTTCCCCTATATCATTACTATAGTATAGTTCTTCACACACAGTCATATGTCCATCATTGCGGGTATGGACAATGGCAGAGAGTCCAGCATCCTACTGTCAAGATATAGTAAACAGTTTCATTGGGAGTTCATCTTTGGTCTGAAAGTAGAGATGCATACTACAAAAGCCACTTGGAGAGTGACCCTGGGACTTCCAGCTGAGAGGACATCTGGGTTGAATCCTGAAGGTGGGAAAAAATTCACCTAGCAGAAGATTTACCACCTGTCTTCTAATCCCATCACTAATGTTCCCTGGCTTTTCTGTTGAGTTAGCCTATCTACTGACACGTGTTTACCATCTACCATTATACTTTGAAACCCTAATTTAGAAAGCATTTTCTCCAAGCTGGAAGCACCGTGTTGTTCAGTTTTATCTTGTTTGATAATGCGAAGGTCAGATCCTGATTCCAGGTCCCATATGCACAGACCACAGCAAACTGAGATCCCAACACACCAGCCAGCCGATGAGCTGAATACTGCTTGCGGGTCTGGAGAGAGTGACGACGACACGATAGCCCAGACAGAGGAGGCAGCCGTTGATTGTATGTCGCTTCCCAGAGAGAAATTAGCTCAAGCCCAGAAGAAAACAGCTCAGCTGATTAAAGAAAAAATGGTAAGTTAACCAAGAATCTACTGGGTTTTCTTTTATACTTAAAGACATGTCTCTGCCTTTACTGAAAATGAATAACATAAGACAGAGGAAAGGGTTATACACTTGCAAGGAGGAGAAGACAGAGCAGTATGTAGCTGGGTAGCCAGCACACCTTTCAGTTCCATCTGTGGTTCAGGGGTTGTCCCTCATGCAGTATTTGTGCTCCTAGCTTTAAACCAAAAGTTAACTCTTTACATCCTGCTGTTGTTAAATATAACTTTATTTTTATTTCTAAAATAAATTTTCTTGGAAGGCTTCAAGGTGGTATAACCTGAGTAGCAAGAAAGCCAGAGTAATGAGAGAGGAGGCTGAGAACAGAGATAGTCAGACTCAGGCCTGGCAAGGCCAAGGTTATAGCCGAAGTCATAACTTCCTGTGGTTCTAGTGGAATCGTTGACAGGTAAGACCAAGAACAGGAGACAACAGCAGAGGTTGAAGAGGTCAGGGATGCATTTCAAAGAGCAGGTCGAGTTCTTGGGAGCTAGGATTTCAGAGCAAGTGTGTAAACAAGCATGTCAAAGTGTTCAAGATTCAGGAACCTGAAACACCCAGTCCTTGACTTCCATTAATAGAACACAGGTGCGCACACACACCAGCCCTCTTTCAGAGCATGACTTGTCAGGATTTCATACAGTTACTTTCTGGCCATTCTTGGTCAAGGGTAGAAATGTGATATCATCATACATATTGGAAAAAAGTTGTGCAGATGGCACAGGGAAGACTGTGAGGACCTCAGAGGCAAATGATCAGAACTAGTATCTCTCCAAATGAGGAACTGTCAGTTACCCAGAAAACTCAGGAGGAGAAATCATCCAGATTGTGAACTAACCTAGTCTAGAGAGTGAATTCTAGAAATAGACAAGTAAAACATCTGGCCAATCTGGATAATGACTGATACTGGGATCCCAGGAATTAAATCTAGTCTAAAGCAGTACTCACAGTCCTGAAGGGCTGGGAATGCCCCCTTGAGCAGCAGTGGAACAGGGTGGGCCTCCAAAAACTCTATCTGTTGTCTTCATTTCTCCAGGATGGGGGTTTTAGGGGAGGGTGCAGAAGGCACAGAGCTGAAAGAACTCATAGCTTTTGGACTCCTAGTGATTTTTTTTCCCAATAGAATTATGCTTCTTCAAAACAGAACTTGTTACTTAGTGTGGTAAGTCCATGATAAACTCTTAAAGCTGCTGACTATATAGTTGTAAAATTATCAAAGGCACAAAATATCAGGAGAGTACCTCTGTGGCTTCAATTGTGTCTTTAGGTTGGCACTGAGAGCAACTGAAGTAGCAGGTTAAGAGATAAAAGGGTCAGGAGGGAGTAGCTCTTGGCTCACGTAAGGCTCACATTAACTCTTACATTAGTATAAATTTGGGTGCCATTTAGAAAACATTCAACAGATCTGGATCACTTTAACACTGACCATTTGTTTCCCCCCCCCAAACATCCCCACCACACACTGTATAAGGTAGAGAGTATAAATTTCCATATCTTACCAAAGAAATCTGAGATCAAGATGAACCTTCCCAAAGCAATCCATCGGATGAACATTGGAACCAGGTTGCCCCTCCCAGCTTTTAATTCTTTCAGGTGCAACTTTTCACTTTGTGCCTGACTCTATCATTGATGCAATCAGTAGGTTACTGATATGATTGCGTATATATTTCCACGATTTCTCCGCTCTGCCTCCCAGTTTCACAGTGGGTGAGGGACTCTTTCCTCCAAGCCATCCTTACCTTTGCAAATAAAGGAGTGATTCATCCAACAAACACTTGAAGGTATACTTCCTCTTTGCGTGGAGCATGCAACACTGAACAAAATAAACAGAAGGCTACTTTCTGTTTGGGGGAGGCAGGTAATACAAACTGAAATAGCTGATGCCAAATAGAACTAAGTGCCATGGAGAAAAAGCATAGGTAATGCAATAGTGAGTGATGAAGCGAGAAGCTCATTTACAAGGGTAGCCAAGGAAGATCTATTTTTTTTTAGCGCATTATTTTTTCCACATTAATCCTTTGTCTCTTTTTTTATTTAAAAATTTATTTTTTATTGGAAAGACAGATATACAGAGAGAAGGAGAAACAGAAAGATCTTTCATATGCTGGTTCACTCCCCAAATGGTTAAAATGGCCGGAGCTGAACCAGTCCAAAGCCAGGAGCCTGGAGCTTCCTTCTGGTCTCCCACGTGAGTGCAGGGTCCCAAGGATTTGCTTTCCCAGACCACAAGCAGGGAGCTGGATGGGAAGTGGACCAATCAGGATATGAACCAGTGCCTATATGGGGTCCTGGCAGTTTCAAGGCAAGGATTTAGCCAGTAGGCTATTGTGCCGGGCCCAATGAAAGTCTATTCTGAGATGAATAAAGTGAAATGAAAGACTGAATTACATGGAAGAAGGTCCCAGAGAGAACATATTGTGCTGTGTTGCAAATCAGTTTGCCACATTTAGGAGCTAATGAGTGCAGCTGCAGTAAAGGGAGTAGGAAAAGAGTAAGTGGCAGAGAATGAAGCCAGAGGTTATTATGATAGGATCAGATAATGCACAGCTGTGGAGTTCATGGTAAGGACTTTGGATTTTATTAATAATGAAAAAGAAAACATGAAGGGTTTTATTTTTAATCAGAAATATCAAATGATCTAATCTATATTTTTAAAAAGTCATACTGACCCAAAAATAGGTTTAGAAATCCATGAGGTTGTAGTAAATTGTCTTGGTAACCATTGAAGAATGCTAGTGAGTGACTTGATGGTTTTAAAAGCTGATACATAGAATTATCATGTATCCTGACTTCATACTATGAACTAGGGAAGTTTATAAATTGCCCCAGATGACGTATGACCATGAAAGGATAGGAAATCAGTAAAATCAGCATTTTATAGTATTAATTAATCCATGGAAGAACATGTTACTATGAGTGGCTTTTCCTCAGAAAAATAAAAGAACTAGAGAGAGACAAGAAGCCTGTAGATGAAAAGGAACTGAGGAAAGTGATATCAGTGGATAGTCAAACTATCAAAAAACTTTAATGATATATTTTATGTTAAGGCATTGTCCATAGTTTAATAAGATATTGATCTGTAGTCACATTTCTAACCTCTTTAAGAGATAGCATTAAAAGAATCTCTTTGTCTATTACATATAAAGTAGACTGGGGGGACCAAGAGGAGGCACAGTGAGAAGGGACCATTGTAGCCAGCCAAGTAAAAGATGAGGATGACTTGGACTCATATTCATGGCAAAAAATACGAAGAGCTTGGTTTTAGAATTGAGGGATAACAGGACATGATGGCTAAGACGTGAATTGGAGGACAACAAAAGAAAAAGCTGTTGACAAGTAACTTCAGCCCTACATTCCTGTGATAAGAGAATTGGCCAGAGGTTTTTCTTCTTCCTGAAAAGCATAATGATTCGTTTGCTCTCTACAGAATATCCAAGCAAACAAGGAGCTGATTCGATGTGTCATCCTTTCTCGGATTATTTTTGGGGCAGATCATTGGAAATGTGCACAGGCTTTGGCCAGCTTGGCTTATGGCTACTTGACATTGAGAGGTACCTAGCTTCCCTAGCTGGGTGTGGGTGGGCCAGCCTGTGAATCCAAAATGCACCCCCCAACACTCAGTGGGGGAGAGATGACCTCAGGAGCTCCTTCCTCACCCTGCGTTAGATCCTGCTGAAAGAAGGGCAAGTCCATGGATGATGCAGAGTGGTGAGGATCTTAGCAATTAAAAAAATAGTTATGATCATGACAGTGACTATTTAGCATGTATCAAACTGCCATTTAGTAGTTTCATAAGATTTCTTAGAAGCAAATACTATGTTTCTCTTACTTTCTAGATAAGGACACTGAGGCATAGTAGGCAAAGGAGAATCAGAGGTTCCAGTTGCAGGTTAGCTTGATCTTCCCTTGATTGGAATCTCCTTATTTCAATTAGATTGGATTATTCAAAATCCACTGGCTTAATGAGTCAAATTTAAGGATATGTCACTTCAACACACTGACATACGCACTCTGGTAATAGAATAAGGAATCTGTTAATAAGATCTCATGATAGTAAAAGCAAGTTCCAGGGGACACAAATGAAACAAGTCAGTGATTTTGCCATTTGGGAAGGAGAGAAGGCTGCCAAGACAGAAAAAGCTTGTTCTGTCTTTGATGGGTGGGCGTAGGTCCAAACTGATCTTGGGGGGAGTAGCAGAGATTGCAAGATTTGTTCTCTGTGTGTGTTGATCTGAAGGGTGGATGGAGAGGGGAAAGCATTCTATATGGAACTCTACATGTCCATTGTAGATTCTTTCCAGAGCCAAAGGACCAGGGTAGACCAGAAGAGACTTTAGGACAAGCAAGTCATGCTGAGAAATGAAATGTAAAGGTAATTAGCATTTACATACTAGGGATTTTAGGGGAGCCATTGCAAGATTTTAAATGGAATAGTAATATAATTCAGTTTGTATTATGAAATAGGAAAGGCAAGAGAGGGTGTTATATGGTAAAGAAAACAGAGAGAAAAATCAACGAAAATCAGTGAAAATCGATGAAGGCTTTAGCCATAACCATGGGGATGCAGAAGAGATAATTTTAGAGCTAGTGACATGACATGGTCACTCCAATATGGAGGACAAGGAAGAGTTGAAGTGGGCATGATGTGGATAGTTAGCTGAAACCAAGTTAATGAAAGAGGAAGGTGAAAGCTGATGGAGGAAGCAGGGAGAAGTTCCTGAGTTTGTGTTCAGACGGCCTGGATCATGCCTACTAGGTGGGCAGATTCAGCAGGTAGCTCACAGCGGATATAGAGCTGGAGGAAGAGTCAATTTTGAGTGCTTAGTACAATATGAACAAACAGTGGGAAGAGGAGTGGAGAAGCTTGGTCAGAAAGCATCTTTTACAGTAAAAGAGGGGAATATGGCTGAGAAAATAATAAAATGCTAGGACAGACAGCAGAAGAGGAGCAAAAAAAAAAAAAAATGGAAAAAAATAAGAGGTTCTGGGCCATCAAAGCCGAAGTTGGAGAGAAGGTTTCAACAAGAAAAACAGCGTGGTTCAGTAACTTCAAATTGTGGAGACAGGGCCAACACAGACATAGCCATGGAGTTTGGAGTTGGTAGGCCACTGATGCTGGGTTTGACGCTGGCAAAAGCATTCTTTGAACAGTAGAAGAGCCCAAATTCAAAGCGATTAGCTAAGAGACTTTTTGCTAGAGTTCAGGGTTGAGGTGATGACAACTTGAATTGGAGAAAAAGGCCTTTGGGAGGAAGATTTGTCTGAACTTGGGGCAGAGCCAAATATTGCCTCCTCTCAGGTGGATGATTGCTGTAGTTGTAGGTCTAGGGCAGAGTGTGAGCCCACATCTTCTGAAATAGCTCTTTCCATGATCAGCTGCAAATGGAGTTGGTGTTTTACTTTTCCAGGTAATTCTATACAGAATCAAGGCAGGCAAATAGACCATTTCATAAAATATGTGAAAGTATCCTTTCCTTTCTAGATTGCAGTTCTTCCTGTGGTATGAATGGACAGCAGTGTTGGGATAATAGATTGGAGAGGGGGAAATGTTTGGTCAGAATAGATGAGCCAGTCTTCTGTGCAGGCACTGGAATGTGCTGGAAAGTCAAAAGGCTAATTTTCCCCAGTAAACAGTTTTCCAGTGAATATGTAGTGAGAGCCTTGCATATGTAAAATGCTACGAAGAGCACTTTGGGGATATAATGTATAGAAGCCCTCCGAGAACTTACAACCTAGCATAGAAATGTGTTACCAAAAGGCTACCTAAGAGATTATGTAAGGTAAATTTAATGTAATTGGGTTGGATTCAGGCCTTTGGGAAAGTTGGGTTAACTCACTGTAAGGTGTTAGGTGACAGATTTAGCAGGGAGGTGGTTTTCAAGGAGGGTGGGAAGAAATGAGTGGGGGTTCAGTAGGTGGAAGAAAGGGTTGTTGTGTCTAATCCAGAGAAAGTCAGGAACAAAGGCCAAAGGAATGAACAGGCATTGTTTACTTCAATAGCCATAGGCAGTGCTATCTGTTTAAGACGAGGGCTATGATGATACACCTGGAGAGAAGGGTATAGTGGACCATTGTGTGGGTTTAGATAGAGGCTAAGAACTTTGGTAAGCAGGGAAGACTGATGGAGATTTTCTAGTAAGATGATGACAACACCAGAGTGTACTTTGGGCAAATTTCCTCCAGTAGTGATAGCTAGAGCAGACCCTGTTTCAGTCATGTCAGACTAAAATAGGCTAATGACAGGGGTAATGGGTAAGAGGAAGGAACTCAACAATCCATGATCAGAAATTCCACTTCTGGAAATCTTACTTATTTTTTTTATTGTTTACTATGATACAGTTTTGTAGTAATGGGTTTTTTCCTCTCCCCTTACTCTTTCCTTCCCTCCCCATCTTCTATAGATAAGGTGATTATTTGCAGCATTGTTATGATAGCCCAAAAAAAGGAAGCAACCAAGCATTCATCAGTAGGAAATAGAGTTATTCTCCATACTACATACTAAAATAAATGAGAAATAAGAGGGTAGCTAGAAAAGGCAGAAAATTCAAGCAAAGATAATTTTGTAACATGAGGATATGCCATAACATTTTAGGCAAAGAGGAATGTGCCAGCTGGGAGAGCTTGAAAGTTTTAAGAAATAGAGTAACTAAAGGAGTGATGGTCACAAAAGCTCAAACTGTGGTGGGGTAGAGTGTGTAAAAGCCTGTTGGTGAGGTGGAGGAAAGGGACTCTCGAAGAGGAATTTTGGTGCCACCTGCCCTGGTGATAACCCTAAGGACCTAGTGTCGCAGCAACTGAGAGCAGGCCAAGGGAGAATACCAGGGCCGGTTAGCCCCTAGTTGGGGATTGTTTGCAGGTGTTCAGGTGGCAAACAAAAGTATGGACAGGCGGTTCCTGGGTATTTTGCTTATTATTAAAGAAACAATGAATCAATCAAATCAGATGGCATACTATTACTGGGAGCCATCCTGTTATTCAGGGTTCTGTTCCAAGATATCTTCAAAATTCATAACAAGAAACATAAATCATGAACCCTGTTTTCACTGTTTAGTTGGTAGAGCTGGCACAGACATAACAGAGGATGATAAACAGGTAATCTGACATGACCAAAAGGCCCTGTCCTTCCTGTATTGAGAGTGCATTTGAAAATGCAGCCTTTTAAAAGAAAATGGAGATATTGTATGTAGCATGAATGAAAAATGTCAAAATGAAGACAAATATGAGAAAATTACTGGAGAGGTAGACCCAGATAAAAATGGTGATGATGTTAATGGCCATTATGTTTCTCCAAATTTGCTTCATTTAGGCACTATTTACTCTTTACTTCATGAGTTGAATTAATCCTTGCGATAATTCTACATCAATGATAGAATCTGAGCCCAACAAGCAGAATGACTGTGTTGGGCAGATCATCTTTGTGCCCATTTTTCCAGTTCATCAATATTTCCTTTCGTTTTCAAGCATAAACCTCCATCAGCTGCCATCCTGCTGCAGAAATGTCAGTGCCAGGAGGAGCAGGGTGTTCTTGGCTTGGGAGAGCAGGTAGTGGGAACAAAAAGAGCTGGTGTCGGAGTGGACATTGGCGTTGAAGATGTGAGATTGTGAGTTAGGGAAGGAAATCACCAATGTATGAGTGTCCTTCATGAGCGACAACAATAATGAAAGTCTGAAGCTTACGCACAGAATGTTCTTATCACATAAAAGAGGTGTTCTTATGATTAATAAAACACACATTCCTTTCCAAATGTAACAGATATTAAATACGTGGTACTTTTTATGCTGGAATTTATAAAGTAGAACGCGCTGTAAAAATAACTGCCAGAAAGTAGATGCAGCCATGGGATTGTTTTTTAAATCTTAAAGGAGCTCTTTCTTACTTGGAAATACTGGAAAACATTTGTCTGCAGCAGTCATTCTCAAACTCTTGAAAATTAGCTCCCTCCCCACTAGGAAGCATGGGAACACACACACTCTAATAGATGCGTTTATATTTTAACTGATGTACAATTATATTGTTACGTAATTTTATAGACATTCATAACTATAGAGGAAAGGCTATTGAAAAAAACAGAGAAGTTTTGGTTTTTCCCCACACACCCTTACAGCATCTGACATAACCACAGGACTACATGCACCCCACTTTGGAGACCGGAGGAGATACTGTGAAGGTGAAATGAGTGATTTTCCCCTTAAAGGTTCAGTCTAAACTGTAATGTTCTATCTTAAGTCAAGATCCTAGTTCCGTTTGTGTGAGCCCCTGTAGTCTAGACTGGAGCCTTTTCACCAGGCCCACAATGTGGGGCATGGTGGTGTGGAAGCAAGAAATTATATTAGCTGCTGAGTTTATAGGAAAAGTATTTCTGCTGGGTCACTCTGGTGGGGTGAGTCAGGCTTGCAAAGGCTCAGGGCTGCTGCAGAGCAACTTTTTTATGCGGTTTCTGTTTTGTTTTACCCGGAAGTTTTGTGCTGATGTGGGGGTGAGAACTACCCTAGTTCCCCTTTCTTCCTCATAGAAATCCGGTGAAGCATCTAAATGTGCTGTGCTCCTATAATGACACACACCCAGGGGGGCCTACCTTGTTTGGAAAACAATCTATTTGGTCAAAAGATTCTCCCAGTTTTCTACTTTATTGTTTTGTTCTGGAAAATAGCAATCTCAGTTTCTGACATCCCAGACTGGGATTTCTATGAGACTGTGACTTGACACTGCCTTGCTGAAAAACTATAAAGGCTCCCAATTACCTGACAGGTCAAAATCTAGCCTCCTGACCTTGACATCTGTTGTGGTTCAAATGTGTCCCCTCTAAATTCCAGGTGGTGTTAATGTGATCATATTTAAGTGGTGGTTAGTCCAAGAGCGCTCTTCCTGCAGGGATGGGGTGGAGGCACTTGTGAGGGCCTTCACATCGCAGCGCTTGGTCCTTTTTCCCCTCTTCCTCCTCCCACACGTGAGGATGTAGCAGGAAGGCTCTTATGAATCTAGGTTCCTTGATTTTGAACTTTCCAGACTCCATAACTGTAAGAAGCAAATTACCCTTCTGTGATAGTATCACAAGCAGATTAAAGCAGCATCCAAGACTTTATATATCCAAGGTATAGCTGATCATCTTTATACTTCCCCTTCAGTCAGACTGCTCTTCTTCCTACCTTCCCTGACACTCCTGAGAGTCCCTTACCTTCATGAACAGAAATGGATGCATGTGCACATGCACACTTGATTCTTTTGGCTTCCCGGTGTCAGGTTGTTTACTCGAAGTAGAAACTCCTCCTCTTCTCTAGCAGTGAAAATTCTCTGGGATGTTCAGAAACAAGATCGCTCCCACTTTCTTGCTAAAGATTTTCCTAACTCACCGTTTTTCTAGGTGTGGTACTCAGATAATTTGCGTAAATATCACCTAGGGCCATTGTTACAAACGTGAATTCTTGTCAGCCATCTCAGATTGTGTTCCTTGTTCTGTGAATTCTTGATTCTCATTGAAAAAACTGTAAACTGCTGCTACTGCAAGGGAGGCCCAGGCACCTGCACTTTAACAAGATGTTTATGATGGGCAGTGCAATCTGAGAGCCACTGTAATTGGATAACTTCCAACATAGCCCTCTTTATCCACATGTCTGTTGTTCTCTTCAGTTGAGATTTAAGAAATAGCAGCTGTGTCCCAGTGTTCTCCGGCTCTGCTTGGCTTTGAAATCACTTTTAGAGCTTTCCCAGAGGAGACATTATTCTCTTCCATTCTCGTGGCTTGTTAAGGAGGGCCTTCACATGGAGAACACACGCACCAGAGGCCAGTCTTTCGTTTCATCCCTGTTGCCACTGACTTGTGACTGTGCTGGAAACCAGGCTCCAGGGACCAAGGCAGGGCAAGTTAGGTAGAGCTCGGGCTGAGAGTGTGCAGTGAAGTTTAGGCGCCCAGCAGTGTCAGACTGGTGAGTATGTTTCCCAGAACCCCAGGGGCCTGCAGAGCCAGGACTGAAAGTGAGCACCAGCCACATTTGTTTTTAGTCATATGGAAAACTAGGATGGTAGGTTCTCTTTTTTCCTTTTAACGGCTTTCTGTTTCATTGGGAAAAGAAAGGATATAAACCAGACTGCAAGATTAATCTGAAAATAGAATATTCTCATGTCTACATTTGATACCTGGATACATAACAGCTCATATGAGTCCCTAGAAACATCAGGCTTTAGTTAGAAAACAAAGAGGAAAAACCCACCATTCAGTCTGACTTGGGTTCGACAATCCCTCTGCCTTTGTAATAAGGTTCCTCACTACATTAGGAAATTAGATTGTGTGTATGTGACCAATTATCATCACCAGCTTCATGCTGGATTAAGAAATAATCCTCCAGATGTAAGTAATTGAGTTCATAAGCTCTTATATTTATAGAGTATCTTTTCAAGAAAGCTCAAAGCACAGCACAGTATACCAGAGATTAGTTTGTTTCTGGATGATCTCTGTGTGTTTTGGTAAGGGGCAGACGCTGTAATTGTTGACATTTAGCATTTGGAGGATGGAGAAGCTTTGTAAGGCCACATGGTACTAATGGCAGAATTGGGAGTAGGGTACTGAGCTTGCCCTTAGGTAACGATTTCCAGGAGGAGGTCCACAGACTAATGCCTGGGGTGGGAGGTGGTGATGATAAGAACTGGTAGTGTAAGTTAAAAGTAGAGATTTCTGGACCCTATATACAGATGCCAATTCAGTTAGAAGGTAGAAATCTGTATTCTTTATAAACATTCCATATAATTCTGAACCATGATCATATTTAGAAACCAAGAGCGTAGACCATATGACTACACTGTCAACTTTATTCCTTTACTGGAAAGATCTTTGAAGTATGCCCTTTTTATGCCTTCTACTCTCCAACTTTCAGGCCTCCCAGCTCAGGCCAAGAAACATGCTGAGTCCGCCAAGACCACCCTGTTGACCTGGAAGGGAAGCACAATATCAGACAAGGAGAAAAAGGAAATCCTGGAGGCCCTGGTCATGCTCTACTACACTCTGGGAGTGTCTTGGCTCCTCCAAAACCAATATCCTCTTTCCAGCTGACTCTGGTGATGGAGGCCACAGGCCACCCATGCCAGAAGGGTTCTTTCACAACAGGAGGGTAGGTAATGGAAGCAAGGCATTGCGGCTCCATTCCAACAGTCAGACCCTTCCGAACCCTCTATCTGTCAAGGCACCTCCATCTATTCACTGAAGCTCTGACATGAGCGGTGGGAACGATCCCACTACTGATGCATTCTTTCCCCATTTTCTGAGTCTGCCCTGCAATTTTCATAACAGACGAGGATGCGTGGGGTGGTAGCGTAGAAAAGGAGAAAATGGGTAGTAACTTGAAGTACAGTTTGGCAAACTAGGCTATGCATTGTAATCCCCTGTGGAGCTTGGAGCCTAGAAGATATCTGGGTCCCACCCAGAGATTTTGATTTTGTGGGTAGAGGGTACATCTTTTGAGATGTTGAAAAGCCCCTCAAGTGGTTTTGTACAGCAAAAACGCACAGATTCAGTGGATCATTGATGATTTTCATTTTTGAAATGCTATTGAAAAGACAGCATATGATGCCAGAGGCCAAGCAGAATGGATAAAAGAAGCAATTCTCCATATCCCCAGAGTAGGCTGGGATAGGGGCCTTTGTTCAAAAGCTGGGATTTTTGACAGTCTTTTCATATAGTTCCTCCTTGAAAGATGTTAAGCTTTTTCTTGTTCCTGATGAATCATAAACCTAGTCCCCAGTCTCTGTACATTCCCACACCTATATTTTTGCTGAGCCTAGGAAATCTGATTTGTGGTTTTCTTCTATTATAGCCTTAGTGGGAACATCTTAGTTGAAAATGTAAGAAATAGAAGGATATTTGGGAATTTAAGGGGATTTTCTTTCTGCTCTTTGCTGCTGGCCAAAATCCTGCTTTGCTTGTACTTTCTTAAATGACCCAGAAAGTCCCTTTCAACATAATTAGTTCCTCTCTTTTGCCTTCCTATGAACCAACTTGGGGAAAACGAATAATGGTTATTATGCAGTAGATGCATGTAAAGGAAGTCTAGTAGAATTTATAGTTTCTGTTCACTCCTGGAACCCCTTGCCACCCACTCTAGCCTGGGATTCAGGCAGCTGCCACAAAAAACCAAGATCCTGTTGCTTTCCTGAAGAATGATTTCTTGTTGACAATATATGTAAATGAAGAATAGGTAGCATAGTTAAGAACCCATTTTTTAAATGTTGTCTCGTTTTCCCAAAGGGCCCTTTTGTTTGCTTATCAACTCCCATCACAATGCAGCGACAGTTAGTATATGTGGCTTTTTTCTTGACTGTGTCACTGGCAGAGAGGCCTATTCCAACCTGCAGAAGGCGGAGAGAAACATGAAGGAGCTAAAAGAATTATGTAAGGGAAGTGTTTGTGGACTACAAGTGTCAGAAAAAGACCTAACAATTGCTTTGGGGAGGTAAGATCTGGACTTAGAAAGGTTTTTTCAATGAGGTCTGGAGTTACATGATGTTGGTGTTATACATAAAGGAAGATAAATATTCAAGGCCTCAAACCCAGGCACTCCAGTGAAAAGGAAACGGCTCACATTTAGCAGGTGGGTATGTTGTGTTCTAAACTCGATTTACACTGCCTCCTTTCAGCTTCACAACTATGGCATAATTATGAAGACATTAGAAAACAGACAAGGAGATCAAAGCTGAGGCTAAATGAATTTCCCAGATTGCCAAGCTCACAAGTGTTGGAACCATGATCTGAACTTATGAACTCTAAGCCCTTCCTCATCCTGCCTCTTTCACTTACTCTGGAATTGGGTTTTGTTGTTGTTGTTGTTGTTTCTTTGTTTTGTTTCTGAATTAAAATCTCATTTTTCTTGCTAAATATGCTGTCCCAACAAACGAGGAGGAAGCATTCAGTGAAGATAATTCATTGGACACCATGAAAGCTGTGTATTGCATTTTTAAGTACTGTTTCATTTAAAGCAAAATTCATGGAATTTGTTCAAGCGAGCGTAAGGCTTAACTGTTCTGCAATTGGTTTAGAGATCCTTTGGGAATCAGAATATTTAGAAGCGCAAGTGGGTCTATCAGATTACCAGAAGAAAAAGAACAATAGGAGTTCCCTAGATTTTCAAATATCAATGCATCCTTGAAAGCAATTGGTTTCCAAAACTGTAAGTATTTGGCACAATAGAGCAGACAGATGACTGAATAGTAAATTAGTGAAATATGTGTAGCACATTTACCTCCTCTGAACAACCAGGAATCTAGGAGTCAAATGGGAGATAGTGGGGAGGTACTGGAACATCCAGAACAGAGTCACACTGCTCACTTAGGTCCTTAGGGCCAGGGATTAGAATCCACTGAATGTCTTCTGCTGTTACAGGGGGCAGTAGCTGAAGGTTTTATTGCCTTATATGAGGAATAGTCTTGTCCATTTTTCAGTCTATGTTCTAGTACTCCTTTTACTTAGTTCAAAGTATTTATTGAATATGTGCATGAATGAAATGTTTTACGTGTTGGAATGCTTACTAAATATAGCTATATGTTAGACACTATACAGAACACTCTACATAGTAATTCAGATTACTCAATTCTTACCAAAGTCCACGAAGGTAAATCTTATGACTTTGATTTTATAGTTAAGGCATAGAAAAGTAATAACTGAAGCTGAAAAACTATTGGAAAGGCTAGAGTTTATAACCGGGCACCTCCATCTGAAATTACTCACCTCGGTACCACACTGAGTTGTGTTTTTCCATTACTCAAATATCCAGTAAGAGCAAGTCCCTCTTTCTAATCTAAAGGTAGGGAAACTATGGCAAATTGTTCATTGAAGATGACTTACTAATATTTTCCTACCTGTCATAATTCTGTAACTTTCACTCTTGTGGTTCAGAGAGATATAGTGATTTATTTGATAGAACAAAAGATTATTTTTACTTTTAGTACATACAGTACCTAGTAATTTAGATATGTTTCTTCATGTTTTATTTTGAAGAAACTGTAAGATTCTAGAGTTTGATAAAGAACCAGCTTGAACCACCTATGTACTTCTCATTGTAACTGATATCTTTAGAACAAAAAACCTCAGTGAGATACTGTTTTATCTTTATTTTAAGAAGATGTATTCCCAATTTTGTTGTGGAAATTCTAAAATTAAGGAACGAAGTGAAGAAAATAAAAGTTAACTATAACACTACCTCTACATGTAACTGCTGTAAACAGTCTGGAGATACATGGATATAAGAGTACTTCAAAACGCTCACAGAAAAATGAAACATATAGAAATTTCTGAAATTGTATAGACAAAGAAGTCTCCAGGGAGCCAGTGTTTTGATTTAACAGTTTGGGCTGCTAGTTGCTGCCTCAGCATCACATGTGGATGCTGGTTTGAGTCCAGGCCGCTCTGCTTTAGATCTAACTCCCTTCCCTGCTAATGGTCTGGGAAAGCAGAGAAGAATGGCACACATGTTTGGGTCCCTGCCACCCACGTGGGAGATCTAGGTGTAGATCCTGGCTCCTGGCTTCGGCATGGCTCAGCCCTGGTCATTGCGACCATCTGGGGAACAAGCCAGTGGATGGGGACGTGCTCTTTCTCTCTGTCTCCCTCTCTTTCTCTGTGTCTCCCTCTCTCTATGTAAGCTTGAATTTCAAATAAAAAATTGTTGGAATAGTGTATATGAAATACGTATGAATTTCATCTTTTACCCCCCAAATAAACTTATTTTTAGCTTAATTTATCCATAAATTTTTTGAAGGTCCTATGTATGTGTCTTGTGTGTGTTCATATGTGTATATTTTATATAACTAAATTTTCTATCTTGGTCTTTTAACTTGGCATATTTTTACTATAGCCTTATATTGTTAACAAGAAAATTCTATGATGTGCTACAGCTTATTAAACCACCCCTTTGGGGGATATTTACATTGTTTTCTCTGTTCTCTCTCATTTTGAACTGAGGAGGAGTAAACCAAACTGAGAAAAACCAAACAAAGCAAAAACTTTCTTTGGCCTAAAAGAGATGGAACGAGGGGTAGTAAAATTTTATTTGATTTGAGAGAGGCTATGTTTATGGGTAAATTGTCTCATTTTGTGAATTGCTAGAAGTCATTTTTTCCATTTGTTTTTCTGTAAAATTAGAAGACAGCATGGCATATTAATAGGTTTAATGAATGGTAGTCAGTAGAATATGCTGGGTAAAATGCAAAATAATGGCTTGTTTACTGGAAGGCTAGAGTTTGAGCCAACCACACAAATGATTGACCTATGAGGGCCAAATTCTTTAGTTCTTCAATCATTTCCTTTTGTGTTTGCAAAACCCAGTGACCTCTCTGACTCTTGACCTCCGTTTTTGTTTGTTTCCTGAAGAGCCTCTTTGGCCATCCACAGGTTGAACCTGGCTTTGGCATACTTTGAGAAGGCAATTGACAATGTGATTGCTGCCAAGGGTGATGGCACACCAGACCTGATCAGTCTGTACCAGGAAGTTGCACAAATTGAACAGTTGCGGAGGAACCATGACCAGGCCATCCAGTACTTGAAGCAGGTCAGTGAACTCAGCCTGGCTGGAGTCCAGGTTGTTTACCCCAAGGCCACGGAAGCTTGTGTCTCACAGGGAACAACAAGGGGGATGGGGTTAATTGCATTTGAACTCTAACTTCCCTGCAGATTCACACTGGAGCCTTTCATCAACCATCAATGACAGGGCAGAGAAAATGACTCAGGTGGGCAGGTGATTGATCAGTGATGGTTCTTCCTCTCCTCTCCCAAGGTTCTACAACTATAAGCCATCCTGATGGATGATGGGAAGAGGAAATCTGGTGTGAGTCTGTTCCAAAGCTGAAAGCCCTAGTGGCAATTAAAGTTTTCAGCAAACACAAAGGACCTTTTAAATGAAAAATCATGGTATTTTTGTGTGGTGCTGTCATTTATCCATTAAGCCAGTCCAGCTGATTGTATTTCCAAGATTAAGGTTAAACTAATAAAATGGTGTTTCACTTGGAGGTAACTAACTTGACAGTTGCCCAAGGGAAACCAAACTTAAACACAGGAAGGAATGTTGAGTCTTTCATATGAAAACAGTTTAGGTCACTTTTACACCTCCTGTACTTGAAACAGCTAAATTGACCTCTTCTCTTCCAAACTAGAATGCTGCTGCTGCTGCTTGTCTCCCACATACACAAACACATAAAAATGCAGGATTTTCTGATCCATAAAAAAGGTGCTACATAAAAGCAGTCAGATGGTGAAGAAAAGGTATTTAAAGCAACTGGACAATCCAAGATTATAACCACTACACAGCTGAGAGGCATTAGGGAGTGTTGCACTGGAGAGAGAGCACACGCTGCTTAGAGAGGGAGCCAGTGCAGTTGTGTGTAGAGCTGTGGTCAGATCCAAATGGATGCAACAGTCAGTCTCAGGGATGCCCATTACAACTAATGAGAGAGAGTCCAGACTGCAGGACCATGTTTACTATGAGCACTTGAGGAGAGTGTTAATTCTTAATTTATATCCTAGGCTTATGAAGTAGGCACTTTATCATTTTATCCAATTTTAAGGGTGATTAAAATGAAGCACAAAGAATTGTAGCTAATGCAATTGAAGTTGTGTAGCTAGCATGTGGTAAAGCAGGGGTTTGAACTCAGAAAATTTGACCAGAGTTTTGTACTCTCTGATATACTTGCCTGATGTCTTGGCTCCAAAGTGTTTTCTGATCTCTCTATTCTTTTTTCTTTAAGATCTACTTATTTTTATTGGAAAGTCAGATTTATAGAGAGAAGCACAGACAGAGAAAGATCCTTTATCTGTTGGTTCACTCCCCAAGTGGCCACATGGCTGGGGCTGAGCCAGTCTGAAGCCAGGAGCCAGCAGCATCCTCTGGGTCTCCCACTTGGATATAGTGTCCCCAAGGACTTGGGCCATCTTCCACTTCTTTCCCAGGTGACAAGCAGGGAGCTGATGGGAAGTGGATCCAGTGCCCTTTAGGATGCCAGCGCTTGCAGGCGAAGTATCAGCCAGTTGAGTCACAGCACCGGCCCCTAATAACTTTACTCTTTTTAAGAACTTCACAGTGTTTGGCCTATGAAATATTAGTGTAGGGTCCAGCACAGTAGCCTAGTGGCTAAAGTCCTTACCTTGCATGCACTGGGATCCTATATGGGTGCCAGTATATATCCTGGCTGCTCTACTTCCCTTCTAGCCCCCTGCTTTTAGCCTGGGAAAGCAGTCGAGGAGGGTCCAAAGCTTTGGGACCCTGCACCTGTGTAGGAGATGCAGAAAAAGCTCCTGGATCCTGGCTTTGGATTGGCTCAGCTCCGGCAGTTGTAGCAACTTGGGGAATAAACCTGTGGATGGAACATCTTTGTTTCTCTCTAAATCTGCCTTTCCAATAAAAATAAATAAATATCTTCTTTTTAAAAGAAATATTAGCCCAGATGGCTGTTTCTATTTTGATGGGTATTTACTAGGCCTTTTCCCTTTTTCCTCCTATCTGAATATAAGTCCTTCCATTTTTTTTCTTGTTCACTCTTCAAGATTTATTTGGTGATTCAGTTGGTCTAAACACTTGGAAAGCTGGTTGTATTGTTTATAGAGGTCCTTTTTAGTGTTACATGGCAGCATACACTACTCATACATATAGTACACAAAATGAGATCCTTTAGAACAGTTATGCACAAGACATGCAATATTGAATTTGTACAATATTGGATTCCAGGATGTGACTGGCTGGGAAAAAAGTTGGACTAAGCACATTTGGTGAAGGAACCAGAGGTTACAAAGCACACAGTTAAACACATATCTAGTCAGAAGGGCGACTGTGGAATCTGTGCAAATGGGCAGTGGCACCTCAGAGGTGAAACTTACACACTAACCAGTCTAGGATGACACCAAGTGAAGTATCCAGCATCTGGATGCAGCTGTGGGATTTTCTAGACCGTTCTATAACTGGAGGACACTGATGGCTCTTCCCTCTCTCTGGGTCATTATTGTGGTTTTAATCACAGATCAGATTAAAAGGACAACATGTACAACCTCCAACTAAAACCCGGTTGTAGCCTAGACAGTGGAGTGTTGGCACGTTGGAAGACTTTAGACCTGCATCTCCTTCTGGATCTGCCAGAGTGCATCTGCACTTGTCTTCAGATGTGCCTCTTCATCCAGAGTCAGAGTCACCTTCATGATATCAGAGATGCCATTTTGTGCCAAGATGCGAAGAACACTCAGGAAGACATCATCCTTGATGCCATAGAGACCCTTAATCATGGTGGAAATCGCCTGAGATTCTTCATTATACTTACTGCCAGGTCTACCACAGACAGTCCAATGGCCCAGGATGTATTACCTTTCAGTTTGATCATTTCATAAGCACCATCAACCACCTGTTTGTGAACCTGCTTCCACTGCTCCTTATCTGTGTCAGTGCCCAACTCTGGGTGCAGAATCTTCAGGGAGACACCGGCAACATTTAACATGCTCCATGTAGGCACACCACTTGAATCTCCGTGCTCCCCAAGGATCCACCCATGACAGCTCAAAGGGTGAACTCCCAGCCTTTCCCCATCAGATATTGGAGCCGGGTTGAATCCAGATTGCACTTCCAATTACACACACCTTTTGTTTTTTTGGAAAGCCACTTATCTTCCAAGCCACATAGGTCAAGATATCCACTGGGTTAGAAACAACAAGTGACTTGCAGTTGTGGCTGTACTTGACAACGCTGGGAATGATGAACTTGAAGATGTCCACATTCCACTGGACCAAGTTCAGATAGCTCTCTCCCTCCTGCTGCCGTGCCCCAGCTGTGATGATCACCAGCTTGGACTTGGCAGTCACACTGTAGTCTTTTCCAGAGACGATCTTTGGGGTTCTAAGGAAAAGGCTGCCATGCTGGAGATCCAACATCTCTCCCTTCAGCTTGTCTTCCATGACATCAACAAGAGCAAGTTCATCAGCCAAGTCCTTCCTTAAGATACTGATGGCACAGGCCATGCCAACAGTACCAACCCCTACAATGGTGATCTTATTTTGGGGACCAACCTGTTCTTCCATCAGCAGGTTGTGAATTGGCTGATCCTTGAGAGCTGCCACTGGACTTGGAACCAACAGGAATCCAGGGTGCATGCCGAGCGGGTGTGGGCAACGCACAGAGATGGGCTCTGGACTCGGTCAGTGGCAGTGGCTCCAGCACTCCAAGTCCTTCCATTTTTAACATAAACAATAGTAAAGATAATAGTAATAACAATAACAAAAATGACACTACTGTGATGTTTAATATATTGCAGGTACAATTATGAACACTTTACATTTAGTAACTAATTTAATATTTACAACAACTGTTTCTGAACAATATCGTCTTTGCATTCTAGTTTCACATTTGAAGAGGACAGGTGATGTAAATAATGTCACAGTCAGTGGCTGGTCTGTGGTGGAAACTGAGGCAGTATGACTTAGGATCCAGGCTTTGCCAGGCTGTCTTTGATACTTCCAAATAATTTTATTTTTGCTGTAATATCTTTTTAAAACAGCGTATTTTATTTATCATTTTAGCTAACATTTATTGACAACTTCTCCTGTGATGTGTGCTGGGCTTTGCATACACCATCTCATTTAATTTTCTTAAGTCCTAATCAGTGAGAACCACACTGTCCACCTATGTATAAAGGTGAAATTATTTCAAGACTCAGTAGTAACTGCAGGAGTTGAAACTCCAATTCATCTTTATCTAATTCCATAACTGACCAACTATTGACTTTGGGTCAGTTAGAACTTTCATTGCAGCATCTAGAAAATTCTCAGTCAGCTGCTATCATCCGGGTGCTTACTTTGCCATGATTTTCCTTCTTCCAGGCCCATTCTGTCTGTGTGTCTTCCTTCACTGAAGTCAGCCCCCAGACTGCAGAGGCTAGTGCTTTACTAGCCAAAGCTTACGCCATGTCCGGAGACCCTCAGCACAAGGGTAAGTGGAAAAGGTATTCATGTAGTCATCAACTTTTCTGGATCAACTATGGGAAGCGTATTAGACTTTCTATGCATATTCCTAAATATAAGAAAAGGAAATAAATTAAAGCTATAGAGAATGGCAGATGTTTAGTCTCATGGTGAAGATACCTCTTAAGAGGTCTACACCCTGCACTAGAGTACAGGGGCTCAATACCCACATATGGCACCTGACTATGATTTGCTGCAGTGGTGATGGCTCAAGTGATGGTGCTTCTGCCATGTGCATGAGAGAGCTGGACTGAACTCCTGGCTGCCAGTTTTGGCCTCGTCCGACATTGTGGGCATTTGGGAAGTGAACCAGCATATGGAAGCTGTCTGTTTCTGCTTATTAAATCAATCCGTTTTTAAAAAGGCTAGAGCAAGAATAAAACAAACTGAAAACATCAAAAATAAAATGCACACACTCAAAATTTTTAAGATCAATAAAATAAGGCTGTATTTAGGATCCTTAAGGAAAAGAGAGAAGATATAAATAACTACTATCAGAAATAAGAGAAGGGATGCCACTGTAGATCTTATAGATATTAAAATGGACATGATGAAAAATTCAGGACTCAAAAATTTCATAACTGAAGTGAAATAGAATAAATTCTTGAAAAATCGCCAAAACTGAGAAACAGGCAATCGGAATAGACTTCTCTCTGTTAGACACAATAACCACGATCTTAAATGGAAAGCATCAGGCTTTGCAGACACACTTACTGATGAGTTCTGCCTAGTGTTTCAGGAAAAAATTAGGCCAGGTTTGTTGCTCTCTCTTTCTGAATATAAAAGTGGAGACAACACATCCTAACTCATTCTGATGCCAATATTATCCGAAAGTCAACATCAGACTAAGGTAGTACCTGTTGCCTTGCAATAGGACTTCTCTCCTGAAATTCATGCAGGTGTGTAACTGACTGATGGAGCAGGTGGAGATTTGATCTGGCTGTGATGACTAGGTGTTAGGCTAAGTCCTGGAGTTCTTAAGATTTTGGTGGTATGCCCTTGGAGGCTGTTCTTGTGGGAGGGTTGGTGGAGTGTCACTCCCGCCCAGCTCTCACGTGCTTTCTGCTTTCTTGGCTCATCATGGGATTTGTGCCTTTGCACTTGTGTCAGCCTCCACAGACACTAGAAATGTGATCTCCAAAATGTAAGCTAAAACAAAGCTTTCCTTTCGCAAAGAAGTTCTTGGGTATTTTAATGAAGTAATGAAAAGCAGATTAGTAGACCAGTATCTCCCATGAACATATATATACAGATATTCTCAACAAAACATTAGCAAATTGAATTCATTAAAGAAATTGTAGGGCCTGGCATAATAGCCTAGTGACTGAAGTCCTTGCCTTGTACACACCGGGATCCTGTATGGGCACAGGTTAAAATCCCTGTGGCCCTGCTTTCCTTCCAGCTCCCTGCTTGTGGCCTGGGAAAGCAGTTAAGGATGGCTCAAAGCGTTGGGACCCTGAACCCATATGGGAGACCTGGAAGAGGCTCTGGGCTCCTGGGTTCAGATCGCTCTGGCCATTGCGGCTGCTTGAGGAATGAATCATTGGATGGAGGATTGTCCTCTCTGTCTCTCCTCCTCTCTGTATATCTAACTTTGCAATAAAAACAAATCAATCTTTTTTTAAAAAGAAAGAAGTTATATTCCATAAGGAAGTACAGTTTATCTTAGTTATGCAAGTCTACTTCACTATTTGAAAGTCAATCAATGTACCACATCAACAGACTGAAAGAAAGATCACATGATCTTATGAATACACGAGACCCCCCCTCTCACTCACAGTTCAGCAAACTGTGAAGAAAGATTGCCTCATCCCAATAAAGACCATTGCTGTGGTTTTGATGTGTTTTGGGTGTGTTCCTCACAGCTTGCTGCATTGGAAGCTCAGTCCCTGCTGTGGAACTGACAATACCTTTAAAAGGTGGGGCCTCCCAGGAACCTCTCTCCCTCTCCCCAGGGTGCTGGCTGTCCTATGTGACCAGACCAGGAGGGGCCTGACCAAAACTGTGACCTAACTAATGCTTTTTATTAGTTTTAAAGTACCTAGGCTTAGAACAGAAGATAAAACAAAACAAAACAAAAATCCTACTGCTAGCATCAGTATTCTTAAAGGTGGGAAAATAAAAGTGTTCCCATTGAGGCCAGGAACAAGGCCAGGATATCCCAAGTACCCATTCTGTTTCAGCATTATAGTAGAAGTGCTAGAAAATGCAATAAGGAAATAAAAGGTATGCTGATTGGAGAGGAAAAAAATAAAACTGTTTTTGCTTGCAGGTGACATCACTGTCTATCAGAAAATCGGAAAGCATCGACAAAAAACCAAAAAATCTTCTGGAACTGTCTATAGGAAGGATGCAGTGTACTAGCCTAATATACAAAAACCAACCACTTCCCTGTGTACCAGGAGGGAACTAGTGGAATTTGAAATTAAGATAAAATACCATTTAAAGAAGAAATGAAATAGATAATCAATCTAACAAATTCTGTATAAAATGCATGTGAGAAAAACTATTAAACTGGTGAAAGAAACCAAAGAAGCATTGAATAAATTGAGCTCTTTCGTGTTCATAGGAAGTTTCAGAATCGTCAAACTATCCAATCCTTCACAACTTTCTCTGTTGATTCAACTCAGTTCCAATCAGAATGCAGCTAGCTTTTTTGAATATTGACAAACTGATTCTGAAATGTTTTACAGCAGCAAAAGCCCCAGAATAACCAGTACAACATTGAAGGAGAAGAGAGTTGGAGAACTGTCTTTGATACTTACTATATAAAGCCGTATTAATCAAGCTCGTGTGATGATGGCAAATTTTACTCATTGTATATATGCATTTTCTAGATTCATTGGGTCAACATCCATTTTATACTTAAAGGATGTCATTAAAATAGATTTTGCCAATTGCATATTTAAAATACTTACAAAATCTGTCTGTATTCCTCTTTCCCCCTCATTTACACACACACACACACACACACACACACACACACACACACACACACACTCCAAATAGAAGCTATAGAAAACAGGATTATTGAGCAGAAATATAAAAATAATATAATTAAAAAATATAATCTTATGCCTCATCTGGGATCCCAGGAAAATAAAACTACTCAGAATCTTTCTTTTCCTGCAGAAATCCGTGTATCCTCATCAGGAGAATAAAAATCAAAATATTGTCTGCCCCATCACATTACAAAGTTTTTAAAGGTCCTTATGAGAACAGACACGGACTTTAAATATGAAAGTGTCCACTGAGCCAAAGCAGATACACTTGTGAAAGATTGCAGCTTGTATGAAATTGTTGTTCTTTTTTTTTTCCAGATGCTATTGAGACACATTTTATAAAAAGTATTAGTGCGTATCAGGTGACATTGGGCTCAGAGGAGTCTGAAACACTGGCTACCATTGAAGAATTTTGCAAGTGGCTTGTCCAGAATGGGGAAAAACAGGTAAAGATGACCACCTCATCGACGCAACTGCTTGCTTATTAGATCAGAGCTGCCTTTTTCAATCTCATACCTCGGCAACTCCACCTGCAGAAAAACTGAATATTATAATCTGAGATATTACATATCTGAGATATTCATTGTAATATTCAGTTTTTCTGCAGGTTTGAAAATTTTTGCAATGAAAACAAGGTGAAGAAGCAGATATAAAGAGTGTGGAATTCAGACTACTCGGTTTTGAATCCTGACACTCTGAGCTGTAGATAGACTCTGTGGTCTTGGCCAAAATCTTTAGCTTTTTTTTTTTTAAGCATCCATTCCTTCATCTATAAAACAAGTGTAGTAAGAGATAGCTTTCTAACAGCGTTGCCAGTAAAATTAAATAATATCAAGTATAAGTTGAGAACTTGAACTCTGAGCAGGAGCAGATTCTATAGGTGCTACGTCACAGCTGACCAAGCTTGGTGGCTCATGTCGTATTGGGGCAGAGTACCTTCTCCCTGCAGCTCACGGCATAGAGCCCACGTGCTCTTCAGAATTGCCAGTAGGAATAACTTTTTTTTTTTTGATTCCTCAGGAAGCTTACAGACTGCTAAAGTCTTCTTTGAAGTCCTCGGTTACCAACTACAGTAACTGTAGTGAAAAACTGGCTGAGACTTTTTATAACATGGGCAGGATCTGCTTTGCTGAAGGAGACCTCGGGAAGGCAGTTCAGCTGCTGAGGAAGGTGAATGCTGGCTGCTTTTGCTACATTTTCTCCCAGAGGTGCAAGCAGAATGTGAGGGGGATGTGTATGTGTGTGTATATGTATCTTTACTCCCTCCAATCCCCTCTTTCTTTCTCATTACTTCTCCTTTTAAGGGATGTGTGACCTTTTGCAAGTTCTCAACTTTTTATATGTGCTGAGAAAGAATATGAAACAAAAAAGTTGTGTCCATTCCGGACTGGAGTCTTCATGGTGGGCTGGCAGTAACTTTTCAGAGTCATAGATGGGTCTAGAGCATTTATAGTTGGGCTAACCTTGCTTCATTCCTGTGTCAGCACCAGGCAGGGTTTCATCCAGTCCCTGCAGGTGGCTCTTCCCCTAGCAGTGGCAGAACCTCCCAGACTCCTGCACGTCCGTAGCCTGCTGAACACTTACCGGCCCCCTCCACCGGTGTTTGAGGTCTCTCTGTTGTTCTGCCCTTTGAATCTCCTGGAATTCAGTTCTAGCGGGGTCAGGGGAATCCCATTGGTCCCCTGTCCCTGTGCCATCACCTGGACCTCGCTCAAACCATCTGGGACAACTGTCTGCGCCTCAGTTTTCTCTCTCAGGCATCAGAGATGACATGGCCAGCTGTCGTGCGTTAGAAGTTGTTTCATGCATTTGTTTTTTCATTTCATGTGTTTCTTTTGGGGGCCATTTTGGGTGGAGTGTACATTTGATCTCCCTTGTTCCCTGTTGGTTGGAAACAAAGGTCAGTGTTTAAACTTCAAATGGAAAACTGCTTAAGAGTAAACTATTGTTGCATGAGAATAGACGCAACTTTGGCATGCCTGCATGGATTTCCTTCATATCTACTTTGTTACAGCAGTTCAGAAAATATTGCTGCAAACAGCTCCTGTAGCTGCGTTGAGTAGGGCTGCTGTCAGTCTTCAGTGCTCTTTCTGCGATCACCCCTCCCCCCAGCCCCATAGGGCAGTGAAAGGTGCAGGTCACTGGAGTGCACACAGTGCAAGGGATGCAGAAGGTAACCAAGGTAACCCAGGAGCACTGAGAGCAGACGCTGCCCTCCTCCTGCTTGGGAAGGAGCCAGTGCAGGGTGGTTCAGGCAGCCATAGTGTAAACCTAGGAGATCCCCATGGCACTGGTTTTCTTTGGATTGGGGTTTGTAGTCAAGCTGTCGGCTAGGTGATTCTCTCTAACCTAATTGCCTCTCTCCTTACCTGCAGTGCCTGATGATTCAAATCTTAGTGTATGGAAATGAACACAGTAAGAGCAGAGAGACAAAAAACCTCCTTACCCTGCTGCAGAGGTGAGTCTGGCCTTGGTGGATGTGCACACCCAACGGCCTCTCCCTGGTTCAGCACAGTAGAGGTGATTTTCCTCCATCATTCTTACCAGTAAGGCAAAGTCCCAGCTCTTCTACAGATTGTGGGAAATCCTGGAGAGGGACAAGTGGGTGACTTGTCACCTGTAGAACCCAGTATTATGAGTCTGGTTCTATAATTCACGGTATTTGTAATATCAATTTAATGCTGATATGTATTCAAGCCCTGCAAGACAAAATCTCAGTCAACTTGGGTGATAACTGATATGGATTTATATAAAGTAAACAAATACAATAAAAATCGTTTTCTTGCTGATGATATAAAAAGCAGGTCCAAAAGTAGTAGGCAACATTTTAGAGTATAGTTGTGTCTAAAGGTAGTAATGAAAGAACCTCTTCTGCCTTTTTTTTCTTTTGGTGTCTAGAATTTAAGGCAGAGTTTGTCCAAGCTTGCCCTGTTCTTTGTGCCTGGCATATGAATTTTGAGTCTCTTGCCCCAAATGACTCTGCCGATAAATGTGATAAGATTTGGATCCAGGTAGATCAGATCATAAAAATGTCATTTCTTGTAATAGTTTATTTATATGAAAGGCAGAGTTAGAACCAGAGTATTTCTATCCACTGGTTAAGTCCCCACATGGCTACAATGGCTGGGCCTGGGGTAGGCCAAAGCCAGGAGTTAAGGCCTCCCACGTGGGCGCAGGATCCAGCACTTGGGCCATCCTGTGCTGCTTTCCCAGCTGGATCAGCTGGGAGATGAAGCAGAAACAGCCGAGACTCATACACTAGAACCCAAAAAGGGGCTCTGGCATTGCAGGCACCTTAGCTTTCAGTGGCCTTAACGCTGGGCTTGAGGAAGGCCACTTTGTACACTTGTCTGGACACAGTGATACATGTGCTCATCTGTTTAGCTCCTAAGGCTCTGGAACCATTTACCTGCGGGGAAACTGAGACCTGATTTACTCAGAGCTTGGCCTCTTGGCCTCGGTCTTCACACTGGATGTTCTCTGCAGGCAGTGTAGCTCACGATCTACAAGCAGGCTGTGTGGACGTGAAGTCCAGGCTGCGGTCAGCAGGCAGCTCTCTGACCCAGGTGGAGACCCTTGGCCTCCCCAGCCTCGGTTTAATCATCAATAAAATACCAGTACCTGCTCCAGAGTGTGGATTCCTGAGTTAGTGATACAGCACTGACACCAGGCCCTGGCAGGTCGGTCTGATTGCTCAGTGGATGCTGATATCATCAGAATGAAACCACAGTCATTTTCTTCTGGGCTGCTGGAGATCATAGGTCAGCCTGTCTTAACAGCCTTCTCTGTATCAACCTACTTATTATTTTATGTCAAGAACACTGGATAGAAAGTAAATATTACTGGAATCAGACCTGTGATCATCTCGCGCCTTTGCCACTTAGGCAGTATGTGACCTCGGGGAAATCACTGAAGCTTGTCGTTAAGACTGCAGAATTCAATAATCCAAGGCAATTGTGAATTTTAAATAAAATAATTTCTTTTTTTTAAGATTTACTTATTTTAATTGGAAAGTCAGATTTATAGAGAGAAGGAGAGACAGATATTCCATCTGCAGGTTCACCCCCCAAGTGACCATCATGGCCAGAGCTGAGACGATCTGAAGCCAGGAGCCAAAACTTATTCTGGGTCTCCCACATGCAGGTGTAGGGTCCAAAAGCCTTGGGCCATCCTCGACTGCTTTCCCAGGCCACAAACAGGGAGCTGGCAGGGAAATGGAGCAGCCGGGATATAAACTGGCTGCCCATATGGGATCCTGGCACATGCAAGGTAAGGACTTTAGCCGCTAGGTGACTGAGCCGGGGCCTACGTAAAATCATTTCTGCAGTACAGAGGGCACAGTTTCTGGTGGAGTATGTGCTCGGAACAGTTGAGAGCACACCCTTCCTCCTGTTTCTCTTCAGTAAGTTTTGAAATCAAGCACAGTTGTTCGCTACCGCCATATTTTATGTATCTGAGATTGGCCAAGAAGCTCTCTCGGAACATACCTAGATTACATTTTACGCTCTGAAGGAATGAGGCTGAAACAAACAAACAAAACCAAACCAGACATCAGTTCAGAGAATCCCATGACTTCCTTAAAACTAAAGTGGAGGTTCTATCGACTCCACTGGATCTACAAAGAGAAGGAGGAGAAATTAGGAGACATGGTTACAACCGAATTCAAACTCCCCAAGTAGGGGGAGGAGTTTCTTTAGGTGCTTCGAGACTGATTCCTCTCCCCGTGGCTGACAGTGAGGAGGGAGGGCCACGGAAGGGGAGCAGAGGGGGCCCTGCAGAGACACTGCCATAACAGAAGTTGGGTCGGTGAAGGTTTTCCTTTCCCTGAAACAGGCCCATGGCTCATGCCCCTGCTGAGCCAGCTGGAGGAGCAGCTGCCAAAGCCCAGCTGTCCAACCCAGGACAAGTAGGTTCTGTGTGCGTCAGCATTTCTCTGGGTAATCACTCCCAAATGCCCTGGAGCCCGGCTGGTTTTCCGGTGGGTGCTTGCGTGTTTTCACTCCACCTCTTCTGGAAACTCAGGGAAAACCCTCGCTGGACTCTGATTGCCAGGAGCCCAGATTCTTAGGATTTGAAGCCAAAGCAGAACCAGCCTCTTAAAACAGGAATTATTTCCAAGGTTAAGTGAAAGTTGCAAGGGCCTCCAATGAGATTTTCATAAATAGAAAAGATATTGGAAAATCTCAAGTTCGGAAATCAACTTCAAGGTTGTTTAGTCTAACTTATACCCAAATCACAAATGTACTTCAATTTTAATCATTTATATGCCAAGCTTTCTAATCACTGGAAATGCTGACGTAAGATGTATTGCTTTTTGGAGAAAGACACACATGACCGGATCACAAGTTAATCGGTAGTAAATCTCTTAAGAGAAATGTTAGCGGGAAGGACAAGCGAAAACTCGCACGGCTGGAACTGCGGGTGGGGCCTGTGTGCAGGCTGGGGTGGGGTGCGGTGGTTCCTAGGAGGAGTGGACAGCTGTGTCAGAAGGGAAATGAACACCAGAGCAGATGTTCCATGTAGCACGGAGGAAGGTCTAGTGACATGGAGTGACCGGGTACCTCTCAGGAGAAGCAAGTGGCCTCAACGGTTGAGAAGGCATAGCCATACATGCCAGAGATGGGTTTGAAGGACAGTTTGGGACCAGGTTGTGCAATTCTTTATGTGCCGTGCTAATGAGTTTAAAATTGATTTGGTAAACAGAAAGGCAACTATTAAAGACTTTTGAGGAGAGAGTGACAGGATCAATGGCTGGCTGCATATCATTAGGCTAAATGGCACCTAGGAGGCCGCTTAGGAAGCAGATCTGCTAGTCCAAGGAAGACGTGTTGAGACCCTTAATTATCTAAAGCCAGGAGTGTAGAGGGGGTGTGCAGGGCGGGGGTTGAGGAACGATTCAGGAGTCCGTGATGACAGATTTTGCAACCCGTCAGATGTGAGGTGTCATGGGGGAATTAAAGGCGGCTTTGAAGTTTCTAGCTTGGGAAACTAGATACGTGGCAGCGCTGCCGAGGGACACAGTATGACAGGAGGAGTTCATCTGGCAGGCCATCTGTGGGCCGAGTGCGAGAATGACTGCCGTTCAGGATGAGTTGGTTCTTGTAGCTGCTGTTCCTCCTCTGCTTGGTGGTGTTCAGTAAGCTGCTGACTGCACGGACGGGATGCTCAGGGAGACGGATATAGTCAGTACAGAGGACCAGATCAGCCAGAGCATGCATGCAGACATAGAAAACATTTTCCCAGTACATGCAAATGAAATATAAACATGAAATATTTATAAAGAATTTTTGAGAACAGATTTTAAAGAGCATATACTGTATGATGTGGTGAGTCGGTAACAGAACAGTTGAGGATCCAATTCAAGCTTTCCCACTTAAATTGAGACTTAGTTTCTTCATCTGTAAATCGTAGGAGCACCTCAGGTGCTTTACTTAATATATTTAACGTAAAAAAATCATGAAAGTTCGAAGAAGAAATGCAAATAGCCAGCAAGACACAAGAGAAGGCAAAGCAAGAAGAATTGAAATGTCAGACAGAAACAAGCCTGGAACATGCAGTGCCATTTGTGACCTCTCATGTTTGTGGTAATGCAACATAGACAACGTATCTGTGGAAGGTACGGGGAGGTTAGCCCTCATCAGCATTCCAGGAAATTGTTGCTACCTACTGGATAGAAATTTTAGGAAAAAAATGAACAACTGGCCCATTGTGGGACACTTCCAATGATTAGAAGAATGTATTAAAGTTATAAAACACTGCCTACTATTATATACTGAAGAGTGAAGGGTAAATGAAATTATTCATATAAAGCACTTAGCGCAGTTCAGAATAAGTATTCGGTAAATATTTTTATAACTCTGCTGGTCGTACAAAATGACAGACATTTGGAGCGTCGGTTTCATCTTTGTCCGTCAGTCATCTCTAGGACATGCCTGCTAGAAAGTTACTTCAATATCATTTTTGGTGGGTCTTAAGTTGTCAAAGTCAGCAGAGGGGGTGGATAAAACCAGCTTGCTCTCTTTACAACCGGGGGTTAGAGGGAAGGTACTCTGTGTCCTTAATAGTCTATTATTCTCTTGATCATTCCAACAAGACTGAAGGGTTATGGAGAGAAAGCCGAAAAGAAGTGATAGGGCATGGGTGTTTGGGGGTCTTCAGAGACCCTATAACAAGGAACAAGAAGATGGTTGGTAGGCTCCGGAAGTGGTGGCCAAACCTGCTTGAGCTGGGGCCTGCTGGTGAAATGTATGCTCCGTAGGCTGGGTTGCTTCCAGGCTACCAACTTCATATCCTGTCTTATCGTGTGTTTGTAAACAGCTCTGCACTGCCAAAGGTAAAACAAATCTTGGTCTGCTCCAGCATTCAAGAGCCAAGGAGCAGCACTTTTCCAGATTGAGGTTCTAGAACCAGCTAGAGGCACCGGGGCAGATAAAGAAGTGACTTGTCAGGAGCCCTTTGGGGGGAGCAGGTGTTGCTAAGCCACCGAGGGCCGCTCAGCGCGACTTGTTTTCAGCAGAGCAGCAGGGAGCTCTGCCATGCTCACGCAGACTCAGAGGAAGGTGAAGACTTGCTGTCATGGGCCACTGGTTTGCTGGAGTGATGCTGAAAATTCTAGAAAGAATGAGCTGGGTGGAGTTTAGTGGTGTCCTCTGCCACAGGAGCAAACTACATTTCCACCATCAGTGTGCTGTGCAGCTATAGAGGAAAGAGCTATGCACTGTACCAAGGCAGTTCTAGTGCAGGCCGGCTCTGCTGTGTGGCCTCAAGTTGCTTCAGCATTCTGCAGCTCAGGTTCTTCATTCTTTTGACAAGCTTCTGGAGAGCACTTCTTCAGTGCCAGGTGCAGTCAGAGCTGCAGGTGCAGTCAGAGCTGCAGGTGCTAGCAAAGATAAAGCACGGTCGTTCCTCTCAAGAGAATAGCAGTCTGGGGCAAGAGACAAACGCGATGCACTCAACAAAACACCAAGTTCTGGAGTAGTGGTCCGGGTGCAGTAAGCGCAGAGCTGGAATGGGCTTCTTACAGAGGATGACAGTGGAATTCTCTCCTAAAGGGCAAGCGCCAGTTCAAGCCGATGGAGTAGAGACGCTGTGCCAGGGAGAAGGAACTCCTGCAGAGACACTGAGGCATGACAGAGGCGCTGGGCCCAAGGGACGGAGCGGTGAGTGCCTTGTGGAGGTTGCCCAGGGAAGTGCTGTTTAAAGGGGACTCCCATTTCCTTTTTCAGCCACTGAAACATCAAAGATAACTGATGTAACCCCTAAACCCAACACGCTATGCCCTGCAGAAGTCTTTCAGCCACCTGAAGACTTCTGGGAAGGGCAAGGCTGCCATCTTGTGGCAGCAGCATAGCGGGCCAGGTTGTTTCCGGCTACCACCCTGGCAGTTTCCTTGTCCATGTTTTATGTGGTCCTGAAGCAACTGAATTAATAATGTCTGTGTCCTCTACTGATTTGGATTCATGTTATTACATTCCTTCTTGGTCTGCTGATAAGGAAATTAAAGTGTCAAACGGCGTTCTGTATTTCATACAGTCCTGTAGCCGAGAATGAACCACTTCACAACATTTTGTATCAAGTTTTTATGAAACCATTTATTGATTTATTTGAGAGAGAGATATCTCATTTCCCACATTTCCGGGTTCTATCATCAGAATACCCACAATGTTGGGCTGAGCTGAGGCCGAGGCCCGGAGCCAGGAACTCTCCAGATCTGGCTGGGCGGAGGGGACCCACGGGCCGAGTCCTCAGCGCCACCTGCACGCTTTCTTTCCAAGCCTGAAGTACAAAGAGGTGCTAGAAGGTCAATCAGAGTTTTCAGGATCAGTCTTTTGGGCGCTGCAGCTCCAGCCTGGCTGCTCCGTTCCTGGAAAGTCGGTGTGGGAAGCTCCATGGTTTTTAACAGAGAGGATAAATCCTCCTTTTAGCACTTACTGGGTCTCTGGGTTTCACATCTCTCGTGAGGAAGAGTCTCCTGAAAGTGGTGGAGTGCAAGGGGCCTACCCTGGACGGTGAATCCTGAAGTCACGCACCACTGAACGCTGGGGTGTGTTGTGAGGAATGCGCTGTTTGGCGACTTGGCCATTGCGCAAACCTCAGCGAGAGCAGATGGCGGTGGAGAAGGCCAGGTGCCGTGTGGCCTCCTCACGCCGTCACGAGACTTGCTACACAAGGTGTGTAAGGCTGCTGCTGCCATACCCAGCACACTGTTTGCTATACTTTTTTTTTAAAAAAAAGATTTTGTTTATTTTTATTACAAAATCAGATATACAGAGAGGAGGAGAGACAGAGAGGAAGATCTTCCGTCTGATGATTCACTCCCCAATGAGTGCAACGGCCGGTGCTGCGCCGATCTGAAGCCAGGAGGCAGGAACTTGCTTTAGGTCTCCCACGCAGGTGCAGGGTCCCGAGGTTTTGGGCCGTCCTCGACTGCTTTCCCAGGCCACAAGCAGGAAGCTGTATGGGAAGTGGAGATACCGGGATTAGAACCGGCGCCTGTATGGGATCCTGGCGCGTTCAAGATGAGGACTTTAGCCGCTAGGCCACGCCACTGGGCCCTCTAGACTTTTTTTTTTTTTTAATAAAAAGGAATGCACACTAAAATAATGATAAAATATAGTAAATATGTCAGTGGCGGTCATTTATGATCATAGGTCTGCACAATTGTACGTGTTAGATGAGAGTGCAGTAGCGTTATGGCAGCACTGCCTTGCGCTGTGAGGAACGCATTACTGCGGCTCAGTAATCCTTGGATTGCCATTTGATTCAAGGGAAGAGCTCTGTAGGAGAGAAATTCAGCACACCCGATCGCCCTTGGGGGCGCGTCCTAAACCACTGGGATTTTAGGGGAGTGTGGTAATGTGGTGTGTGCAATCTAGCATGGAAAAGCAAGGCTGGGCAAGGCAGGGCCCCATGTATAGCCCCAGAGCAAAAACAGGGAAGGGCCGAGGAAAAGGCACCAATGTTTTTTTCTCCTTTCCTCTAGGTCTTCTGTTATCAGTAAAGAGAAAAACCTCTATCCAAGGGAGCCAGCAATAAAGTCCACCGTGGCAATGAACATCTTGGGCCACAGAGTGTTTGTCAGCCTGGATGGCCGTGGCAGATCAAAAGCAACACCGCAGATTTTTTAAACTAAAACTGTAGCGAGAAGGGTCCACTTGGCAGCACCATCGCAGGTAAACTAGCCAAGAGCGGTCACCCACCAGGAGCCTGCTCTCTAACCTGGGGCAAGGAAATCTGCAAACTAAAAGTCTTAATTTTTGTATTAATTTGCTACACTTGAATAAGTTTGGAAGTACAAAAGCATTCCTGCTGAGGGCGTGCGCTCCCTGGTGTTCCTTCAGAAGAATGCAGTTACACTACTAGCAGATACAGAACGCGAACGAAGAGGGGGTGATTGGGTCCGGTTAGGGTGGTAGTCAGGGTTATTTAGAAAGAACTCATTAGCTTCTGAACTTTAAATAGTTAAATACATGTGAAATTAAAATGAGTTTTAAATGTATCCCATGCCATTTCAGGGTCCCAAAGCTTTGGGCTGTCCTCTACTGTTTTCCCAGGCCACAAGCAGGGAGCTGGAAGGAAAGTGGGGGCAGCTGGACATGAACTAGCAACATATAGGATGCCAACACTTGCAGGGGAAAATTAGCCAGTTGAGCCATCATGCTACACCCCTCCCCCCAGTAGCATCTTAACTCTGGTCCAAAAGGTCAACCTGTTCTTCCTTACTGTATCGTTATATGTATTTTAAAATTTTATAACTGTGTTAAGTGTGTGTTTCTGGTCAGTGCATGTATCAGTGAACAACAAAAGTCATAATCCTATTTTAAATTTAAAAAGAAAACTAATTCTGAAAATGTCGACTGATTATTTTCATAGTTTATATTTTTCTGTTTTGTGTTTATTTGAACAAAACAATTTTGATATTTAATTTTCCCATTTGCTTCTGCTGGTGCAGTGATGTGGGGAAAAATGTTATTTTAAGCCACATATATATTTATTTTTTGTAGAAAGCAAGTCAGATAATTTAATGTTAATTTTATTCAATATAAAAATATGTACGTCACACAAATTATTTCAGTGAAAAGCAGCCAGAAATTACAAAAATTAATAGCTGGATTTCTGTATCTTGCACTGGCCAAAAAGCTGTTACAGATGAATGGAAGGCATCTAGTAAGTACTTAGGGCATCAAGCAGTTTTGGGCACAAGAATGAATTATTGTCTAGAACCCTGAAGTTTGTTTTATATCCTGTTCAAAAGTTTCTTCAAAAGGAATACTTAAATTCACATGTAAAAGCAGTCACTTCATTGGATTAGATGCTAATTTTACAGTAGTCTCTAGGGATACTGGTGATTGTCCATCCTTGGCAGGCCTCAGCCTTTCCCGAGGAAACCTTAACAATACAGAGTGTAGGCCCTGGAGGCTTATCCCAAGGCTCTCAGACTGTTGGAATAAGCAGGACGCCTCGAGAACCACTGAATCCAAAATTACAAGCAATGCCCATCTTTGCTTTTTCTAACATAAACAAAAGAACATCTCCATAATAGCTTCATCAAACTTTCAATCTTTACAGTCTCTTGAAATGTTCTATTTCAGAATATATACTTTGTTTGATTTGACTTACACTATTTTCTGAGTTTAAAAAAACAGAAACATAGGGCCTGGCACGGTGGCCTAGCAGCTAAAGTCCTTGCCTTGAGTATGCCGGAATCCCACATGGTGCTGGTTCCAATCCCAGTGGCTCTGCTTTCCATCCAGCTCCCTGCTTGTGGCCTGGGAAAGGAGTCGAGGACGGCCTAAAGCCTTGGGACCCTGCACCCATGTGGGAGACCCGGAAGAGCTCCTGGCTTCAAATTGGCGCTGCTCAGGCTGTTGTGGTCACTTGGGGAGTGAATCATCAGATGAAAGATCTTCCTGTCTCTCCTGCTCTCCTCTCTATATCTGACTTTGCAATAAAAATAAATCAATCTTAAAAACAAAACAAAACAACCAGAAACATAGGACAGCCCAGTACTGGATAATCAATGATTCAGAAAACATTTATTTACAAAATGCATAGAAATGATTAGAGTATAAGGCTTTTTTTGTCAAAGAAGGACTCATGCGAGTGCTTTCTCAGAAGAACACAGCCCCCGATGGACCGCCTGAATGACGTCATGGCCGAGCAGCATGGAGGGCAGTGTGTCCGTCAGTGCTCACACTCCAGACTCAGATTCAGGAACTTCCTCATCCGGGCAGCAATAATATTCCACAAAGCATATCTGTCCATCTTCATTTTTAATCATGTACTGTAGTGAGAGGAATCCTCGGTTATCTGTCCGAATGGATACTTTACAAGAGAGGACTAACGCCTTTGTAGAGGGCTTCAGCAAAGAAATCTTGTACCTGTATGAGAATAAATAAAAAGTGGTGCTCTTAATTCAGGGTAAAGGATAAAAATTAGCTAAGCATTATCATACAGCAAAAAATAATAAAATACTATCTAAGTACAGTCCCCAATTCACCAAGTAAATCTACTAGCCATTTTTCAAAAATAATACATACTTGAAACAAGAAACATTATTTTTAAATTAAAAAAAAAAAAAAAAAGGTATTCAAGCTCAACATCACCTCTGTGTTAAGAACTCACCTGTTCACTTGGGTCTGGTTACAAAGGAATGTTTCCATCAAGTCAGAATCTTTGGGATAGTCGAGGTGGGAGCTTCCTGCATTTCCAAAAGTAGACAACCTACAGTAGAAATCGAGCAATGTATTCATTGGTCCAATCATAAACCACATTAGGATCCAAATAAAACAGTTCCTGAAGAGACTCTGGTTGTTGAGACAGACAGCACACTAGAGCAAGTGCTATAGTACAGGTCCCCACAGTGTCTCACACACGGTGACCACTTCCACAGTGTGAGCTTATAGGGCAACTGGCAATTAACCCACACTTTGAAGAAAATCCAGTCATAAGAGGAGGGGGCACTCAATTTCTTAATCCTACTGTGCTGTGTCTTCACCTCAGCCTTCAGTCAGGATATGAGAGAGAACTAAGCATGATGTAAGGCCGCTGCAGACCTTGGGTCCTGTTTATAATCTACTCTTGTACCAACCGCCTGCAGCATCACTGAAACTTAGGACTGTTTTATCATTTTCCATGTTCCAAGATCAGCCAGTTATGTGTAAACAATTTAAAAATGTCTGTCTGTTTGCCGCTTCGATCTCTGTGAATTATTGAACATTGGAGCAGCGCTGGCATGCTGGGAACTGAGCCTTCAAGGGCTGTGTGTTCCCACGGTGCAGTTTTTCTCTCTTCCTGAAATAGAACCCCTTCCTCAGAGCATTTCATCCATGCCCAGCCATGGTGATGGGTCCCAGATCTACAAGCCCAGGCTAGACTGATTTCCTCAGAGCTGTAACTATATATTCATCTATTCCAAATGTCACAGGCACCTCAAATTTGACATGTCCAGAAAAAAATCTCAGTCCCACTTTCCCTTCACTAAATCATTTCCCACTGTACTGTGCATAAGCCCATGGTCAAAGGGATCCTGTGAAATACTGAATAAGTGCCTATAATCTCAACTCATATCACTGCATTATTAAGGTTTTGCTGATTTCCATGTTGATTAACATTTAAAAATATTTTTATGTGAGAAGCTGAGAGAGAGAAGATTCCCTACTGGTCTGTTCCTCAAATTCCTATGACAACCGGGGCTAGGGCAAGGCTGCCACCACAAACTCGGAACACAACCCAAGTTTCCCACAAGGTGGCAGGAACCTAGTCTGCGGCCATCAGCACTGCTCCCCAGGCTGTGGCCAAACAGGAAGGAAGCTGGAGCAGCATCTGGGTGTCACAGCCATGTAACCCAGTAAGGGAACCGTGCATCTTGACTGGTCAGGCGTGCACATCTTGGCTGGTATTTTAACAAACAGCTACCCCTGCTCTCAAGTACCTGAAATACGGCTTGTCAGGAGACATGGTGACCTGAAGGACCTCGCTTGTCATATCCAACTCGGAAAACGCTTCTCGGAGCCCCTCAGACTGCAGGATAATTTTATTGATCACATTGGTGCTGCAGAAATCAAAGTCCAGAGTCTCCTCAGGCTCCTGAGTGCTGATTTTGCAGACGGTCACCACTCCTCCTTCCTCGAGGAACAGCATCAGGGGGTGGCCGTAGCCCTGGTAACACATCCGCAGTGCCGTGCAAGTCCCTGCGATGGAGGGAAGCCCCGGGGGTCAGCGCAGAGCACAGCAGAAACAAGCCCCCAGCCCTCCCGAGAGCACGCGTCGGCAGCTCCAGTCGGCTTGCCCCTTGAAAAAATCCTGATTATATGTTTAAGTCTACAAAAACACTTTCCACAGAAATGTTTTTCCATTTCTTCAGGGTATTATTTTTAGGAATGGTGAAATCCAATCACCATAGGTCTAAAGCCACAAGAGTCCCAGAAAACAATCTGGATACAGACAGGTATGGTTCCAGGTGTGGTTCCCTAAAACAATATTTTAGTTTTATATTGCGAGTACCACTATCACTCACTATACATTTTTAATGCAGTGTTTTCCCACACTCCGACATGGGATGCAGCTTAACCCACAGTGCTGATGCCAGTCCCCTGTAAACACATGTTGATACTCTACAAAGTCAGAATCTGTGACAGTAACCACTGACAAATAAATTGGTTTAAATTCTAAGGAAAATGCCTTAAAGAAATGCTTTTAAAGAAATACTTTAAAAATATTGTACTTTTCTGACTGGTCTGTATAACGCTTTTGTGTCCTTGTAATAATAAACTGGTTTACCTGGCACAGGGCTTGATCCAAAAATCGACAAGCAGTCTAAAAGGACAGTTAAGTTAATTCGAAATGTAACTGACTCTTCCTGAACGGTAAACTCTTGAAATATTCCAGCCTATGAAGAGGTAAGCATGAGAAGATGATTACATTATTAAGACTGAAAACTCACATGTAAGATTACAGGTTTCACAAAGTTTTAAAAACAACAATGCTGGGTAGCCTAGCAGCTAACGTCCTTGCCTTACATGCGCCAGGATCCCATACAGGTGCTGGTCTGTGACCCGGCTGCTCCACTCCCCACCCAGCTCCCTGCCTGTGGCCTGGGAAGGCCGTCGGGGATGGCCCAGGGCCTTGGGACCCTGCACCTGTGTGGGAAACCCAGAAGTTCCTGGCTTTGGATTGGTTCAGTTCTGGCTGTTGTGCCCATTCAGGGAGTGAATCAGCGGATGGAAGATCTTTCTCTGTCCTTCTCTCTGTAAATATGACTTTCCACTAAAAAAAACTTAAATAGTAACAATGCTGTACTACTGTCATGAGATATTATCTAATTGTCAAAGTATCTTCTACTCAGTAATTTAGCCCCCTGCAAACCTTGTTTAGGATGCTTTTTTTTTTTTTAAAAAAAGATTTACTTACTTGAAAATCAGGATGATAGGAGGAGAGAGAGATTTCCATCCACTGGTTCATCCCCAGGGAATGGCCAGCAGTGGCCAGGGCTGGGCCAGACTGCAGCCAGGCGCTTCTCCTGGCCTTCCTGTGTGGGCAGTAGGCCCCGAGCCCTTGGGCCATCCTCTGCTGCTCTTCCCAGGCCACTGACAGCTGTCAGTGGAGTCACCTAATGGGGCGGTGGCTGCTTTACCTACTGCACAATAACACTAGTCTCTGTCTCCATTCTTCATTCTTGAAAGTAAAATTATCTTTTTTTTTTTTTTTTGGTCCATCAATATGGCTAAGGAAATCTGGAGAACAGATGAAAATGCATGTGTGCTATTGGTTTTCAGTTCTTTTGAGGAAAACAACTCTAGGCTTTAAAAAAAAGTTGCTGAAATCAATCAGAAATCTTCTGAACTTTACAAATGTTATTTTGTCAGATTCTATTACAACCAAAAACAAAATTTTAACTAGAATAGTAACAAGTTGGTAAAAGGCATATATTTTGGAAACAAACATTTGGGGTTCTTATCCCATCAGCTTACCTGCTACCTGTTGAACTGTGGGCAACTCAATTAATCGTGCTGCAGTTTCCACAGATGTAAAAATGGAGTAACACAACGTACTTTGGGGACAACGGGGAGGGTTACATGGGTTAAACGTGTAACACACTTACCGGTCTATGATTTTAGTTTTTAGAAACTTTAGTCATTATTATCATTAACCACGACCTCTGGGGGCCCGGGGGGGGGGGGGGGATGGGCTCCCAGGAGAGAAGAAAGTTCCAGCACTTCTACGTGCGACCTCACTTTGTCCCTGCAGACCTTTCGCCTGTGGCCATACCTGAATAAAAGCATTGGCTTGCACGCACTTTGCATTTTCCACCGTCACTCGGAGCCCGTTTTTAGTGGCGAAGCAGGTGGCGTGTTCTCGGAAGTGGATGGCCTTCAGGATGGTGGAGAGGTTCCGCACGTTGTCGAGGCTGGCCACTAGGCTGTACCGCTCGCCCTCGTCCCGGACGTGCTGCGTGAGCAGGGGCATCCCGCGCTGCTCCCGCCGGGATTCCGGAACGAGCAGACCCCTCAGCGGGGTCGGCGGCCCGGGGCTCGGGACGGTCCCCGGGGAGGGAGCGGCGACTCCCCAGTGCGGACAGTGAGAGCTGACAAGTACGCCACCGCCCCGGGCTCCACCGGGGCCCCTAGTCCCCTCGCGCTCCCAGCCAGGCTCCACCGCCCTGGGCGCCGGGGGTCGGGCCTCGCGTCCTCAGCAGCGTCTCCCGGAGCCCGGGACTACCAGCTCAACAACCCGCCACCGGGATGGCACCGCGGATAAACGGGACAACCCGACGAGCCGGCCCAGCCAGCGCGAGGGAAGCGACTCGCCTCCCGCCACTCTCCTCAGGCCCGCCCCTCCGCCTCGGCCGCCCGCCGTCGCCCCAGCGCCCGCTCGGGAGGGCTAGAGCGCCGCCCTCCGTTCTCTCAGAGCCCGCCCGGGAGGGCTAGAGCGCCGCCCTCCGTTCTCTCAGCGCCCGCCCGGGAGGGCTAGAGCGCCGCCCTCCGTTCTTTCAGCGCCCGCTCGGGAGGGCTAGAGCGCCGCCCGCGCGGCCCACGGACCATAGAGCCGCGGGAGGACCGTACCACCGAGACGGGAAGCGGGAGCGAGCGGCGGAACCGGAAGACAGGCTCGGAGCGACGGCTAGGCGACATGGCGGCCACCAAGAGGAAACGGCGTGGGGGCTCCGCGGTGCCGGCCAAGAAGCCCAAGAAAGCTGGCAAGGATGCCGGGCCGCCGGCGAAGCGGCGCTCCACGACGGAGGAGGTGGAGGAAGAAGAGAGAGACCGGATCCCGGGCCCCGTTTCTAAGGTAGCCTCGGGTTAGTCGGCGGCAGCCCGCGTGCCTTCCCCGACTGGTGTCTCCTTGCGTTTTGGAGCGTTGGGGGAGCTCGCTCCCTGCTTTCCCCTGGGATGGATTGTGCACAGTGTTCGCGGCGGGACAGTGGAACTCCTGCCGGACTCGGGGAGGCGGCGGGACGAGGGTGGGGGACACTCGGGAATTCCTATGCGATTTTCTTTTTTTTTTTTTTTTTGGACGGGTGTGCCGTTCCCTAGCTATTTCTCTCTGTATGTCCTGCCAGGGCCAGCCACTGTGGTTCAGGTTCCTGGGACTTGCTGTGGGACCCTTTTAAAGTTCCTCCCCGGCACGGTGTGTTTGATCGACCTGGGTTTGAACTGAAGGAATGGTGAGAATTCGGCCAAGTAGCACAGGTGCGTTCAGCACCAGGCCAGGCGTCCTGCGGTCCAAGGGGATGCAGGGGTGACGAAGAAGTTGCCAAAAAGTGGGTGGCTTTTGTTCAGAAGCTGCACGCCAGTTTCGGAGCTAAATCTGTTTTCAGCGGAGAGAATTCCTCCATGTGGACGGACTCGGAGGGGGAGGAGGGTTCCTTTGGACATGAACTTCTGTGTTGGGAGCGCTTGCTCCTGTTCTTAGCAGGCAGTCGGCCTGAGTGACGTTGGACGCCGTTTTCTTACCTGCATACCGTGTGTGAAAATAGCCTGCAGTGTTCTAACGATGTCACTGCCCTTGCAAGGAGCTGCAGAGAAATGTATGTTGGTGGTTCCATCCTGCGTGTTACTCTCCCATTGCCTGTGATGATGCAAGGTTGAGGTATTGGAAAGAAGACGGCTTAATTTAGAGTCCAGTGTTAACCCTCCGTCACTGTTGCTCTTTGTTTACCAAAGGTTGTGAGTGAAGCTGTGCTTTAAAAAGATTCAACTGTTGCTCGTTCGCCCTGCCGTCTTGGGAAGGCTGGCTCTTAGCAAGCTGATAAAAGTTGTAAGAATCTCAGTAAGGGCAGTGCGCAGGAGAAAGAATTAAGAAATATTGTAAAGAGAAACTGACTGTATTCGTTCATGCTTGTGAGATGGGCGAATACAGCCCAGTGGAAGATTTCCAGGCTTTGGAAGCTGAAGTAGCAATAGTACAGGATAAAGAAACGACACAGAGATGACCGGGTTCACTGAGATATTGCTTAGTCGTAGAGTTGATTCTGAGCAGTTAGGTGTGTAGTTCTCTATGTACGGGTTCTGAATCCCCAAATTCAACCAACTTTAGATGGAAATTAAAAAAAAATACTGCCTCTGTACATAGCGCATGTCATTTGCCTTGTGATTCCTCAGACAGTATTTACGTTGCATTGAGGATTGCATGTCACGTGGAGGTGATGTCACGTGTACAGGAGGTACAAGTGCTGGGCCGGCTCCCTGAGGGATTGTGAGGCTGGGACTCATCCCCTGAGGGTACCCAGGACCCTAGATGGAAGCCCGTGGGAGAGGAGGGCTCCAAATGAAGAGAAAAGAAATACCAGGAAGAGGACTAAAACACCTTCAGGGCACGGAGAAGGGGAGAAAATAGATGGTAACTCCCCCCACCCCCCTTTTTTAGGGCAAGTGGAAGAACAAGGAACGGATCCTCATCTTTTCTTCCAGAGGAATAAATTTCAGGACGAGACATTTAATGCAGGACTTGAGGACGCTGATGCCTCATTCTAAAGCAGGTACCCGTCAGATTGTCACTTCCAAATTCTGTAACTTACACCCCTGCATCTGCCTGGATGAAACTTTTGTGTCTGTTGAAGCATAGATTGTTCCATAAAGAATGGCGGTAATTCGGAGGAAACATTGCCTGGAGGTTCCAGGAAGCCTTCCTTCCCATACTGCTGAAGGCCTCGAGATGGTAGCATTATCTGCCTGCTGTGTTGCTTTCTGAACTTGTTTTTAATGTTTATTTTCATTTTACTGAAAACAGAGCAACAGCATGAGAATCTCCGTCTGTGGGTTTTCACTCCCCACATGCTTTGGGCTGGAGCTCCAGCTGGGTCTCCGTTGGGGGCAGGGGTCCACACACCCAGGACATCATCTGTTATCTTCCCATGTACACCTGCAGGGTGGAAGTGGAGGAGCTGGGACTCAGCTGGTATTTCCATATGGGAGGCTGGTATCCTAACCTCAAGTACCATGACGCCTACCACAGCCTTCTGTTTTTTAAGTTTTATGTATTTATTTTTGGAAAGGCAGATGTACAGAGAGGAGAGACAACAGAGGATGCCCGAAGCCGTGGGAGACCCTGGAGAATCTTCTGGCTCCTGGATTCTGGCCCACTCAGGTTCATGTGGCCATTTGTGGAGTGAACCAGAGGATGGAACATCTCTCTGTCCTGTGCTTTAGCCTTTCCAATAAAAATAAATAAATCTTAAGAAAAAAAAGTAGTAATCCTGGAACAGGATTTAAAACATCTTTAGGTTGGGCTCATTGCACTCCTGTGTTCCACATTCAAATTTTTCAGCAGTTGGCTACAAGTGGATGAGGTTTGGATAGTGGCAGAGCCATTGTTGAGCTGGTTTGTGCCTATCTTATGAGGTACTTTTGACTTTTAATTTATTGTTTTGTGCCAGTGCTTCTCAAACTGGAATTATGTAAAACCTTCAAACTTATCAAACTAATGAGAGAAATTGTAATTTATGTATGCTTTTCCCTGTAATTCCAAACTGCTCAAATCCATTTATTTGACATCTCTGAAAAATTGCAAAATATTGAAAAAATTTAAAAAGATTTTAATTCCTTTTTTTTCAAGATTTATTTATTTTGATTAGAAAAGCAGATATACAGAGAGGAGGAGAGACAGCGGAACATCTTCTGTCCGATGATTCACTCCCTAATTGGCCGCAATGGCTGGAACTGAGCTGATCCAAAGCCAGGAACCCAGATCCTCTTCCACGTCTGCCACGTAGGTGCAGGATCCCAAGTCTTTGGACCGTCCTTGACTGCTTTCCCAGGCCACCCACAAGTAGGGAGCTGGATGGGAAGTGTGGCTGTTGGGTTTAGAACCAGCGCCCATATGGGATCCTGGCCGATGCAAATCAAGGACTTTAGCTGCTAGGCTACTGTGCCAGGCTCAGATTTTCATTTCTTAAGTGAGTGTTTTCCTAAACTGAGTGAACATTTTTGTGAGAATTTTTCTCATTTTGGAAAGGGTTCAGATTACCTAGAGCCTGAGAAAGCCTGCCTAAAACCATAGTATAATTGTGCAAGATGAGATTTTGCTTGCTGCTGTTCTGGACATTTAAAAAAACCAGCATTGTAGGGCCAGGCATTTGGTGGTGGGGTGCTAGCTCCAGGCCCAGCCACTGTAATTCTGCTTCAGTTTCCCAACTTTGTCCCTGGCGGGTGGCAGCTGGTAGCCTAAGCACTGGGGTTTCTGTGGCTCTTGTAGGAGTCCTGGGTGGAGCGCGTGGCTCTTGGCTCCTGGCTGCTGATAGCCTTAATGGTGAACGAGCAGATGAAAGATCTTTTTCTCCCTGTCTCTATCTTGAACTTTCCTAATGAATAAATTGTTAAGTAAGAATTTTGAGGTATTTGAAGGGTTTGATGTTTTCATAAAATCTTCAAAGTGAAGAGTGCAAAAACACTTAAAAAAAATTCATTCCTAGATGGTGTATGTGGTTTGAAATATTTTGCAATCATTTTGGTTAATTTTTCTTTTTTCTTTTTATAGATACTAAGATGGACCGTAAAGATAAGTTATTTGTGATTAATGAGGTAATTTTATGAAATAATTATAGTAAAATATTTTGTTGAAGACATGTATGTTCGCTGTTAGGTGTTTGGCTCAGCAATGAGTCTGTTATTTCCACTCTCCACTCCACCTCTGGTCCATATGCTGAGCTGGCGTTTGCTGCCTCTTGTGAAGGCCTGTGTCGGAATGCGCTGAGTTCGCCTCCTGCCTTTGGCCTGGCCCAGCCCTGGCTTTTAGGAGCGTTAGATAGTGATTCATAGATGAGAGATTTTCTTCTTCTTCCACATCTCTTTGTCTTTCAAATAAGTGTAACTTGGAACTTTTTTTAAGAAGTAAAATAAGTCAATTACTTTATGAATTTAAAAAATTATAGAAAGGGAGGCGTCCCTATACCTACATAGCTGTATCATGGAGAGTAATAACCATAAAAAAGATTGCTTTATAAAGGGTACTCAGATTGGCTAGGATGAGGTATAAAAGATGGGCGGGACCAGCATGGGGTGCGGTTGCTGTGCTGCTGGCATCCCGTGTTGGAGCACGGGTTCAAGCTCAGCTGCCTTCACTGACTTGCTGCGTGGGATCTCTGTCACCCCGGGAGGAGAGCCAGGTGGAGTTTCTGGCTCTAGGCTTCGGTCTAGCCCAGCGCTTGCCATTGTGGCCTGTTGGGGAGTGAGCCAGCAGGCAGAAGACGGACTCATTGCTCTCTCTTTTTGCCTTATAAATAAAATTTATATATAAGTCATATATATATGATTTTTTAATTTGAAGGGCAAATTTACTGAGAGGAGGAGAGACAGAGAAAGACATCTTCCATGTGCCGCTTCATTCCCCAGATTGCTATAACAGCTAGAACTGAGCTGATCCAAAACCAGGAACTTCTAGGTCTCCCACCTGGGTGCAAGGACAGAACAAGGACTTGAGCCATCCTCTGCTGGTTTCCCAGGATATAAACAGGGAGCTGGGTCAGAACTGGGGCAGTTGAGACTAGAACCAGTGCCCAGATGTGCTACCAACATTGCAAGGCAGAGGATTGGCTGTTGAGCCATTGTGTTGGCCCCCAATATTTTAAAATTCAGAAACATTTTCTTGACTTTGTTAGGAGAGATTGCTATGTTTATCTCTTCAAACATAATGAAATTTCTTGAAGGGAAGAATTAGATCTCATTTTTTTTCTCTGAGATTTTGTATTTTTTTTATGTTATAGTAGGTACTATTATCAATCAACATGTATGCAGTTTAAAAAATATCGACTATTTACAGAAACCTGACATTGTTAGAGAATTTTGTCAGTGTTAAAAGTGACACCTGTGGGTTCTTGGCACTATTTGACAGACTGTTTAGGATGGCTGCCTGGTGAGGGAGGGCCTGCCTTGAGCCCTGGCTGTGCTTCACATGTCAGCTCCCGCTATGCGCTTCCAGCAAGGCAGAGGCTCAGGCGCCTGGGCCCCAGCAGCCCACATGGGATGCAGATCAGAGGGCTGGCAGCATTCAGGGAGTGAGCTGGAAGGTCTTGGTGTCTCCTGTAGGCTCTGTCAAAGCAGCAACAATAAAATAATGAAAGTGTGCTGCCTGTGGATTTGCTCTTAATGTATTAGCAGGCTAGTGAAAGGCTCAATTTTAGAGTACCCTGGAAGATAATTTTTTTTTTTTTTTTCAGGGGAGAGCGCGAACGCAGTAATTTTTTAAGCCAGTTTTTCAAAATTTAGAATTATTTTGTGATGATTCTGGTTTGTTATTTGAAAGCTTTTATTCATTCCGGTACCACAATTCGAACCTAGAGTGTGGCATTGTTCTTTGTCCTGAGGAAACATTGTTTGACAAAACAATGTCCCTTGTCTTGGAGTTCACAGTCAAATGAGGAAAGCAATTGCAGAGAGAGAGGCAGAATGTCTGTGTACTTGGGTGAAAAATCTCAGTGGAACTTTAGATGTTTGTTCCTGTAAATAAAGTCGGGCCTTTTTGCCTATCAAAACATTTAGAGGAATCTATATATTATGATGAATTATTTTACTTCTCATTTGTATTATCTGCAATTTCTGTTTTAATTTTTTTCATTTAGGTCTGTGAAATGAAAAACTGTAATAAATGCATCTATTTTGAAGCTAAGAAAAAACAGGATCTCTATATGTGGTAAGAGCGTTACTCAGATTTGGCCAGGTTCACACTTTGTGTTTCTGTTATAGACAGCCTTCTGTGTAAAAGGAAAAAAGTAATTGGCAAAACTTGGAATAATATAAAGGAAATTAAATAGGTTTATAAGGATGTTGTGGTATGTTTTTCTCAGGAATAGGTGATAAGCATTTATTATGTTCTGAATTGTAACTAGTTGAAAAAAATGTTCATGCCTTTTAGGCTTTCAAATTCACCCCATGGACCATCTGCTAAATTTCTTGTTCAAAATGGTAAGTTGGCTTAATTTTAATTTTCTTTAAATGAGAAAATTAAGACAGTCTTTTGGAGTAATTACACTGAAGTTACAACTTGTTCTCCTGGTTATCAATTTTTTTAGTTCATACCCTAGCTGAACTGAAGATGACCGGAAACTGCTTGAAAGGCTCCCGACCCCTTCTGTCCTTTGATCCTGTAAGTTCTTCGCTCAGTTTGTGAGACGAAATTTTCTTACTCTGGTTGCATTTTAGTGAATGCAATTATATACTTCATTGTAATGTTAAGTTTTTTTTAAAAAATGTGAGCTCAACTACCAGATAATCTGTTCACTCTATTTTTTTATAGGCTTTTGATGAATTTCCACATTATGCTTTGTTGAAAGAACTCCTAATTCAGGTAAGTGTGTTTACCAGAGTATTTTGTGATTATATTATAAAATAGTGTTACTGATGCCCCTTTTTTTTTTGAGTAGATCTTTAGTACACCGCGGTATCACCCCAAAAGCCAGCCATTTGTGGACCACGTGTTTACCTTCTCCATTTTGGACAATAGGATATGGTTTCGGAACTTTCAGGTTAGCTTTGCTTTGTTTATTCAGACTTTAAAAAGAATTGAGGTAATTTGGGGCTTGAAGGTACATAAATAGAATAAATAAACTTTTATTTTAAATACCTTCTTTTACCCAAAGAGGTTTGTTACAGATAACCATCTCATGGCTTAAGTGTATACTTAATTCTTTTCATGACTGTAAATTGATATGGGGTATGGGTTTTATTTTATGAAAAGGAAAACCCATGAGATAATTGGATTCTGCATTTGTGTTTAATGTGATACAGTGAAATATGAAATACAGTATACAAATGTGTATACAAATATTACATAGTGTACTAGAGTGCAGGTGTCTCTTCCTAAAGGTTAGACTCTCCCTGGGTTTGATTAAGACACGGAACAACATGACACCTTTACAAGTTTGACAGTGAGGACTACTAGCTGGCTCAGAGGGGACTGAGACTGTCTGAAAGCACGCGTTTGGGGTATCAGGTCTTCAGAAAGGATTGATGGAGACTGGCAGCAATACAGGTTCAGGTGACATTTGATCTAGGTGGACTCCAGTCTGCATGTTTGTTACTGGCTACATTAAATCTGTCCCCTTCTTAAACTCTGAAGGTAGATGCACCTGAACCAGCAAACAGCTCAGTGTGTGCTTTCTGAGTCACCTCTCGGAGATAGCACATGTCGTCCCCGGTATGGGGCTTCTTCCACCTGTCTTGCAGACCCAGTTGTGGTTCCGAGCTGCTGGCTCCTCCTAACTCTTGCAGAGTTTGGGAAGCGAACGAGCAGATAGAGAATCTCAATCTCTGTGTGTTTGTCACTCCACTTTCAAGTAGATGAAAACAATCTTTTAAGTATGACTATTTTTAAAGGCTTTATTTAAAAGATAAAAAGTCAAGCAAGAAATGAACCAAATTCAAATTACTCAATTTTGAACACAGTTTGTTTCTTCATGCCAACCTCATGTAACTAGTGATAGATTTCAAAAAATAATGATGGTTGGACGCTTGCCAGGCTTCTCCTCTATCTTAGTTTTGCTGGTTATACATTTTTGGGGCACATCTTATAATGAAGTTATAGTTAGTATGTGTATTTTCTAGAAATAGTATATTCCAACCAAAAAACAAATGTTTCCTTTTTTTTAATTAAAGATTATAGAAGAAGATGCTGCTCTTGTTGAAATAGGACCTCGCTTTGTCTTAAACCTCATAAAGATTTTCCAAGGGAGCTTTGGAGGGGCCACCTTGTACGAAAACCCTCACTACCAGTCTCCAAACATGGTAAGCGTCTCATTGCTCAGTGGTCCTTGGTGCAGCAGAACTCGGGCCAGAATCGTTGTGCCATCTGTGCACGGACTTGAAACTGTCTATTTTTAAATGAAAGCTGGTGGGAAATAGTTTTCATAAGTGAATGCTTTATCTAAAACTTTTGTCTTAAAAGTATTTGATTTTTTTCCAGCATCGACGAATTGTAAGATCCATCACAGCCGCGAAATACAGAGAGAAGCAGCAAGTGAAGGATGTGCAGAGACTAAGAAAGAAAGAGCCAAAGGCTGTTCTTCCCCACGACCCCACTGCAGATGTTTTTGCTACTCCAGCTGAGGAAAAGCCGATAGAAATACAGTGGGTCAAACCAGAACCTAAGGTTGATCTGAAAGCAAGGAAGAAAAGGATTTACAAGCGGCACAGAAAGATGCAACAGAAGATGAACAAAAGGAATGCAAAATGAAGCAGCATATAACTGGATTTTCAGTTATTGTATATTTATTTTGTGTTCAACATGTAAATACTTTTATTTCTAGGTCTTAAGTTTCCTGTGATGTTTAAAAGAAAATGTATTGTCTTAGATGTTTATCTTTTTCTAAATAAAAAGCATCAGAGCACCTAAGTTACTTTTTCTTTTCAGAGTTTTTGGGTTTTAGTGAAAATTGAGCATACGCAAGGTTTAAACCTACTCTCAGATTTTTTTGTCTAGCAAAGCTGAAATTCAGCTTTGTTATTTATTGGGTCATTGCTACTTGTAAAATGAGTAATTATTCTGTATTGCAGATTTCATTTCCATCTTTTTGGGAGTTAGAGGGGTGGGCTGGTCTAGGTGCTGACGGTGAACATTTATACAGAAATCATTTTATAGAACACTTATTTCCTAGAAGTACAATCCGGAACAAAGGTTTGAATACTGTGGCTTTTGCTTACTCGTTAAGACTGTACTCACCAGGAGTTAGCATGTTTAATTCCTTGTGCCTTTGCAAGGTGGTGGAATAACCTGTCAGTGGGTTAAAACAGTGCTGCTTTAGGTCAGACTTTGGTTTTTCTTTTGTGGTTGGATTTTTTCGTAGTGCTGTTGCTGTCACTGCTCTGTAAGAGTTCTAGAAATCTTGATTTACGTTTTAATATTTAAAATTGGGACAAACTTACCATAATTTACTTTTGTTCTTAATTTTCTCTATGAACTTTCCTGAGTATAAGTAGGCTAATGGAAATCTTGACGTCATTTTAATGACGCAAGTAATTCATATTAGAGTTTCAAAACACTTTATTTAAAAGATTTATTTTTATTGAAAGACAGATTGTTAAAAGAAGGAGAGAGAAAGATCCTGCATCCACTGGTTCACTCCCCAAATGGCTGCAGCGGCTAGAGCTGAAGGAGCTGAGGTAATCCGAAGCCAGGAGCCAGGAACTTCTGGGTCACTCACATGGGTATAGGTTCCCAAGGCTTTGGGCCATCCTTTAAAAATGTTTTCCCAGGCCTGTTAGCAGGGAGCTAAGTGAAGCAGGCAGAACGAGAATTGGCACCCCTACGAGATGCCAGCACTTGTGGGTAGAGGATTAGCCAATTGTGCCATCACATCAGCCAGATAGTTTTTTTTTTTTTTTCCCAAAGCCTTATCTTTTACTGGAAAGTCAGATTTACCGAGAAGAGCTATAGAGAGAAAGGTAGTTCGTCCCCTGGTTCTTTTCCCAGGTGGCCAAGATGGCCGGAGCTACTAGCTGCCTCGGTACAGTTTCCTAAGGCTTTGGGCCGTCCTCGACTGCTTTCTCAGGTCAAGAGATCCAGATGCGAAGTGGGTGCCCATAAGGGATCTCTCTGCGTCTAAGCCCATGGTTTCAAGACACGTTTGCAGCCTGATGAAGACCAATCTGGTTGAAAGGAAAAGGTGATTCTTTAAGGTTATGTCTTAGCAGTATTATTTAGTGTAAGATTGCCAGTCATGGTTTTTGAACACCTATTGCACATCAGGAAAAGGCTACATGCAGACCATAAACACAAACTGGGTCTCTACATGTTTCAAGTATGAGGGAAAACCCATACTTTTTTGTGTGTGCTTTGCAGAGTTTCGGTAAAGTTTCAATTTTCACAATTCAATCTTTCACATGGTTGTCTGTCCTGAGAACTCTGAGATGGGTCATCTCTGAAATGTTTGATTAGGAAACATGTTTAATAACAGTGTCGCTTTCCACTGCAGTTTATATCAAGCACCATGTCTGCATGTCTATGCAGTTTGGACTCAAAGGGTGACTCACAGGTTACAAGCAAAGGGCTTCCTGCTCGCAGTTCCGTTCTGGAGAGCACAAAGTCCGCTTCCCCTCAGGCTCCAACTTCTCGGTCCCTGTCCACTGCCAGTGTGCTAGTGACAGGCCACAAGGAGTTCTCTGGAAAACAGATGGACTTTAAGTGGTGACCCGCGGCATTGGCCTTGGAGTTGGCTTTGTGGGCAGGGAACCAGGGAAGAAAGGGGTGAGTTAACTCAATGGATGTCACCAACACTGCCAGCCCTGCCTAACTCAATGGATGTCACCAACACTGCCAGCCCTGCCCCCCTCACCAGAGTTGGCAAAGTAACCCCCATCGCGTGTGTTATACATTCCACATCACAGTGAAAAGTACTGGTGTGTTAATGCACTTTGAGGAAAACAGGGAGGCCATGCTGACAGCGTATCAGATTGTTTGGAAGTTGTACAGAGCTGTCATGTGACGTCATGCAGGTGTCCCAAGCAGAACCTGGTGGTTACATACTACTTCCGTAAGTACTTCCTCAGTGAAGGCCAGTTGTGGAAAGGTAGGGTCACAGGCTAGAAATTCAGTTTAAAGATGGATGTGAGGGTGGGTCCTCAAAGTTTTACCCGCAATAATGGTAAAATCTAGTATGTTAATCGAAGGAGTTACTTCAGTTTGAATTATTTACCGTAATTTTTCAGTATACTGGTCAAAAAGCAGTATTAGTATTAAGGACAGCTAAGCAGAGCTGAAAATAAAAGATCCAGCGTTGAGCTAATCACTTGATTACTTGGAACTTGAGTTGCCTCAGTTGCAGAGGCCCAGCTGAGACGTGCAGGGCTGGGCTTTGGCTCTGCTGTCTCAGAACGCTCCGGGCGTCTGTGCTGTGTGGGAGCGCCTGGGTTCGAGTTGGCTCAGCTGCGGCTTCCAGCCAGTGTGGATCTCGGGTGGCAGCAGACGACTCGGGGAGCTGGGATGCTGCGTCCCCGGGGAAGTTCCGGATCGTTTCCCTACTTGTGATTTTGGTCTGGCCCAGCCTTGGCTGTCGCTGTCATTTGGAGAAACCACCAGAAGATGGAACAAATACAAACATGATGCTCTACGAGATGCTTTTCAGAAACCTGCCACTGGAGTCCTGTCTTTCCCGGCTTCAGCTTTGGGATCAGCTGCCCAGCAGGTGTTACCCTTTTGATCCTCGTCGGTGCTCCTCACAATGACACCGGACGGCCCCGCCTCCCGGGCGCGAACCCCGCCCCCGCCCGCCGAGGCCCCGCCCCCGCACGAGGCCCCGCCTCCCGCCGCGGCCCTTCCGGAAGCAGGCCCGCCCCCCTCCCATGCGGAGCCGCCGGCCCCGCCTCCTCCGCGCGCCCGCGTGCCGCAGCCCGCGTCGCCCGCCAGCGCCGCGCGCTCCCGCCGCCCCCCGCCGCCGCGCTCGCTGGCTGGCCCGGTGCGGGCGCCGGGTTGCTGCCGGGGGAGAAGCCCGCCAGCGCTACCGCTGCTCCTGCCCGGGCCCGGGTCTCGGTCCGTGCCCCGGCCCCGGGCCCCCGCCCGGCCCGGCGATGAAGTGTCACTACGAGGCGCTGGGGGTGCGGCGCGACGCCAGCGAGGAGGAGCTCAAGAAGGCCTATCGGAAGCTGGCCCTGAAATGGCACCCGGGTAGGTGCCGTCCGGCCGCCGCGGCCCCGCGACCTTTCCCGCCGCTCGCCGGGCAGCGCCCCAGGCCCCCTGGCTGCCCCCCGTTCCCGCATGGTCGCCTGAGGGCGGGCAGACCACGTCCTAGGGCTCCTCCTCCGTCGGCTCGGATCCCCTCGCGGCGGGGCGCGAAGCGGGACCCGCGGCCCCGAGCCCCGGCTCCCCCGGCTCCCCCGGCTCCCCCGGCTCCCCCGGCTCCCCCGGCTCCCCCGGCTCCCCCGGCTCCCCCGGCTCTCCCTGCTTGGCTCGCTCAGTTTCCCGATGTTTTCCTAAACTTGCGCGATCCCAACCACTTCACTTAGGCACCTTTCTCACCGGAATGAATTGCCTTCTAGAAAGGGGCGCTTCTCTTCGCAGCCGGTTTCTTTAGCTCGTGTGAACGAAGTGTCCTGGTGTTGGTTTAGAACCAGCTTCTCTTGGTGACTTTATGTGATTGTGACCAGGCCTTGTATGACTCGTATGAAATGATCTGATCTTGCAGACTGGGAAGCTGAGAAGTTGAATTTCAGGTTTATGATAAGCTTTCCTGTTAGCGTTAGTCCTTAGAGATGGTTAGAGTCTTCCCTGTTATTTAAACATGGACTTTATTGTGGCGAGGTGAATTCTGAAGTGCCAGGATAGGGACCGCCAGGTAATATGTCTTTTACACTTGAAGAATTAAAGCCAGGAGCAGGTCAGGCAGTGCAGGTAGTTGGGATGAACAGGACAGCATTTCCCCGTGAGTCACCCATGTGGAGACTTGAGGCTTCTTTGTCGGAAAGAGCTTGGCCTGGATCTTGAGGAGCCACATTTGGGACAGTGGACGCTGGGTATGGGGATGAGCCTCGGGAGGGACGTGCAAGAGGCAGGAGGGGTGCTGAAAGCAAGGGCAGAGACCCGGCTGGGAAGAGGATGCTAAGGGCCCACGAGGCAGACAAGTCTTGGCCTGTTCCGGAGAACTGGGTGCTGGCAGAAGAACTAAAACGTGGCATTAAAGTGAGATGCTTCCCAGAAGTTCATGGAAAATACAGCTGAAAGATTATTTTGGGTCAGAAATTTTTTGAAATCCATGTAGCCTTTCCACAGCGCGCATTTTCCATGAACCTTTGGAAGATCTGTCACATATTGGAAGAGCAGATGTAATTGACGAAGTTAGAGGATATATCGTCAATGTTGGTAAATTTGAAAATATAGGAGTGTATTCTTAAAGGAGTGATTTCCTTTAGAAATGGAGTTAGGGAATCAGACAAGAGGAATTCCTTGACTTCCTTGAGTAGGAAAAGATGAGACAGAATTAGTTCTGTGTCCACAAGCACATCTACTTTTTGAAAAAGGTTTAGTATTTGAAAGGGTAGCAGATGTTCATCTGCTGGTTGCTGTGGTTAAGTTTTGCTTAACACCATTGGAAACACTCTGTTTATCTCATGCTGTTAAATAAAATATTATTCTATTGAGGAACCTAGAATAATCTGCAGCAGAGTGAACAGTTCCTCTAGCAAGGTTAGTGTGAGTGACCTGGGGCAGCTCCAGTAATTCGTCCGACAGGTAATAAATAACCTGGTACTCCGCTCGCTGGTCCAAGTGAGAAGGGCGCTTGGCTTCATGGCCAGGCTCCAGCACACAGGAGGACCCGTTTCTGTCTGGTGATGGAAGGCAAAAGGAGCAGGTGCCCCCAACCATGACTAGGTTTATCTGAGTGGGATAGGGGAGAGCTGTCCAAGAAGTTAGCTGCTGAAGAGTTGACACGGAAGTAGAGATGCCAAGGGGGAGTATGGGTAGGGTGGCAGAAGGAGGCATGGTAGAAAGGTGAGCATGGCTCGCTAAGCAGAGGCCAGGTGACTGTGTGGGAAGCATACACTATTGGGATGTGGCGCTAAAGGCATTAGGAAGCTGTTGACCAGTTAGTGGTCTGCTGGCTCTGATGGGCAGAATGGATTGGAAGTGAGGGAGTTGGGAGGCCAGGGAGCAGGGCAGTACCACGATGGTGGATGATAGGGGCTGGGGTTAGCTTTCTGGGTCAGGAGTCAACGGGGTGTGTCTGGGAGGTGAACTGGCAGCCAGGAGGAGACTGCTGTGGCCCACCTAACAGTTCAGCCCACGCATGGGTGGGTGCGGGATCAGTGCAGCGAGGCAGCAGCCAGCTTCCCCAGCAGACCAGCCCGGAAGGGTGTGGGCAAAGTGGTGTTTTCAGGGAGCTCGGCTTTAGGACAGGGCTGAAAGACACGATCCAGGGAATTTTTCAGGCATTGGAGATAGCAGGAGAGCATTGAGTGTGTTAAGGGAAAGGTACAAAGGATAACGTGAGAATGACAAACTTAAAACAGCTGGCTTAACAATACCTGTGGCATTTTGCATTTGCTTAATAATAAATGTGGACTGTGCTATTTTAAAGTGTTGCTTTAAAAAAAAACTTGGGTATTTTCACATTTTTAATTACAAGGCAGGGCGAGAGACTGAGATGAATGGAGAGGTTTTCTACCCACTGGTTTACTCTGCAGGTACTCGGGAGCATCATAGCAGATTCAGGCGCCTAGAACTCAGCCTGGACCTCCAGGGCTCCAGCTAGCTGCCGGAGCCCAACGGCTGCGTGCCTGGTGTGCGTTAGCAGAAAGCTGGAGTTAAAAGCAAAGCTGCGACTCAAACCTGGGCACTTGTTGCCATGTGCAGGTGTCCCCAGCAGTCAGCAAATCCAAGCAGCCAGCCCCCTCCCTTTCATTGACGCCTTCTGCTTTGTTTTAATAAGGATTTTTGTTTGTTTGTTTGTTTGAAAGGCATAGTTACAAAGAGAAAGGGGAAGACAGAACATCAATTTGTTTTTTTTTTTTTTTTTAAGATTTATTTTTATTATTTTTTCATTGAAAAGGCGGATATACAGAGAGGAGAGACAGAGAGGAAGATCTTCCGTCCGATGATTCACTCCCCAAGTGAGCGCAACGGGCCGATACTATGCCGATCCAAAGCCAGGAGCCTCTTCCGGGTCTCCCACGCGGGTGCAGGTTCCCAAAGCTTTGGGCCGTCCTCGCCTGCTTTCCCAGGCCACAGGCAGGGAGCTGGAAGGGAAGCGGGGCTGCCGGGCTAGAACCGGCGCCCATATGGGATCCCGGGCGTGCAAGGGGAGGACCTTTAACCACTTGCGCCACCGCGCCGGGCCCCAGAGCATCAATTTGTGGGGTTCACTCCCCACATGGCCGAGTGGCCAGGACCAGGGACTGTGGAACTCCATCCAGGTGTGTGGGTTCGTGGACCAGCACTCGGGCGTCTCCCACCACCAAAGTGTGTCTCCCACACACTTTGCCAGGTGTGTCAGCAGGGAGCTGGATTGGAAGTGGTGCGGATTGGAACCTGAAATCACATCGAAGTGGGATGTAGGTGGTGACTTAATTTCTTGGCCACAACACCACAAAGGTTTTTATTTTGGGGAAGAGGGAACTTAATTATGTATTTGAAAGACAGAATTACAGATGGCAGAAAGGACAGAGAGAGAGACAAACCTTCTGTTTGCTGACTTACTCCCCAGATGGCCAGACTGACGCTAGGGGCTTCTTCCTGGTCTCTCACTTGCGTTCAAGGGTCCAAGCACTTGGGCCATTTCTCGTTGCTGGCCCAGGCTCATCAGCAAGGAGCTGAGTTGGGATATGGTGCAGTGGAGACTGGAACCAGCACCTGCCTGTACGGGATGCCTGCATCAAAGACAGCAGCTTAAGGCGCTACACCACAGTGCCATCCCTTTTTATTGTTCATTCTTTTAGATCTCAGTTCAGCCTTATCATCAGCTGGCTCAAATATGTATAGAAATGAAAAAAAGAAAAAAAGCTGTGTCGCTGTCCCGCAGCATGGACTTGGTGCACGGAGCCGATAAAAACACGGCGTGGACCCTGACTGATGGTCAAAGCCGAAGTTTGTTAGTGGCGTCAGACCTTATACACAGAGGGGGTTATTTGGTTAAGAGAAGAGGTGTTGAGCTTAGCAACAAAACCCATCGACTGTTTCCATACTCTCATTTGGAATTCCTTTTGTTTTGTGTATTCTACCAAGTGTTCTCATTCACATGCAGTCCACTCAACTGTTCTCATCCAGATGATACCCAGTCAGTTATACAGAAGGTAGCCATTCGGTTGTTCTCATGCAAATATTATCCAATCAACTGCGATCCTGTGCTCGCTGACCCTCTAGGGTCACAATGTCCTCCTACAAGCTGTATGACAGATGAAAAAAAAGGAAGCTCTAGTAATTTCCACCTGGTACATTAATGAGTATTTTGTCTTTAGAAGGTTTATTCTTCAAACTTGATGGTGGGGAGGAGAGCAGGGTGTGGAAAGAAGCAGTGTCCTGAGATAGGTGATGGGTGAGAAGGAAAAACAGACCCCTCACCACCAGTCACGGTTTCACGTAGGTATATTTCATTACTGACATTTCTGGGGCACTTAAGTTCCAGCTGTTCCTTTTATCTGACAAGCTTTAAAGATTAGGTGATTTTTAAAAATGTGTTTCAAAGCGTTCTTCCATGTAGTGGGTCACTCCTCAGCTGCTCTCAGCAGCCCAGGCTGGGCTGGGTGGACGCTTGGAGCTCGGCAGTCAGTTCACATTTGCCATGTGGTTGGCAGGAGCCCGGGTGCCTGCGCCATCTCCTGCTACAGATGGGCAGGATGCTGGCATTGAGAGCAGAGCCGGAAACAGCCACATCATTCAGTACCCGCATCCTTTGTCTCAGGACAAGTCTCTCCTGAGATGCTTTACCCAGTAAGTTACTTCTGTGTAACTGGCTAAACCTGGTCACCCCCAGTGCAGGGAAGTCTGAAGTGAATTTTTGAACTGGGTTCTTTGCCAGTGTTAACTAAATCAGTTTTGTTTGGAGCAAGTGAAGAGACCCTGGCTAGACAACTAGTTGTATCTGTTGCAGGGTGGTAGTGTAAATCTAAAATAATCCCATGGGAAGACTGTAAGGCTGTGCCCTGAAGCTCGTGCTGCCGGGAGGCCTGGATGCCTGCCGAGTCCCACAGTGAAGGAAGCACAGCCAGGGAAGCAGTGATTAGTATACCTGTTCCTATCTGTATGGGATTTATTTTGATAAATGTTGATAAAAAAAAGGATGAGCAGTGAATATTACTTAGTACTAAATGAATCAGTCTTCCTGTATCTGTTAGATGTTTCTTTTGCTTCTGCTAAAGTGTGTGCTAGCTAGGGTTTCCCATTTGTGAACATCACGTGGAATGCTCAGGCACAGACCAAGCTTGGGGGAACCCTGGACGTTTCTCCAGGCGGCTGCTCCCAGCAGCACTTGACTGTCAGCTGTCACCTGGGGCCTCTGTTTCTGTTGTACACACTCATCTATTTATGCGTCTCATTGAGATTCTGCCTTTTGCATCTGGGATGACTACATTTCTGTGACTTTGCTTTTTTTAACAGATAAAAATCTGGATAATGCCGCTGAAGCCGCCGAGCAGTTTAAGTTGATCCAGGCAGCCTATGATGTGCTGAGCGATCCGCAGGAGAGAGCGTGGTGAGCCTCGCACCGTCCCCTGTCTCCGTCTGTCGTGTTGAGAGGAATCAGCAGGACAGGATACATGTTTTGCTTCTGTTTTGATCTCATAGGCTGGGTGGTTTGTGGTAGGCTCTCAGTCATTGGTCACCTGTGCATACAATGCAGTACTTAGATAGGAACGTCACAGTGATTGTGCCAGCTGTGTGGCTTTTCTAGGACCTGACATAGAGTTGATGGATTGTGGATTTAGTTTGGTACTTGAAGTGATTTCTCATTAAACCTGAATGACAGATTTATTGATAGCACAAAGAATGTTGACTTGTGCTTAAAAAAAAAACATACAGGGCTTCAGCACAAGAATTATGTATTTTTCCTTAGAACTGCTTTATATGAAGAAATTGGATTGACCTTCTGATGATGTGATCATTTACTACCATTTCTACACCAGAAGTTCTGTGTTTGAAGTTTTCAGACTCTTGATTAACATTTAGCTACAGAGGAACAGGTTTTGAGTCCTGGTGTAGCCATGCATGAGACTGTAGCTGGGTTCTCTGTGTGTAACACCGGCTGTCAAGAGAAGGGTGAAGACAGTTCTTACAGAAGATATTCTATTTTTTTTTTAAATTTTTAATTTACTTACTTTTATTGGAAAGTCAAATATTGGAAAGTCAAATATGCAGAGAGGAGGAGAACAGAGAGGAATACCTTCCATTCGATGATTCACTCCCCAAGCAGCTGCCATGGCCAGAGCTGAGCTGATCGAAAGCCAGGAGCCTCTTCTAGGTCTCCCATGCAGGTGCAGGGTCCCAAGGCTTTGGGCCGTCTGACTGCTTTCCCAGGCCACAAGCAGGGAGCTGGATGGGAAGCGTGGCTGCAGGGATTAGAACCAGTGCCCAAAGGCAGATCTTTTTTTTTTTTTTTAAGATTTATTTTTATTTTTATTGGAAAGGCGGATATACAGAGAGGAGGAGAGATAGAGGAAGATCTTCCATCCAATGATTCACTCCCCAAGTGAGTGCAACGGTCGATGCTATGCCTGTCCGAAGCCAGGAGCCTCTTCCGGGACTCCCACGCGGGTGCAGGGTCCCAAAGCTTTGGGCCATCCTCGACTGCTTTCCCGGGCCACAGGCAGGGAGCTGGAAGGGAAGTGGGGCTGCCGGGATAGAACCAGCACCCATATGGGATCCCGAGCGTGCAAGGCGAGGACCTTAACCACTTGGCGCCACTGCGCCGGGCCCCATAGGCAGATCTTTTCTAGGAATGTGAAGGAGAGGATCTTCAACTTTTCTGTCCCCAGGAAATTGGGAGGTCCAGTTTAGAAATGCTTTTGCCTTCTAGAACTTTGGAATTCTGCTGTGATTTACCAGTGTTATGATTAGGGAAACAAGTGATTTGATACTTGGGAGTTTCAGTTCTTGTTTCCGGCATTATCAGGAGCACTTGCTTAGGTGTGTGCAGTTCCTACATTGAGCATACACAAGCAGAGTCCTGTTCTGGTGCATGTGGTGAATTCTGAGATCCCTGGTGTGCAGTAATCTGTGGTCCAGGCTGTGTCCACTCCTCTCCTGAGGAAACGCAGCTGCCCTTCTGGGGGTCACAGAAGTTGCTGACTTTCTGAATGCCCCTTTTCCTATGGACTACTGTTATATGTCATGTGTTAGACATTGCAAGCACAGTTTTAATTTGCAGTTCCATGCAACGTTAGTCTTCATGTTGATGTTTCCTTAAAATCTTTAGGCTGTGGATTGAAAACAAAAAAATATATTCTGTTTTGGCTGTTTCAGAGTAAGGGGTGATGGGATGCTGAATTCTGAAAGCCTTTTTCAATCTGAAAAGCCTTCACTTATTTGAAATTTTATGTTTTAGGTATGATAACCATAGAGAGGCTCTACTTAAAGGTGGACTCGATGGAGAATATCAAGATGACAGCTTGGATCTGCTTCACTATTTCACTGTTACTTGTTACTCTGGTTATGGAGACGATGAAAAGGTAAAAGAGGATTCACTTTTAGTTGCTTCTCGAGCTTGAGAAAGAGTTACACACACAGGATTCTTAAGCATCTTCTACAGTAGAAGTGAAGGAGTATTCATTTTGAAAGCTGAACATGCAGTACCTTCTTTTTTTTTTTTTTTAGCTTACTGTGTATGGAAACTGCCAGTTGATACATGTACTTAGCAGTGACGGTGTGGCCCTGTCATTCTTCAGCATTCAAGTTTTTTTCACTGCACATTTTAAATCTTGCTCTGATTGGACAAAAAAGTATTAAAATAGAATACATGCTTCTGATTTTCTTAGGGTTTTTATACAGTGTATCGCAATGTTTTTGAAATGATTGCGAAGGAAGAAATGGAATCCACGTTGGAGGAGGATATGGAAGAATTCCCAACTTTCGGAGATTCTCAGAGTGACTATGATACGGTAAAAGAAAGATGCATTACATTTTATAATGTTTATCACTGTCGTCTTATAGTCTTAAAAAGAAAATCATGGGTCAGGTGTTTGTCTTAGTTGCCAAGCCGCCATTTAAGATGCCTGCATCCCACATCACGATCTGGAGTTAGATGCCTAGCTCGCACCCCTGCTTTCTGTTAGTAAGACATTGGTTGGCAGCAGGTAATGGCTCAAGTCAGTTGGGGTCCTGCCGTCTACCTGGAGACCTGGATTGAGCTGGTGGCTTCAGTCCCACCCCATCTTTACAGGCACATGGTGACAATCAGCAGATGGGAGCTCACTCCGTCTCCATCTCCCTCTTTCTGTGTCTCAGATTAACTTGAATGTAAGTTCCATGTCGCCATCCTGACCTAGCCTCTCCTCCTGTCTTCCTTCCACAGGGAGTATGGCTGGCCTTGTAGCCTCCTGCTCATTTTTCTTCCTGTTTATTGGCCATGATCCCAGCCTGTGGTTGGTAGTCTTTCTCACCAGATCTGTTTTGAAGAGTATTACATTCTGGAAAATCTTAAAAGGGGCTCTTTTCCATTGATGGAAGGAATGCTGTATGTGAAAATGTTTTTACATTACTAATATTTTCTGCCTTGCTAGAAATTATTGAGAAGGGGTGGACATTTCAATGGCTCTGTGGCTAAGACATCGCTCGAGAACCCCGAATCCTAGATCAGATTGTGTGAGTTCAAGTCTAGGCTCCCCCCCTGGTTCTAGCTTCCTGTTGATGAGCACCCTGGGAGGCAGCAGATGGTGATGGCTTGCGTGACTGGGTCCCTTCCACTCATGTGGGAGTCTGGAGTTGAGTTCCAAGCCGCTGGTTTCTGGCTGGCCCAGTCCCAGCTATTACTAGCATTAGAGTGAGCCAGAGGGTGGGAGATCTCTGCCCTCTGTGCCTTTCAAATGAGTAAATAGATCAAAAGAAATAAAAAGCTAGAAATTGACTTGTTTTTTGTTGCTAGGTAGTCCATCCTTTCTACGCTTACTGGCAGAGTTTCTGCACTCAGAAGAATTTTGCTTGGAAGGAGGAATATGATACACGACAAGCTTCCAACCGCTGGGAAAAACGAGCTATGGAAAAAGAAAACAAAAAGATTCGGGATAAAGCCAGGAAAGAAAAGAATGAACTTGTCCGTCAGCTGGTAGCTTTCATCCGCAAACGAGATAGACGAGTACAGGCCCATCGAAAGCTTGTGGAAGAGCAGAACGCAGAGAAGGCGAGGAAAGCTGAAGAGATGAGGCGGCAGCAGAAGCTGAGACAGGCCAAGTACGAGCAGTGGGTCTGGGCAGAGAGGCTGAGCGCTACTGCCCAGCCCCCAGGGGCGCAGGATGACGTCACTCATCAGACTGTTTTAATTAGGGATTTATTTTTATTATTGGCAAGGAAGATTTACAGAGAGAAGATGAGACAGAAAGATCTCTTATCTGCTGGCTCACTCCCCAAATGGCTGCAACAGCCAGAGCTGAGCTGATCCAAAGCCAGGATCTTCTTCTGAGCCTCTCATGCGAGTGCAGGGTCCCAAGGCTTTGGGCCGTTCTCTACTGCTTTCCCAGGCCACAAGCAGGGAGCTGGATGGGAAATGGAGCAGCTCAGATTAGAACCAGTGTCCGTATGGGGTCCCAGCATGTGCAGGGTGATGGGTTTTCTGCTGAGCCATCATGCCAGGCTGCATCATTTTTTTAAAATCCATATATTGGAGAATATTTTTTAAGTTGGATACTTTGCTTCAGAGGCCCTTTATTCTTGAGCTCTTGGATCCTCATAAAATTAATAACATATTAGGTGAATTTTTATCCTATTCCAGCAGTGTTTTCTCCAGTCTTTTTTTTTTTTTGGTTTGGTTTGGTTTTTTAACTTGTTTGAAAGAGTGTTGGGGAGAAAGCTTCTCTCTGATGATGGACTCCTCAGATGCCTGTCAGCAGTCGCAGCTGCGTCAGACGGAAGCCAGAAACTACCCATGTGGACGCAGGGAGCCAAGGATCCGGGCCTTCAGCCGCTGCTTCCCTGGCTACACATTAGCGGAAAGCTGCAGGTGAAAATGGAATCAGGCCTCAAACTTGCACCTTAACATGGGACATATGTGTCCCAAGAGTCCTTGGCCTCTCCCATGGCATAATTTGTGAAGGTTTTTCTTTGCTTTTAAGAAAAGGAGATGAATAGACAATCATAAATCTTGAGCCAGGGATCAGGCCTAGCGAGTCTGACTCTAGGGTCCTTGCTTTTAATCACCAGTTGATACTCCTTTTTGTTGGAATATTCTGATGAACTCAACTTGTTTCTTCCGTCCGTTCTAGTTTTACTTTTTGAGTTAACTGCCAAAGCATTGTGTCTAGGACATTATAGCTTTCTTTCAAAACATAATTCACTCTTTAAAACCTTTACCTAACCCCATCTTTTACAAATGGGGCTAAAAATCACCAGGATATTTTTAATACACCACTAAGAGTTTCAAAAACCCATTTGCTGGGCCCAGCATGATAACCTAGTGGCTGAAGTCCTCACCTTGCATGGCCAGGATCCACTGTGGGCACCAGTGCATATGCTGGTGGCCCCACTTCCCATCCAGCTCCCTGCTTGTGGCCTGGGAAGCAGTAGAGGACGATCCAAGGCCTTGGGATCCTGCACCCGCGTGGGAGACCCGGAAGAAGCTCCTGGCTTCAGATTGGCTCGGTTCTGATTGTTGTAGCCACTTGGGGAGTGAAATCAACAGATGGAAGATCTTCCTGTCACTCCTCTCTGTATATCTGACTTTCCAATAAAAATACATCTTTAAAAGTTGGAAAAAGTCATTAAAACAAAACAAAGCAAAAAACCAAAATTCATTTGGCAGTACTTAACCCCCTAGTAGGTGACAGAGTGAAGTGAGTTTGCACAGTTCTAAGACTGATTTTAAGCTTGTGCACATGTACAGCATGGGAGGAAAGCCCTTCGTGTCTAGAGTATAAATGTTGGGTCTGAAGTCGGTAAAACTGCACAGAGGTAGTTGAGCGTACTTTGTGTGTGCAGACTGGCGGAGCAGTACCGCGAGCAGAGCTGGATGACAGTGGCCGATCTGCAGAGAGAGCTCCGGGAGATGGAGGCACAGTATGAGAAGGAGTTTGAAGATGGATCAGATGACAATGAAATGAAAGACCACGAGCAGACAGACGCACAGGAAGGTAATAATCTCCATTTATTAAGAAATTTTAGAAAATGGTGCTCAGATGCTATCCAGTGTCTGTCGGAGGGCTCAGGTAAGACATCAGGGCCTGGGAGGCAGAGGATACTTGGAAACAGCTGTATTGCAGCCATGTGTTCTCAGCCAAGTGACATCTGGATTTTTATGTTGCATCTCCAAATATTTAATAGGACAAAGAGTCAGAATTAACAACCATATAGAATGCGACAGAGGTAGTCTGTTGAAGTAGTCTCATTCAGCTAATCTGATTGACTTGCTCTTTTGATTATGTTGTAAACAAATGGTTTGTGTTTCTGGCTGCATGACTAATGATGAATAGGTGTATTGGCAGGCTTGACCTGACTGATGATCAGAAATGCAGTTAAGTAGTAAGCAAAGTTTAATAGCACTGTATCCAGGAAAATGGATGTTCCATATAAGCTCTTCCAGTTCCTGGCCTTGTTCAGGAACTCTTGGTGCGTGGCGAAACAGGAGGGCACAAACGTGACCGCCGTGAAAAGGTGAGGCCATGGCATGGCCGAGAGGAGCTCCGTGCTTCGTTGCCGCTGGTTCTGACTGTTCTGCGAGAAAAACATTGGCTCAACATCTAGCAGTTGGACAGTCACTTTGTCAGCAAGTGTGTTTTTCAGACTTACAGTCCCATTATTTACTCAAACTGATTACAAAAGGAAGTATTTTGTTAATGAATCAGCAGTAGTTGTATGTCTAAAATTGTTGTTTCAATTAAAAGCACTTTGTGAAGGTGAGGTAGCATGTATAATTTACAATTTATAGCACGCTTTAATGTTCAACATTTTGTTTGAGGGCCTGGTGTGGTAGCCTAGTGGCTAAAGTCCTCACCTTTCATGCACCACGGTCCCATATGGGTGCTGGTTGGTGTCCTGGCTGCTCATCCCCATCCAGCTCCCTGCTTGTGGCCTGGGAAAGCAGTAGAGGACGGCCCAAAGCCTTGGGACCTTGCACCCACATGGGAGACCTGGAAGAGGCTCCTGGCTTTGGATCAGCTCAGCTCTGGCCGTTGCTGCCACTTAGGGAGTGAATCATCAGATGAAAGATCTTCCCTTTTGTCTCTCCTCCTATCTGTATATCTGACTTACCGATAAAAATAAATAAATCTTAAAAAAAAAGAGTTTTGATTGTCACAGTGCACCTTAAGAGTAGGTTCTGTATTCATGCTGTTTCCATCTTATGAATGAGAAAACTAGAGCTCTGAGAAACTATGGGGACGCCTGAGAACACAGGACCATGTCAAAATCCAGATTTTACTTCCAATCTAGTGTTGTTACAAACTATGAAGATTTTCGTATTCATGAACTATTAAAATAGTCAAAGTGTGTACACAATTAGAAAATAATACCAGATACTGAACATTGGAGCTAGATGGAATATATTTTAGTTATTTATGTTTTAATGAGCATGTCCTTTAAAATTGTATTTACGTCAAGAACCTAAAAATAGAATGAGGATGAGATATTTGAGATCTTTACTAATCCTATAATGAAGCTCAAATGGCACCAACTTACTTATGAACTATACAATTGTGTATAAGTTTCAGTTGAGTCTCTAATGACTTAGTTTTTGTGGGATGATAGGTATTAATTATTTTAATAAGATGTAAGCCAGTAAAAAAAAGGTCTATAAATGTGTTAAACTTTACATATAAAGTACTGTTTTGTTCTTTCTACTTAATGATAGGATATTACAAATTAAGCTTATTTTAACATTGGAGGAAGCTTGGATCATGGTTGTAAGTCTGTTTGAATCACATCTTGCTCAGGAGGTAAACTACCAATCTGTGTCAGAAATCTCTCTCTCTCTCTCTCTCTCTATATATATATATATATACACCCAACTCAAACTGCTAGCATTTGTGGGTGTGTTGGTAAAGAAATATACCAATTTTAGTTTTTGTGTGCAGCTCCTACAAAGGAGATGTGATTTACTAGCATATTTTAGATGGGTGGTTTTTTTGTTTTTTGATCATACAGGATTAACATTGCTTCCTGTCTCCTAGGTAAAGAAGGCGAGGAGGCCGAGCTTTTTGACGACCTCTATTGCCCAGCCTGTGACAAGTCTTTCAAGACAGAAAAGGCGTAAGTTGAATCATCTTTTCTTTGAGGCAGCGTGTGACAGTTGGACTGCTTAGCAAGAAGCGTGGTTGATTCCTCATCCTTCACGTGTCGTCTTGCAGGGTTTCCTGCACAGCAGGGGAGAGACATGCTTTGTACCAGCAACACATATGGAGACCTCAGGCAGAAATGGTGCTGGTGTTGGCCAAGAAGGCGCAGGCACATGAGCGAGGAGGGAGACCGTATCCAGTCAGTCTGCTTGTTGTTGGCCTCAGACTCTCCCCCGCCATGCAGGCTGTTGCTGACAGCTGAGGAACCTTAGGCTTGTCTGGCCTTTAAACTTTTTCTGTAAAGGTTTTTCAAATTTACTTTTATTGGGAAAGTAGACCCACAGAGAAATGGAAACAGAAAGATTCTCCATCTGCTGGTTCATTCCCCAAATGGCCACAAAGGCCAGAGCTAAGCTTATCAAGTGCCAGGAGTTCTTTTCAGGTCTCCCAGTGGGTGCAGGGTCCCAAGGCTCTGGGCCGTCCTCCGCTGCCCTCCCAGGCCACAGGCAGGGAGCTGGGTGGAAAGTGCGGTGCCGGAACACAAACCAGCATGCACTTTCTGGTGCTTGCAAGTAAGGATTTAGCCATCGAGCGATCACACTGGCCCCGCCTTTTAAACTTGTTGTTTGCTGAAGTGGAAGCACTGGGTCTTGTGGAAACAACGCCAGAGAGAGAAGAATTGACGAGGAGGCCAACACAAATGAGAGAGGAAAGAACATGGGAGTCCAGAACAAATAGAATAGGCCCTGGGAGAGGAACCGAGTCTGGGCGGTTAGCAAGAAAGGTAGCTGAGAGCAGCACTGAGCGTCAGAGCCTGCTCCAGGGTGCAGCCCAGCGGGCGAAGCGGCCGCAGCAGAGTTGCTGAGGTTAAGTTAGGAGCAAGTGACAAAGTGCTGCACTGAAGGACATTTTACAAATTGTTTTTTATTTGGAAATTATCTCACTCACGGAGAAACAGCAAACTTAGAATATGACCCCCCTGATTTCCCGTGGTTCACACTTTATCCCATGTACATGTGCCCACTTGTTCTTTGTACACACAGCTTTCCTGAATGATTTGAAAGTTACATATGTAATGCTCTTTTACCTTTAAATAACTCATACATTTCTTAAAAATAAGGATATTTGTTACATAACCACAATACCAATATAAATATGAGGAAGTTAGTAGCACTAGTGGCATTTCTCCAGTTTACCAGCCATATTCCCGCGCTGTCAGCTGTTCTTGTGTTGCCTCGTGTGGCACTGATTGCACTTGCTACAGATGCTGTCAGGACCCTGTACTGCTTGTGTCGCTTTAGTCTTAACCTGCAGCAGTTACCTACTTTCTGCTCATTATTTTGAGCACTCACCTTCTGGTACAATCAGTTCCGGCTTCTCCTGGGAACCTCAGTGTTTTGGACAGGTGTGGTGACAGGTGACAGGAAAGGCAGCACCCTGAACAGAAACCTCAGGCCTCAAGTCGAAGGTGGTGCAGATTTCCCACCTCCTGCTTCACCTCCTCCTTACGGTCGTGCGGTCTGCTTTGGGGAGATGGTCTTCGGTTACTCAGACTGAAGAGGTAGTGCCTGTAGGAATTTGGATGGTTTCAGAGAGATGTCTAAAGTCACAAGGTGGTGGCAGTGTGACAAGGGAGAAAGTTTCTCTTGTCCTTCAAGCCCTCGCTCATCATTTCTCTAGTCCTGGGTTTTTCTGTTGAAGTCTGCATGTGTGTCTTCTAACGCCCCGCTGGGTCCTTAAAGCCTGTGGGATCACTGGAAATGGAAGCACTTAGCAGATGGTGATAGAAGGAAACTGCAGACTGTAAGAATTAAAAAAACTGGGCTGGCATTGAAGCTCAGTGGGTTAAGCTCCCTGCTTCCCCACAATATCTGCATCCTGTAAGAGTGCTAGTTCAAGGCCCAGTTGCTCTGCTTTCAGTCTGGCTGCCTGCTAATGCCCGGGGGAAGCAGCAGAAGATGGCCTGCGTGCCTGGAAGTCCCCTTCCACCTGAACGGGAAACCCAGATGCCGTTCTAGGCTCCGGGCTGTGACCCGTCCCAGCTCTAGCCATTGCTATCACTTGGGGAGTAAACCAGCAGATGGAAAAATGTCTCTCTACATAACTATAGCTTTCAAATAAGTGAGTCCCTTTTAAAAAATAACTAAAAATCAAAGCAACAGAATTTGCTGCCCTCAGCCTGCACCCAGCTCTACCGCCCAAAGAAGGGGAAGAAATGTATCTAGAGAAAGGGGCGATTGCTGGGCAGTGGGAACGAAGGGCGGCTGTGAGCTTCCCAGTGCTCTGAACGCCTGGGAACTTTGACAGCCTCTGTATCCACTCTAACATCTGGTAAGTTACCCCCGCAGCATGGATCTCCGCATGGTGGAGCGAGGTTCTCACGCGTGCTTGTGTTTTCAGCATGAAGAATCATGAGAAGTCAAAGAAACACCGAGAGATGGTTGCTTTGTTAAGACAGCAGCTGGAGGAGGAGGAGGAGAACTTCTCAGGCCCTCAGACGGATGAAAATGCCCTGCCTGCCAATTCTGAGGAAGAGACGGAGGATACACCAAGAGAAAAGTACTTCTAAGTTCTTCCTGTCACTTTTCACATTAGGGAGGGAGTTTAAGTACTGTTTATTCCAAAAATGTCTGCCATGCTAATATTTTCTGCATTGTTTCTGATTCGTGGAACTTTAGCATATCCAAGAAGCTAAAGGCATGGTATCAAATACAGGTTTTACAGAAGGCATTATATCTGTATTAAAAGCAGTTTTATGGCAGTTCATAGGCAGATTATTCACTGAACTAGAGTTACGACAATATGAGAATTCTTTTTCCGTTGAATGCTTTTTAGTATTTTACTTCCCTGTGTTTTTTTCCAAGTATTATGACTTACTAACCTCCACAGACAAGGGTTATACATTCTGATTTCTGTTTGCTCATAGGCTCTCTAAAAAACAGAAGAAGAAGCAGCAGAGACCAGCACAGGTGTGTAGCTGGGGTTTTAAGATTAAACACCAGCTCTAAAGCATGAGTGCACTTTGTTTATTCTGTATTGGCCAATGGGAAAGTCTTTCACTCAATAATTTTTGTTGTAAGATTTATTAGATGGTATTGAAAATGTTTTCCCTTTCAACTTTTCCTCCTCTGACTAGGTAACTAACTTAATGACCTGTTGTTAGTGTATTTAAAAATTTTGTATGTAGTGGCGGACCTAGGCCCAGTGGTTACATTTGCTGGTTAGGATACATGCTGTCCCTATCAACATGCCTGGTTTTAAGTCCTGCTTCTGCTCCTGATTCTAGGTTCCTGGTAATGTGCCTCAGGAGGTAGTAGGTGTGGTGACTCAAGGGGTTTGGTACTGGTGAAACATCTGGAAAATCTGGATTGAGTTCTTTGCTGGAGTCCAGTGTGGGAGCTTTGTCTCTCTGTTAGTAAACAGTTTAAAATTTGCATATATAGTTCCCCTGGTATGAATTGGCTGAGTGACTGTAGATTTTTCATAGATAAAAACTAAATTTACAAAATTAGCTAGAGGCAGCAAACACTGAGATTTGTTGAATTTCAAACTGGAAAAGTTTATGTATGTATGGTCAAAGTAGTACAGCAGCCACTGAGGATTGTGTAAGAATAGCCACGCCAAATGAAAACTGACTGTCATGACGGAGGATAATTAACTTTGGGGCATGGTATTTCACTGAACTCCGTTCCACCGGATATAATCAAAAAATAATTTAGTATGGGGAAAAAAAAATCTTTGTAAGCTTTTTGATAGTATTGCTGTGGTATTTCTGAAACTTTTGTGTCTTTGTGTATTGTGGGACAGAACAAGTGAGTATCTGCTCTTGGTATGGCTGGGCCAGGCAGCTACTGGGTGCTGGGGACTCAGTTATTTGAACCACATGGCAGCTTCCCAGGGTCTATAGTAGCAGCATCCTAGAACTATGACAACAGCTGGGGCTGACACCCAGGCGCTGCAGGCACAGTGTGGGCCTCCCTACCAGCAACCTGAGCACTGCGCCCTGCAGCTCTTCCCCCTTGCCCGTGCACCCACGAAATATCTGTGTTCTCAGGAATCACCTTTTCTTTGAGGCGAAGGGAAATAGAAAAATAAATAGAGGGATAGGACGGGTGGTGGAGTAGTACTGGATGGGGACTGTCATCAGTGGATTTAAAAAGCACTGAGCGTTAGCAGTGAACTGATCTGGCGTATACATCCTGGTTTTTAGGTTACCTTTCCCCTGAAAGGGGAGAAAAATTGAGGGTTCTAGGCTGAGATGGAGACGATAACAGGTTAGCTGAGACCATCCATCAGAGTTACTTAGGAGTCAGTTTATAGACCTGCCAATTGAAGAAAATCTGAGTTATCCAAAAGAATAGTGACCATAAATTTTCACACATCAGTTTTGTTAAAAGATATTTGTGTATCTGTTTTTGTTGTTGTTGGCAAAGGGAGAAGGGAAAGCTTTCTTATAGAAGAGTTAATATGAAAGGTACTAGTAATGGAGTGGAGAAGTCCCTGTCGCGTGAGCACCAATGTGCTGCAAAGCTTTGACAAAGAGCCTCAGTTGGTGCCACAAGTGCCCGGTGACAGGTGTTCACACTCAGAGTCACACTGTACGGGGTATCTACTAAGAAGGGAAAAAGTCACCTTTTAGTAAAGAAATGTGTAACAATACATCCTAACCAAATGATCAAACTTACTCATTGGGAAATGAGACAAACTGATACTTTGCCTCATTAAGTTAAATACTGAGAAGGACACAGCTTTTTATTATTGTCAAAAAGATTTAAATGAAAGCTATTGTTAATGGCCGTGTAAGGGCAAATCATGGGGTGTTATAAAAAATAATGAAAGGAAATAAGAAAAAAAGTTGGAAGAACTCTTGAGTAACTTGTGGTCTTTGATTATTTTTCCTGTTGAGTTACAGAAAATAGTTGGTAAACTTGAATGAGGACTATACCACTATCAAGTGCTTAACTGTTGTGGGTCTGGAAAATGTTTTTGATTTTAAAAGATACAAGGCAAAAGGTCCTGTTTGCCTTCAGTGTGGGAATGTGTGACTCAGTTGACCTTAGTGAAGCTACATGTCTGTCTTTCATAGGCTTGGCAGTTGGTAGTGTTTTGCTTTTTGCGGAAGTAATACCTGGTTGTTGTCAATCACTGAGGAAATATAGGGATATATAAATATGGGGTGTGCCAGCTAAAGCTGTTGCCTGTGACACCAACATTCCCATATTGGTGCTGCTTGGGGTCCAGGCTGCTCCACTTCTGGTCCGACTCCCTGCTACTGTCCTGGGAAAGCAGCAGTAGATCACCCAAGTGTTTGGGCCCCGGCCACCCATATAGGAGACCTGGAAGATGCTTTGGCCTGGCTGTTGTAGCCATCTGGGATATAAGCCAGTGTGTGAATGAACTTTAATTTTTTCAAATAACCTCTTAAAAAATATTTATTTATTTTATTGGAAAGTCAATTTTACAGAGAGAAGAAGCAGAGAGAAAAGATCTTCCGTCTTCTGGTTCACTCCCCAAGTGGCTGTCATAGTCAGAACTGAGCTACTCTGAAGCTAGGAGCCAGGAGCCTCTAGTGGGTCTCCCATGCGGGTGCAGGGTCCCAAGGCTTTGGGCCATTCTCGACTACTTTCGCAGGATACAAGCTGGGAGCTAGATGGGAAGTGGAACAGCTGGGATATGAACTAGCACCCACATGGGATCCTGGCTCTTGAAAGGCAAAGACTTTAGCCACTAGGCTACCCCTCCAGGACTTCACATAACTTTTTATAAAAATGTGTAGAAGCCAGGGTTGGCGTAGTGGATAAAGCCAGCCTGCATTCCATATGGTGCCAGTTCAACTGTTCAAGTCTTGACTTCAGCTACCTGCTTATGGCCTGGGGAAAGTAGCAGAGGATGGCCCAAGTGGCTGGGCCCTTACCACCCACATGGAAGATGAGGTTCCTGGCTTCAGCCTGGCCCAGTCCTGGCCATAGGGACCTTAACCAGCAAATGGAAGATTTCTTCTCATAATTTTCAAAATAAGTTATGGTAAATATAAGTATCATCCTTATTTCTACCTATAGGGATTAGTTCATATTGTAATTATATAATTTGCTTTTCATTTTGCTTAAAATGTATTTTTTTTCACAATTATGATATTTAAAGTTAACATCATACTTTTCCTTCATATATTCAACCAGTACTTAACATTTGGATTATTTCCAATTTTTCCTTAGTTTATAACAAGCTGTTTTTAACTTTTTTAACTTGCTGCTGCTTACTCCATGAACAGAGTCTACTCTACTGGAGTACGTGGGACATTATCATTGCTTATAGCTATTTGATAACCTCAAATAAGAGGCCACTGTGTTATGGTGTTTATTTTGTAATGCATGTTTTGTTACCTAGAATTATGACAGCTTCGATGAAAATGGAATTGAAGAAGGAATAAAGGTTGATCTGAATGATGATAACTTAAATCAAGACAGTGCCAAAGAATTGGAAGATAGTTCTCAAGAAAACGGGAGTGTTGTGGAGAGTGCTGAACCGTGCAGTGACCCAAAAAATGAACCTAAAAGGTAAGCCAAATCTGCTTCTTATGTTGTAGTTACTGAATATTGATAAATCTCCTTTTCCACGACTGGCTAAGTTCGGTATAGCTGTGTGTGTGTAACCATCCAGAGCCCATGTGCCTTCTCTTTCTAGTGAGGTACATTGGGAAGAGAATGTCAGACAAATGTCCTTATGGACATTGCAGGAACTTGGGCACAATCAGAATTGGGTTGTGTTTTGTTTCCTCTCCGGCTGCAGTTCTTACCTTGTCCTGGGCAGTAATCCTGGACACCCACAGGAGAGCACGGCTGCTGCTGAGGCTAGCTCTCCATCACCCGCTCCTGGAGCTCACTGATCCCGTCTCTGGCATGTGATGTATTTGGCCTCCCCTTGTCATCAGGTCAGAGGTCACTGATGGGGCGGCAGAGGACAGGGAATTTGGGTGTAGCAGAGTGAGGAGGCTGGAAGTAGGGCTCTGGCTGTAGAAAACTGCAGGTGTTGGGCCCGGCACAATTGCCTAGTGGCTAAAGTCCTTGCCTTGAATGTGTCGGGATCCCGCATGGGCGCCAGTTTCCATCCAGCTCCATGCTTGTGGCCTGGGAAAGCAGTGGAGGATGGCCCAAAGCCTTGGGACCTTGCACACGCATGGGAGACCTGGAAGAAGCTCCTGGCTCCTGGCTTCAGATTGGCTCAGCTCCAGCCATTGTGGCTGCTTGGGGAGTGAACCATCGGATGGAAGATTTATTTATCTCTCCTCCTCTGTATATCATCCTTTCCAATTTAAAAAAAAAAAAACACAGCAGGTGTTGGGATGGGCATTTGGCACAGCTGTTAGTCACTGCTTGGGAAATCCATGTCACATCAGAGTGCCTGGTTCAAGTCCCAGTTACCCGGCTTCTGATCCAGCTTCCTGCTGATGCACACCCTGGGAGGCAGCAGTAATGGCTAAAGAAGGTGATATCCTTGCTGCCCACGTGGGAGATGTGGGGTGAATTTGGGCTCCTGGCTTTGGCCTGTTAGTGGTGCTTTGTGGGAGTGAACAGGCAGATGGCAGGCCTCCATCTACCTCTGCCTGTCAAATTAAATGAAAATTTTTATGTGTTTTAAATATTTATTTACTGGTTCATTCTCCAAGTGAGTACAATGGCAAGGCTGAAGCCAGGAGCTTCTTGCAGGTTTTCTACATGGGTACAGGACGCACAGACTTGGCCCATGCTTCACTGCTCTCCTGGCACTGTTAGCAGGAAGCTGGGACTTGAACTGGTACTGCTGGTGTCATACATGGCAGCTTAATTCACTGCGCCACATTACCTGTACCTCCATGTAACCTCTACATGGAATTTTAGGGAGGAAAAGGGCTTCTAAGACTTGAACAAGCACTGGTAAGAGTTCAGCTTTTCTCATTTGAGAGGTTTCTGCTGAGAAATGGCAAGGATGGACACTACCCACCTGCCACTGCTTCCCCGCTTCCAGCAGGAAGACAGCAGCAGACGTAAGCGCTCTGATCCGGTGGCTTTAGGACTCTGCTAGGCACTGGATGGCGGCTTTCCTGACAGGGCCATGGTGCCCACCATGGTCCAGGGCCTTGCTACTGCTTCTCTGTGGTGGTGTGGATCCTGTGGCTACCTAGTTAGGGGACTGCCTTGATAAGTGTGTATAGAGAAGCTGTTAGATACTAGCTTCAGAGATGTAGCTGCCTCTTCATAAATTGTCATCTATGATGTAGTGAGCAGTATATGTTGCCTGTTGTAATGTTGTATCCTTTGGATGATGTATTCAGAATTAGCTGGGTATATAAAGGATGCTGACATGTAGGCCATTCTGCTTGCTGCAGATTTTGGGTTTCTGCAAACCATCTTTTATATCCGGTCACAATGAGGTGTTTGGAAACGTTATCCTAGTTCTGTTAACCCATCCCATCTGTTCTGTGAATGTAGTTAACCCCCTGATAATTTGTTAGTACAGATAAACAAAAGTATAAAATTTGTGAAGAAAATTAAATTTCTTGTGGGAAATTGTGTAAAGAATTTTAAAGAATGTTCCAGAGCTTAAGAAAAACCTTGGTTCACTGGCTAGCAGTTTGTTTTCAGGGGTGCAGGGGGAAACCCATTAAATCAGCAAAAAAGATGTTTTTTCCTACATTAGCTATTTTATGAAAAAAATACATAATGTTTATTTCTTTCATTTCACTGTGGGACTATGAAAGTCTTCGTTAGAAACTCAGCAGAGACAAGAAACTAAACAGACAAGAAGGTAATGTCTGGGGAGCTGCCTTGAGTATTTTAGTTATTTGCAGTGAGTACTGATTAGGTAGAAAAGCTGGCAGCTTCAGTAAATGGAGTATTGTGCTTTGCTTTATATAAAAACCAGGAGACATTTTAGAAATTTTTTTTACTGTTACAAATCAAATTAAGGATTTGTGCTTTATATAAAGTTGCTTTTTACTCATTTGAGATGAAGTTTAATTAAAAGATAATTCACTGATTTTAATGGCCACTTTAAGTTCATCTCTTTCAAGGGATTATTGGGAGCAAGAGCAATTAAAACAGAACTTTATTTTTGGATTATACTGAATTCTTTATCTTCCAGTGTTGCTAAACCCAAAGGAAAGAAAACCAAAGACACGAAAAAGTCTGTCAGAGTACCTGCTGAGCCACAGGCAGTGGTAAGTCAGAGCTGAGCTCTCCTCCTTGGTGGGCCTTCGTTGATGCAGTATGCTGTTCCAAAGGTGTGAATGTGCTGGGTGAGCCGGTTCCATAGGACTCTGCAAAGCCCTGGCCCCTCAGCAGTTCCACAAGTAAAAGCAAGAACATCGGACATACTAGACTGTTCTAGAATATGTACTAACTCTATAGTGTGTTACCTGATGTAAAGTTACTATAAGTTCTACAAAGTGAAGTAGGAACTTGTCCTGTATTCTGGCCTGAGGTGCACATTGCTGAACATTCTGGAACAGAGTAAGTGCAGCTGTTGATGGAATTTAACTTCCAGGAACATTTGCCTTTGTTGGTCCTATTTTGGTAGGTGTTTTAAACATCAAGGCATTGTAATGAATGTTTTAACCCTAGCATTAGGACATAGAGCAGTATTCTCAGATGTTGCACTTTTGTCTGATTTCTCCCCCTCCTCAGAGCGCTGTTCTGAGCTGCACAACCTGCCATAGTGAGTTTCCGTCCCGGAACAAGCTTTTTGACCATCTGAAGGCCACCGGTCACGCAAGAGCACCTTCCTCTTCCTCCTTAAACAGTGGAACGAGCAGTCGAAGCAAAAAAGAGAAACGCAAAAACAGATAGAAAGTCTGGCAACACCTTTTCTTTCTTTTTGCTGTCTCTAGATATTTGAAACCAAAAACTGAACTGAAATCATCTAAAGAGTTAAAATCTCAGTGATCTGCAATTTATTGCATTGTGGAAGATTATTTTTATCTTGTTAAAAAACATTTTTTGTTTAATATATATTTTTTAAACATTTCACTAGTGATTGAATTATACTTTTGCCATCTGAATTAACTTGAATGTCTCCAGACAGGTAAATATTTGTAAAGTGTGTATTGATTTCTGTAGCTTTGTGTGGACAGAAATGTACAGGGAGATTAAATTATTTTAACACATACAAATGCCCCTTTCTGCTTGCTTATGTTAATTTTATATTTTCATAATGCTTTTGTATTCTTTATAATCTCACTTTTTTTTTGGTAGCATGAATGAGTCTGACTTTAAAATCATTGTAGTGTAGTGGGTAAGAGCTCAACCTGCAGTGCCATCTTCCCACATGAGTGCCAGTTTGTGTCCTTGCTGTTCCATTTCTGATCCAGCTCCCAGCTAATGTCCACGCAAAGCATTGGCAGATGGGCCCCTGCCACCCACATGTGGGGTCTGGAATATGCACCTTGCTTTTTCGTTGGTTTTAACAGATTTATTTGAAAAGGTAGAATACCAGAGATTTTCAGTGCACTGATCGACTCCCCGGACTGCTGCAGTGGGCTGGGCCATGCTGAAGCCAGGTGCTTCAGCCGGGTCCCAGGAGTTGATTGGAAGTAGAACAGCTGGGACATGGTCTGGAACCCTTATGCGATGCTGGTAGTAGCTTTATCTGCTTTGCCACAGTGCTGGCTCCCAAATGATTTCTGAATTACTAATTGAGTACTGTAGGATTTTGCTCCAGGACAGTGCTAGTACATAAATGGTTTGATTTCCAGAGTAATACTGTTGCTTCAGGATTTTACTATGTTGGATTGGATACTTTGCTGGTAATTAGCAACAAGATATATATTTTTTTCTGCTCTGATTTGAATCGGTATTTCTTCCATATGCATGGTGACAGCTGTAACCATGGTGGAGCAAGGTAACGGATGATTTAAAATTTTGGCTAATAAGGGATGTTTCCCTCATTGTGTTTTGTAGAATTTTTTTTCCCGTCATTTAGTCTTACATATCCCTTCCTGGCTAACTTCCATCATTCTTTTTTCCCCCCCTCTTTGAATTTCTCCAGTGTGGCAGCCGCTGGGTTTGTATCTACAGATCCCTTCCTGCCTCTCGTGTGAGGTGGCTGTGTTGGCGCTGATAGTCAATAGGTGCATCCTTCTGGAGGGTTCCCTGTCTGGTATGCCCTGAAATCACCAACGGGGTGAGGCAACAGCGTTCTTCAGCACGAACCACCAGAGACTAATTGAGCATGTTTGTTTATTGTAAGGCAAGCATAAACTCATATAAACAAAAAAAGGGTTAGGGAAGGGCAGTAGGGTGTCTGTTGACAATCCGCCTACCCAACAAAGACACTATAATTGTCTAGAAGGCATGTCTGTCCCTCAGGACTCTCCGCTTATATAACACGTCCCGTACAACATACATGGCTGGCAGGAATGCTGCATGTCAAGTTCATCATCTATTGCTGTGGGTCAGCTGAAGGTCATGAATACTACATGTGGCTGGCAGACAATGTGGGACAACATTATCCTGGTGCCAAAATGAAATCAAGACACAACATGAAAACTACATGTTTTTATCTTTGATGAAAATAGATGCAAAAAATTTCAACAACGACAGCAACAAAAAAGCAAACCGAATCCAAAACCACATCAAACAGATCATAAATCACAGCCAAGTGGAAGTTATCCCAAAGATGCAAGGCTGGCTCAACACTCATATGTTAACAAAAGTCATGAATCACATCAACAGAATGAAAAACAAAGATCACATTTTAATAGATGAGGAGAAAGCATTTGCTAAGATTCAGCATCCCTTCATGACAAATCCCTCTGCAAATCCCATAACTAACAATTACAATGGTTCTAAATGACGAATCAACATCAATAGTGTGCTGAATGTGGAAAAGTTGGAAGTGTGTCCCCCAAGACAGAGAGAACTGCTTTCTCCACTCATTTTTTGAAAGATTCCTTTGTTTATTTTGAAAGTCGGAGTTACAGAGATAGGGAGATACAGACAAAGATATCTTCCATCTGTCGGTTCATTCCCCAGATGGCTACAATAGCCAATACCGGGCCAAGCCAAAATGAGGAGCTTCTTATTGTACTCACATATGGTGCAGGGGCCCAATTTGGGCCATTTTCCACTACTTTATGCAGTCCATTAGCAGGGGGCGGGATTGGAAAGGAAGCGTCTGGTGCACGAGATGGTGCACATATGGGTTGTGGTGCTTCAGGATCAGTGTTACCCATGATGCTCCAACACTGGCTCCACTTTCACCACTCTGATTCAATATAGTAATGGGAATAGTGGTGAGAGCCATTAAAGGGGCAAAGACATAAATGGCACCAAAACTTGAAAGGAGGAAGTCACTATATCCCTGTTTGCAAATGGTATGATGCTGTACACGAAGAAACCCAAACACTCCAGCAAAAAGCTGTCAGAAATGACAAAGCAGGCCAAACAGGATAAGGACATGTTTAAACAGATGGAGAGACATTTGCTAGTACGAAGCAGAGAGGACACATACCAGGAAATAAGAGAGGACAGAACAAAACTGCAGAGGGGTACCTGGAGATTGACAGACACAGGAAAACAGCAGACACAAAGGTGTGGTGTTGCAGTGACTGATACCACTGTGGCAATCAGCAGAAATCTGAATTGCACTGGCAGCCCGAACTCCGTTGGCAAAAAGGTAAAAAGGGGCATTCACCAGGAGCTTAGGAGATGAACTCAGACAAAGAACTGCCCGTCCTGCTTGTCTGTTTGATTTGACCAGGAGCAGAGACAGAGCAGCAGGACCCGTATGGGCAGTGCAGGAACAGGGTGGATTTCATAGCCAAGTGTATCCCCCAGAGTCAAATCGGGCACCATTTTGTTTATGGAGACAAAGATTATGGGACAGGACTGTGCATGCACTAAGTGGGGAGTGAACTCATTTCTGGCTCAGTGAACTGCAACAATGTGACATTCTATAAGTTCCACCCAAGATAGGTCTGATTAGCCCTCAGATCTGATGGCCAGCAGACCAAGAGCAACAGCAGTGGCTGGAAGGCAAGTGTAGGAGAGAACCATCTGAGAGTGAGGCCGGTCCCTGGCAGAAAGAAAAGAACAACCTATCTAATCACATCCCACTGCGAAAGAGAATTTGCTCACCTGTCTGCCTTTCTTTATAAGGAAGGGGGTGGTTCCCCAATCAGACAGGTGCATTCTGGGATGATGGGCCTATCAAGCCGACAGTTAAAGCAATAGTAGCACTTTGCAAGGATGCAACAGTTATGGCTCAATCTGAACTCTAAGCATAACATAAGGACTTCCCACTAGGTCCACATTCTGAGAGTGCCTCTTGGAGACCAAGCGTCCTATCACAATGTGCCCTCCACACTTCAGAGCAAACAGTGTGTTGCTAGAGCCAACTGGGAGAACACTAATCTCCCAGGCTTATGTGATTGACTTCTAACAGGAGACTCACCTGTCGGGAAAACTGCCTGCCCTCTCTCCATCACGCTACTCATGTTGCCCCAGAGGAGAGGAGAATGTGCAGTTAGCAGGTTGTTGAGTTTAGGAGAGGTGCAGGGCGTGTGCCCCTTTGACCCCTGTCCCTCCCCTTTGTGGAGGTGGCTTTTCCACCTGCGTGTCGAGTGTGAGGCTCCGATCTGTCTCGGGGCTCACTAGGAGTTTGAGCAAAGCACCCAAGTCCCTACCCCTGTAATTCCTTTTACCTCAGTTAGTATGCAACTCAGAGGGGAAAAGTTTGATGCCCAAATATAGGTTCTCTCGAGGTTCAGTAATCCAAAGGTATTTCTGCCACTATAGCTTGTAAGAGTCAAGTCTTTCTGTGGTAAACGGTAATTACATAGGTTATTTTAAGAAAGAGCACCTGCAACAGTGACTTTAAAACAGGCCATCAGCTCCACAGGCCTTAGCAGCAGGCGGTCAGAAACACAGGTGACTTCCTTTAAAGGCAATGCCTAAGTTTGCTGAAATAAAGGGAATAAAAATCACATGGGGAGGAAAAATACCATTTTTCACTTCTTCAGCTGTAAATTTCAAGAAGCTTGAAAACATTTTCTGCTGAGAAAGTATGGAAAAACAACCCATACACATTGCAAATACCTATAATCCTGCGTCCCTAAATTACAACTCTGAAAAGGTCCTCTACAGGAAGACTTTAATAGCAGTATTTTTTTGTAAAAGCAAAGAAGTTTTAATACCTAAATTCCCATCAACAGGTAATAAATTGTGGGGAAGCTATGAAATGATCTGCAAGAAGCAGTAGTAAGCTAGAGAAAGCAGTATGCATTTGTGCTAGGGAGTGGTTGAAGGGCCACTAACCATGGCTTCCCAGGCCAAGTGGACCAGGTGATGGAGATGAGCTAAGAGCTGGGGAGGCTGAGACTCAGTGATACTGGTTCCCCATGGGCACTTATGCATTCCATAGCCGCTGCACATAGTGGAGATTCCAAGAATGTTATTCTTCGGGTGGTCAGAATTTTAAAAGCTGTTTTCTTTCCCTGCCCACCTCTCTCACTCAGGCTGCTATCCTTAATCCCCAGAACCCACGAATAAGATGAAACTATAGCTCTGTCCATTGTTAGGTCCTAAACAAGCACAGCTGACCTTCCAATAGGGCGATTTTGCTTGGTGGAACCTAACCTAGTCACAAGAGCCACCCCTTGCTGCTTTTTGAGAAACCGATCTTGAATTTGTTTTAAAAAGATTTATTTTTATTTCTTTAAAAGACAGTGTGGTGGAGAGAAAGGGAGAGATAGAATTTTCATCAACTGGTTCATTCTCCAGACAGCTGAAGCCAGGAGCCAGGAACTCTGTCCAGGTTTCCTGCATGGGTGGTGAGGGACCAGATACTTGAGACAGCTTTTACTGTGGTCCCAGGTGCATTGACAGGGAACTGGATTGGAAGTGGAGCAGCCAGGGCTTGAATTGATGCCTCATGGCATCTATGGATACCAGCTTTGTAAGCGATGGTGGCTTAACCTGCTGCACCACAATGCTGGCTATGTCCCATGAGTTCCTTTTAGAATTTTCTCTGGGGGCTTGGCGTCATGATATAGTATGCTAATCTTCCGCCTGCCTCGCCAGCATCCTGTATGTGTACCAGTTCAAATCCTGGCTGCTTCACTTCTGGTACAGCTCATTGCTAATAGTCTGGGATAGCAGCAA